AATTTGATGGAGCACGCGCGTTCCGACGGGTTAATTAAGCAGATCGCCCAAGTGTTGCATTGCCATAACTAAACAACAAACAACTGAAGACCTGTTCGAGTCACCCCGCTGCTCTGGGCATTCTTATAGAGTAATATGTATATATATATATAACCGATTTTTCCACAGAACTAATCACACAGTGGATTTAAATATGGCACAACTTAGTAAAGGATTTATAACTTCCATTATATACTAACACTTTGCAACGAGATAATTCCGAGAAATGGAACTAATCAAGAAAATACTTTTCATTCCAGCGTACAACGGAAGCAATTATTGAAAACGAAACTATTCAGATGTTCTTTTTATTAAATAAATGAGGAAGTTTATTTCGAGATTTAACAAATTGAATATAAGTGTTAATGTGTTTTAATACACTTATATTAAAATAGATTAACAAATTATTCTTTGTCACTGTAATTCTGAAATCGTTTGAAATACCCTCTTATATCAAACTTGACGGGCATACGATATATTGCGAAACAATAATTTATCTCTCATTTAGTTTATATGAAATCGTATCGTTTCCTGTTTACAATTGTATCTTCGCCATTCTAAACACAAGTAGAAGGAACAGATGACAAAATAAACAAACTTGTTAAAGTTCTCGTCCTTTGAACGTGTCAGCAAGATGGGTGAAATTACAGTATTAAATATATGTATAGTTAAATCTATATATATATTATTTATCATTCGGATGTCCCCCGTAAAAATATCCCAGTATTGGATTGATTTTATTCCTACACGGCAACGTAACAATGGACGATCTGCCGAGAGGGATTCCTCCCGGGAGAATTTTTCAATGGAAAAATGGCCCTTATTTAGGTGTTACTGACACGAAGAAAATCCGGAAAACTCCACGTGACCGGCCCTTCGGCAAAGGGCCGACCACCCGGAGACCAAAAACCCGCGACCAACTGTCACTGTTCGGTGATTTTACCGACTCAGCCGATGGTGGGCCCCAGTACGGGATTGCGTGTGGCTTTCTACTGGATATTTTACCGATGTATATTTATTTGGTTATCCGTATGGGGTTTTAGAGTCATTCCTATTCGTACACAAACGCGAATGATAGTAATGTTTAGGAAATCCAGCGGCCCGATAGGCATTCCTCCCCAGATGCTGCATTCGGATTTAATGTCTAATGCAGATACGTGGTATACGTTGGTCGAAATAGTTGGGCGGTCTGCAGCAAGGCTTTTCGCGACACCAAAAGAAGACCCATATAGGTCATCAAGCGTAGTCAAAAACGTTTTACTTTTTTATGATGTGACAGGTGCAGCCTTTACGCAAAACGAAGGAAAGTGCGTACACAAATTACACTTTGATCGTTTTACCTGGGCGAAGACTTTGTCCTGTTGTGGACATCAACGGGACGAGGTACAGTTTTGTACTGTATATCCAACACACATCCAGTATGACCACGACATTGTGAATATGCGTGGGACATAGGCGATTGTTAGATCTATTTTGGCATTTTATTTTCAATGTTTCTTTTTTTTTAACGTAATTACTTTAAGCAATAAACGTTTGTTCCGTTTAATGCACATATCCCGGAATTCCTGCATCGTAGTTCGAAAGGGCGTTGACAAAAAAAAACAAACATGGGATCAACAATGGATGTATCTTGTTTATTAAGTGTTTTAATTAATTTTTTTTATCTTAATAAATCATTTTTCTTTACCAACTATTGTAATACATACCTTATTTGTTTGTTTATTGTTTGTACACAGTAATGCGACACGTGGGCGATTTGCCTCCAGGGAAGACTTTCTCCGAGAAAATTGCCACTATTTAGATGTTACAAACGTGAAGAAAACCCTAAAAAAACTCCACTTGACTCAGGCGCGAACCCGCAATTTGAGTGGACCCGATATAAATCGATTGAGCCGTGGACTCCTGAGGGTCAATCGATTTATATTGGGAGTCGAGGGGCTCACAATTTTAAATTTATTGTTAAGTTTTTTAATTATTATTTCAATTTATTCTTACTTAAAACCAGCTTTTAAGAAAGGAACTGACCTGCGGGAAGGGTGGGAACTCCTTAGTTTATATAATACAATGCTCTATCTTATAATATATACTATATAAATCCTAATAAATAACGGTCACCGACTTGGCCTACTTTCCTACTTTCACGTAGCCAAGGACACTAAAAGAGCGTATGGGATTGGATGGGTGGAAGAAGGCTACGATCTGCCAAAGGGAAATATACCTCCCGGGAGGACTTTCTATAGGAAACTCCCCCGTATTTGGGTGTTAAGGAAGGAGGTAACATTAACTAACACAATTTCTAGTGTTTGAAATTTTAAAAGATAAAAAAACAGTGAAAGAACACGGGAGCTATTGTGTATTAATTAACGTTTTATACTTTCAGGGCAGGTGGTTTTAAACTAGATTAAGGCGAAAGTGCGGATATCTAGTCGAGTGAACAAGGAAAGGAAACCAAACGCTTCAGCAGACATTTTAATAATTGTCGCTATTCAATGCCGTCATTAACTTACCTGAATCATACTAACGGGGGAAAGTTGTTTTTATTTTTATATTTGGAGTGAATCATACGTGCAAAGGACAACATCCTTTAAATTGTTCCTCTCTTTAAAAATTGGGAGAAAATTTTAATGGAAATTCTAAAATATTTTTGAACAAATGACAGATTCTATTCCCCGTGTTTACATTATAAATGGGTCATATCTGTTAAAGTAATGAAGATAAATTCTAAATCTATAGTTTTTGATGCTCTTATTATAGGATTTTTACGTGAAAATGTCAGGTATTATTTACTAAAATGGGCATTTACAGTTAGGAGTATAAATTTACAACGCGACACGTAGGAAATCTGCCGAGGGGGGCTTTCTATGGAGGAAGAATGACACCTATTTAGGTGTTATTAACGTGAAGAAAACCCGGAAAACTCCACGTGGCATGGCCAGGAGCGAACCCGCGACTTGCGTTGGGTTGCGTTGGGTGATTTTTATCCATTCGGCGGTGGGCGTGTACCGATACACATTGAGCATTAAGTATTCAAGGTATTGAGCTTTCAAAAGAGCATATTTAATTCTTTTCCGCTCTGTGGCCCATACTCATAGTGAATTTAGCCAGGCCCACAAAGAAGGCAGCGGGGACGTAGTCTGACCACCCATGAAAAATTCCTGGGAAATTGCTCACCCGGATTCGATCCCGGATCTCAAATGGACATTTAGGCATTAAGCATTAAAAAAATATATTAATATCTAAATGTCTATTTAAATTAATTGTTTTTCGTTAAAAATTACAAATTTTATTACTTTTCTAACAGCACAATTCATGCTTTTCTCCATTATAAAAAAAAATTGTTTTTTAATTTTTTAACGAGAAATTATAATGTAAGCGCCTCTAGCGACAATTTCAAGCAAATTGTAAAATCGTGCACGATTGCCACGTGACAAAAAAGACGACAATAAAGTCGTTATTTTCCTGGTAAAGATAAATAAAAGAGAAATTCTAAGAATGAAATGCTCTTTATTCTAACTTTCAGAGCTTTATTTATTTATTTTTTAATTATAAATACAAATCTTTTAAGTCCTATTCATATCCTACTGGAAATACAAGTGATCCCTTGTATCTCCTCACCCCGTCGATCTTTAACCACCAAAATTTAATAGCTTCATACCACGTAATACACCAACTCCCCTGCAAAATTTCAGAAATTTTTCGACAAAAGACACAGGAATTATTAAGCTTCGAAGTGGGTGAACACAATTGCACACCCCCAAACATCCACACACACACACACACACACAGAAGAAACACTAGACCCTAAAGAGCATCCTAAACACTTCACAGTAGCATTATAACACTTTATTAAAGTATTGTTTTGGGACATTTACACATAACATAACAAGGGATGCTAAAAATTCATTTATTAATAGGCTATATTTTAATAAATAAAAGAAAACACCACACACACACACACACACAACACTATTTCGTAGCTCGTAAATCAAATTATTATAGATATTTACTTTAAAATTTAAATGAAAAAGCTACCACGTGATGTCTTTGTCATAATAAATCACGCGACGGCACGTGACGCCAGACACAAGACTATTGTCTGTTAATCTATAGAAGTAATGTGCGGGGGATAGAAGAGCGAATCATTAAGAAACCGTGTCATATGGAACCGAATCATTATTTTAAATCGTTCATCCTGGAATGATTCGGATTGCGCCATTGATCCTACGAAATCTCACTTCCGTATAAACTCTAGCTTTTCTAAGAAAATAAGGGGGCAAAATCCTTTCGTTTTTACATTGTTATTATAGCTTTGTTAATGTAGGCTACGTTTTTTTTTTACTATCACTTTCGAATGGAAACTGGATCTTACACAAGAAACCATCGGCATATTGCAGATGGGAAGTGAAATTTAGTGTAACTAGACACGTCGTGTTACATTAAATTTCACTCCCGTGTGATGTGTTACACGAAATGGCATGTGACATTTAAACCCGAACACCGCAGATGACGTGTAAAAATCTCCCCCAATCCTCAACATTTTTACACTCGAGGCTGCAAAAAAATTGGAAGGTGTGTGTGTGGGGGGAAAGCTCGATTTTGCATACCCACTTCGAAGTTTAGTACAGTCGATCCCCCTATAACACTGCTGATAATTCCGTTTTATATGAATTCCATGTTGTACGAGTCACTTAGATTTTACAAATACGTGTGCCGTTCACGGCCCGGCACACGTATTTGTAAAATCTAAGTGACTCGTACAACATGGAATTCATATAAAACGGAATTATCAACAGTGTTATAGGAGGGATCGACTGTAATTCCTTATCTTCTTTCGAAAATTGCCGAAATTTTGCGGGGAGATTTGAGTATTAGGGGGAGTGGGGTGTATAAACAGAGAGAGATGTACAGTACTGTACGCTATATAAATGGATTTATTTAGATACAGTACAATGTTAATTAGATAAATCGATTTATATACCCCTGACGTTTAGTATATAAATCTTTATTACATACTAAATATAAATATTATAGACGAAATCGAATTAATTAAAGTCATTAGGGATATTTTTAATTTCGTTGGGTCGATTCGAGTCGGGGGAGATTTTCGAATCACATGTAAGAGGAGAAGAGAAAAACCGACCAATAATTAACGAGAACGATGTCACATTTACCGAGGAATGATTTCCCGGAACTGACGTCACAAAAAAACTCCCCATGAGTGTGTAAAAGTACAGAAGAGCTGGACGGGGAGAGTATCATTCACCTTGACATGGTAAGTCTCTTTATAGCGCATTCGTATTCCGCTTATAGCAAGCTAATTTTTAACTGTGTGATAGTACGAAACGTTTTCTAAAGTAGTTTTTTGTATTGTTATAATTTTATTATTATTATTATTAACTGCACACGTGATTTCATTATATGTATACACTCAATATATGCTTAAACTTTTTTAAATGTTTACTAAACACTATATTATACCCTTCCCCCCAATTATAAGTTGTAGGTGGAGAAAAAGTTTACTTTTTTTATATTTTAACCTTATTCTGGGGTGGAAATTTAAGGATTTGTTTCTTTCTGGAGTAGTCCTTTTATTCGGAAGATTAACTGAATAAAAAGTATCGTCACTTGGGTTCAAGGGCATCCGCTGGTTGGGACAAACGAGTCATTTGCCCTCACCTGGATCAGTCTTTCTAACCGAAGGCCAAGGGGGGGAGTTTAGAAGTTGGAACGTTATAATTAATTCTCTAAGCAGTGATGAAAATTTCTATTCTCTGCCTCACTCAGTAATACGATTGATTACGTGATATAAGCCATTGTCATTCTGGTTTAAGTAAATTGTGATAATGGGAGTACAGTATATACTCAGCTGCAACTTTTCTAAGAGGTGAATGAAGGGATATACTCAGCTGCAGCTTTTCCAGGGGTGATCAAAGGGATATACTCAGCTGCAGCTTTTCCAGGGGTGATCAAAGGGATATACATAGCTGCAACTTTTCTATGAGTGAAGGGATATACATAGCTGCAACTTTTCTAGGAGGTGAATGAAGGAATATACTCAGCTGCAGCTTTTCCAGGGGTGATCAAATATCCCTTTGATCACCCCTGGAAAAGCTGAAGCTGAGTATATCCCTTTATTCACCTCCTAGAAAAGTTGCAGCTATGTATATCCCTTCACTCATAGAAAAGTTGCAGCTATGTATATCCCTTCACTTATAGAAAAGTTGCAGCTATGTATATACTAGCCTTAGCTTTTCCAGGGATGATCAAAGGGATATACATAGCTGGAACTTTTCTAAGGGGTGAGTAAAGGAATATACAGCTTCAGCTTTTCCAGGAGTGATCAAAGGGATGTATTTCTTTGACACCTAGAAAAGCTGCAGCGGAGTCTACCCCTTCACCCACCCTTGGAAAAGTTACATCCTCGCTCGGGGTCCTGGACAAGTTTACATTTTATGGCATTATAAACTTTAACAGGGATATTTAAAGGATACAATTGGATCCATTAAACGTAAACAGCTTTAAATAATCTGTCAGGAAACCTTTTATCACATTTTGCAATATCCTGATTTCACGAATTGTTTTTATCTTACAGGATCCCGAACATCATTACATGTTTCAGGGATTAGTAAACAGCATTCTACATCCTTTAGCATCGACCAGCGTTAAAGATGCCGGAAAACTCGTCAAGCATCTTCAAGACGTAAGATTAATTACATTTGATATTTTACCTTAACAGATACCGTGTACTTTTTCTCTCCCCCCCACTCGCGCTTGGCTGAATAAATATGCATATTTGCTTCGTCACTCGAAAATATTGCGCCTACATTTCGGGTTGGTTACGATTGTTTAAATACTATTTAAGGATATTTATGTTGGCGGAAAGATTTTGAAATATTTGAATATTCTTCATTATATATCCTTGAGAATTTAATTAGTATTATAATCCATAGTTTATGTAAAATTTGACAGACAGTTGCAACGTATAATAAGTAAAAAAGGGGGATTAATAAATGAATTAATTAATATCTCCCGAAATAATCGGCCGATCTTTCCGAAAATTTCTGAAAACATTCAACTCTAATACAGAAATCTCGTAGCAAAATTTCGGGAATATTCGATAAAAAGAACAGGAGTTATTAAGCTTTAAATATGGTGTAATAGGAGCGTAAAAAGGCATCTTTTAAGGTCTCGAACCATAAAAAAAGAAAAACCTCTACTCCCTCTAATATTACTGATATTATTATAAAACAAATACTTAATTTCAGGCTATAATTCTCATCTTTATTGCGAATACAGAACTTGTTTAATTATATTAGAAAAACACCCTTGAACGTGAAGAAAAGGTCAAGGTTAGAGCCGTGTACCGAGAACAATCTTACATCAGAAGTTGCAGTCTCTTTGTGGAAGGAAACTGTAAATTGATAATTAGGATAAAAACCCGTTTAAAACGGAAGAAATTCTTCGGAACAGATCGATTTTTTTTACGGTGAAAAAGAAAACCCGTACAAAAACAGAAATCTACCGTGCCATTCCGGTTTACACAGGTTTTACTGTATTAAAAATATCTCCGGAACCGACTGCCCGATTTTCTCGAAAATTTCTAGAAACATTCCCCCCTAATACTCGAACCTGCCAGCAAAATTTCGGAAATTTTCGGCTAAAGGTACGGGAGTTATTAAGCTTCAAAGTGGCCCCACTACGTACAGATAGGCTATATAAAACCCCAACTTTGCTACAAAACCCCCAAAAAAATGCAAGTGTTTCAGGGTCATTCTCGACCGATACCCATACTTTCCCTCTGTTATACGTTATAACTTCCGTAAAATTAATCTAGTACAATTATCTAGTGTAAATGTTTATATTGTTATATCAAGCTGTTTGTTTATTATGCCATATATTTAAATTACTCACCTCCTAGCGCGTATGTTTTAAACAATAAAAACTTACTGTTATAACTCTTGACACTACTAAAAATCACTGTTTTATGGATTATAACATTAGTTAAAAGTGTTATATATAATTTTTGGTGGTTTATTATTTTTTATAGCCTGTTTAGAAGACTTTCTGTGGAAAATTAGCACCATTTAGGTGTTAGACACCTGGATTGAGATGCTAGTATTTGAATAACTGGCCTTTTTAAACAAAATAATAGTAAAACCAGAGAAATATCTCATCCTTACGTAACGAAAACAAGTATATTCAATTGTATACCTTTCAGAGAATCTATTTTACAGCAATTATCTTTCCATAGATCATTTGACGGCAATTTTTATATTATATTTTAGTTTATACATCCTCTTAGCTATTGTTCGAAAATATTTCACCTATCTTTTATCACGTTTCCTCCTTAAATTCTTCTATAATTGATCAATATTTCGAGAATTTCAGAAATTCTAAATCGGTTATGCTGCAACCGGTTTATTGTTTTCTAGTACTAGAACATACTTTTTATCTATTATTTTATTTTCCTTGCAGTTATATATAATAGGGGGAGAGAATAAAAGGTTACCTTCCTGAATATTTTCACATTTTCTTGTACTCTGGGGACCTTAAAACGTCGAGAACAGCAAAAAACCTGGGGGGTTATCCTGTGTTCATTCTCTTCAAGCTTAATAATTCCCGTGCCTTTTGTCGTGTATTCCCGAAATTTTGCAGGGAGGTTCGAGTGTTAGGGGCATTGATTCTATTAAATTTCGGTGACTAAAGGTCGAGCGTTTGGGGAGATACAGGGAATTAAGTGTCGTATCTCGAGTGGGAACGAGCTTAGTGAAGGTTTAAATCCTCCAAAAATCCTCCTTTTTTTGCCTGGAAAGTTACGCAACTCGTTTCTGGATTATTTTTTTTTCTATAATTTATCAATATTTCGTGAATTATAAGCAATCGAAATCAGGATATTAACAACCCATTCTGCAACCATTTATCGTGTTTCTTAGTACGTTACTGTACTTTATCGTTGATAAAGTGATGTTTATATTTAATATTTCACACAAAAAAGCGATTTATATACTAGTTATCAATACACGAAGCTGTTATCATTAACTGTGTAGGTGTAATTATTTATTTCTAGTGTAAATAAGTACAAATTGCAGGTATGACTTTACACATTTTAAGCGTGGAATATGTAAATAAATGTCCTTCGATGGGGGTATAAAAACTATATAAAGACGGATCCACGCGGTATATTTTACGAAATATTCTCGAATAGGATCCATTGATTTGTATTTCTTCTTGTTTACATAAGTTTAATTACAGTGAATTACATAACATTTTAACGAGTCTTTGATGATACTCCATTGTTGTTACACACACAAGGACACTTTTTTAACAGATGCTACGTTGCCAGAAATAATAATAAATTATATTATTTTTCCTAGTGTAAATTGATATAAATTCTAATAAAAATGTCGATTTTTCTTTTTTCCTATTGTTTAGGTGTTTAATATCAGAGACTCTCCCGATTTATCCCTTCTAAACAACGATAATTATAAGGTAATATGCCTATACTTTTATTAATGTATAAGTTAATTTTAATTGTAATCGTGTGTTAATAACTGTACGTAAATTACAGTGCGTGGAGTTAAAAGTAGACGTGTTGAAGGCCAGAAAACTTCGCAGTATGGACGCTAATGGTAAGTAGTGTTAAAACTAGTCGTTTATATTGTTTTTTTTTATTTATTTATTTATAAAGGAAATTGCACTTTTTTTCAGGACTTAGCGATCCTTACTGCACGTTAATGATTATAAATTCCAATAGAATCAACGAACACGGAGACGTGATGAATAATCAATACAAGAACAATAACGAAGTGGTAAAGACTAGTGTGAAAGACAAAACGCTTCAACCGATTTGGAACGAACAATTTAAACTGTAAGTGAAATTTATAATGGAAATAAATACGGAGGTGTTTCGGAATTCGAACGACGACTCGGAAATCGAACACTTTCTGGAAGTTTTGCTCGAAAAGTTCGACTTTTGGGAGCAAAATTTCGAAAGTAAAGACAGTGTGAGATATCTTTTACGGGTACGATGCGTTAACGAATGGTGTTTTATATTTTATTTTGGGATATTTAAGGATACAAACAATGCCCAACCGCGCTCGAGTTCATTGTTTTATGCGTTAATTAGTGCATTTACTTGCATTATTTTAGCTGAAATTATGATTTTTTTTATAATTAAACTTAGTATTTTGTGATTTCCCATGTTATTGACTCGAAAAGTGAACGAATAATGCTGTTAAATAGAGATTAAATTTACTTCTCTTCGTGTTTTCGGTGGGGGAAATTCACGATGCTCGATGATGTAACACTTTTTAGGATGATCCACAACTGTATAAATGTTTATTATTAATTAATTTAATTATTCCGATTTTAATTAATACGTAAAATACCAAATTCTTTTCTTTTAAAGTGAAATCAAAGACGTGTTCACGGATCAATTACTCGTTTGTATTTGGGATAGAGACGAAGAGCATACGACAGTTTGGGAAAACGTTAAGAGTGTCGAAAGACCCTCTGGTCTTATCAGGTATATTTTGTATAATTAGCTAATTAAGCTATTGTTTTAATTAATTAATTAACGTCTGAAATCGAATTTAGCTTGTGCAGACAAGTCAAAAATAATATTGGGCATAAAAAGTTTGAAGACGATTTCATCGGTGTTGTTGCCATACCCATAAAGGTTAGATATATATATATATATATATATATATTTTATATATGTTGCTTAGATATGTAACAGGATAAGTTTAAAATTAAAATAAGATAAGAAAAGAAAGGAAATAATGAGGGAACATCCGTTTAAATTGCAGGATATTCCTCCGGAAGGATGTGAATCTTGGTGGGACGTTACTACCAGGTTAAAGAAGAATGCTAAATTCGCTGGAAGTATAAATTTGCGACTTAGTTTAAAACAGGTTAACTCTTATTTATTATAATTAGGGGTCATTGAATATGTATATATGCTAATTGTCTTTTTAAATAACGATTTTTTAAAGTAATAGAAAGGTTGCGGCCGACGTTTTCAACGCAAAAACGTGTACGTCGGACGTTCAGCCCCGCCTTCCTGTGAGCCTAGAAGTTTGACAATGGCGTTTGGAACGTCAAGCATAATTCCACTGACGTTCCGAACGCCATTGTCAAACTTCTAGGCTCACAGGAAGGCGGCGCTGAACGTCCGACGTACACGTTTTCGCGTTGAAGACGTCGGCCGCAACCTCTCTAATAAAACAATAAACCTAATTCTTTGTACTAAAATATCGGAAATGTATGCTTTATCTTCTGTTTTAATCGTTATTTAATTTATTTTTAATAGAATTACGATCGCTACGACAGTGATTTGTACTCGCTAGAAGATTATTACAAAATAATCAGTGAATTAACTAGATATTCTATTTTACATTTAGACGAGGTGTGCTTCTTTCTAATCAGTCTTGTATTAATAATAAATAAATAAATAAATAAATAAAAGTAATACAATTATTTGTGTAGGACGTAGAATACTTCAACGGTGGGCTAATGCCAGAAAGCGAGAAAACACTAGAATTATTTACTAAACAGCAACAGATAATACCATCTACCGAAAAACTTATGTAAGTTAATTTTTTTATTTATATAAAAATTACTATAATTTAACATTATTTATTGGAAAATTAGGCGACTGTTAGCATTACTCGACTGGAATTCGGAAAATCGGAGGCCAACCGTTTCGGAAGAAGCCATCTTGCAAGCATTCCAAACACTCGAATTAAGTATCTCTACTAAATCTACGTGGGAATTAGTTAACGACGATGACGTACAAACACTCATTTTTAATCCTAAAGAGGTGAGCTGAACGTTTCTCGATACTTTATTTCTATTCATCCCTAAATAATTGCTACAATTATCTTTAGTAAGTCTTTAGATGGCTTCGGGAGATATTAAAGGAATGGGGCCAAATCTCCCGAACGAATGGTCCGATTTTCCCGAAAATTTCTAGAAACACTTCATCCTAATAAGCAAACCTCCCCGCAAAATTTCAGCAAGTTTCGACAAAAGACAAGGGATTTATTAAGCTTCGAAGTGAGTGAAAAAGTCACGTCCCTACACGCATACACACTAACGTCCAACCCCCCAATTTTTGCATTTCTCGACGTTTCAAGGTTTTCCGAGTGTAAAAAATGTAATAATCATGGGGGAGGGGGGTCTTTCGTCTATTTTACTCCGTTCTCGAGATTACAATAGGTCTACAGTTTTTCCAAATTGCAGCCCAGTGAAGTGAGTGGAATAATCAATACTGCGCTTTCGACTTTCGTGATGCGAAGCACGTATTTATAGATTAAATATTAAGAAATTCGCGTGTTAATCGGGACGTTTCTACACATTAATAAAGCTTAACTGTTGTAAAAATTAATGACGGCTGCCTGATAATGTAATTATAATTGATAAAGACCGACTGACAAGCTTTCGTTGCGTTGGCACGGCGAACTCGTTTGTCGTTCCCCCCCTCTGAGTGGGTGTAATGTCAATCACTTGTCACGTGTAAATTTAATTTTAATAGTTCCACTAATTTAACTACTTTGTTTATTACTAAACAGTATAAAGGAGTCGGCATACTTTAGTCTATGAAATGGTTTATTTTAACCTCATAGAGGTTAATTATAATTCGATTTTGAAGGATTAATAAAGGTGAATTAAATTGAGAGATATAAACTTAGAGGGAGAAAGGTCAGAGGATAGGACAGGAGAGAAGAACAGAGGGAGAAAAGGACAAACAGAGTGAGAAAGGATGAACTAACGGGGAGAAGGAGAAAGGTATAAACTAACAGAGGGACAGGAGAGAGGAGGAACAAACAGAAGTAGAAAAAGGAAAACCGATAGGGGGGACGGAAAGGGAAAAGGTCAAACTGAGAGAAGAACAGAGGAAGAAAAGGGCAAACCGATAGGAGGACAGAAAGGGGAAAGGGACAAACTGACAGAGGGACAGGAGAGGGGAACAAACAGAGGAAGAAAAAGGCAAACCGATAGGGGGACAGAAGGGGAAAGGTACAAACTGACAGAAGGACAGGAGAGAGGAACAAACAGAGGGAGAAAAGGACGAACTGAGAGGACCAGAAGGAGAAAGGAACAAACCGGCAGAGAGACAGAAGGAAAGAGGGACAAATTGAGAGGGAAGGGAGAACGAGACAAACTGACAGAGGACAGGATGAGAGAAGGAGAGAAAGACGGATAGAGGAAAAGAGAGAGTCTGTAATGTAATATATATATATATATATATCTGTTTGGAATTACTGTATTTCGAATTTAAGAGACGACAGGACTTTTAAAAAGTTATTTTTAAGCAAAAATTGCCGATAATTAGGAGTAAATATAGTTAAATAGAATTTAGCAGAGTAAAAACATCAAGAATGTATTTAAAATAGTTAAACAAAAATATAAAATAAACAGGAAATAGTATAAAATCTAACGAAAAAGAGTGATTAAGAATACTCCGATTTAACGTTAGGTAACTTAGAGGAGGGGGAAATTGCATTTTCAATTCGAATTAATACGATATTTTTAATTTATTAAATAAAAATACGGATTTTAAAAGAATATTTCGCTGCATATCTTTATGACGTTTTCGTCATTTATACACCCAGATCAACATTTAATTACTGATAATTATTTGATAATGTTTTGAATATAAGCTTATATATGCAGCTCCAAAAGTCGGTTAACTGTGTTTTATGCCACGTTCCATGTGTTTTCTTTTACAAAATTCACAAAAACACAATAAAAGGTACGATATTTAACGTATATCAGATGTTCGTGAGTCCTCTGCCATAAAGGAGTGGCATGAGGAGCTGTTCGGACCGTACTGTATACAAGTAGCTGACCTTTTTTTGCAAAGTTTTATATTAATATTATATAATAATGATTATAAAACTTATTTATTGTCGTTTCAGTTGGCACTATTAGATCGAATCGCCTCTACTTACGTTAAAAGCTTTTGCCAAGATGAAAAGCAATTACCCTGTTCCCTGTTTCCCCTCGATTCTCAAAGCTTCCTCTGTCTACCTGAGAGATTAAAGTAAGTTTATATGTATACATAGGCCCTAAATTATAGGCATAGATCGTCTATATTGTTACTGAATATAAACTGCACAGCTGCCCGCTTTCGTCGATAGAAGTATATTTACTCATCTGTATTTTAATATGATTGTTATAATACATCCTGGACATAATTAGCCTTAACAATACGTTAATAAATTGATAAAAATATATTAATATTTTCAGGATACTGGAACGTTTGACATCACTAGAAACGGGTCACGAGGTGTTGAATTTTAGGAAGGAACTAGTGAAGCAATTGGAGATGAGGTTAAAGGTCAGGAAACAATCGAAAACGTTAGATTTGCCTGTCAATTTTTTTTTTGTATTTACCAATTGTTTATACGATTCAGAAAGACATACGAGAATGGATAGATAACAACACGAAGATCAGCAACGACGAAGGCAGAGATACAGTCTTACAAGACATGACTGACCTGACTATGCTGTTAGTAAATATCACAAAGAACTGTTCGTGCGGGCAGTTATTATCAGAGCTTCCGTTTTCAAAATGGGGGTTCGGATATCAGAAAGAAATGGCCATAGCTATCGACGAAAAGGTAAACTGTATGGCCTACTCTTACAGCTGTAATTCTATCTCTTACGTTGTTTTTCTTTAGATGCACGACATATGCAGAGGTGTAATGAGTCGTATGGACCATTACCAAAATCGCTACAAGGACTACCACGTGAATATCAAAGACAGTAGCGCTCTGTGCCATACTTACTACATAACGCTGAAAAAATTAGTACAAGTTTTAAGGCGCAATATAACGAGGTTTGTTGTCACGTAAACTGTAGTAACTGTCGAAAATCGTGATTATAAAACAATTAAATGATATATTTTAGGGACCAACAGACCGAATGTCAACCGCCGAAGCTTAAATTATCGGAATTCCACGGTTGGTTTAACGAAAGTTTCTTACACCTTCTGCAAGCATTCCGTTCGGAATGTTACTTAAGAACGACTAGAGCGGTAGAATTAGACACAAGATCTACTTTGGTAGTATTAATTTGTCTTAATTCGTTAATTTAAAGGTGTTTTTTATATTAATTTGAGTCATTTAATTGTCTTTCAGATAAATGAAGATGGCGGAGGACACTTTTCTAATTCGGCAGTTTATGTGTTGAGTTGTTTTGCGGAAGTAAGTTAATTGTTGAATAATCTATAACTGTAAATTACGTGTGAAAATATGCTATATACGGCGTAATTTGCACCGGAATGTTGTCATCGTTCATCCGTGGTAATTTGTTTCTTCCGTCTTTACTATCGATGGAAACACGTTGCTACAGCCGTTTTAAGTGTTAATATTATAGTAAATGTTTTAAATAATTATCACTAATGTCAGGAATTATGTGAAATCTATAACTGCAAATTCAGTAACTGTTAGAGCAATCCCTCCTCTCGAAGAGGTTCTATCTTTACTTACTTGTTAGTGATCTCTTCGCTAGTTATGCGTTTACGGTGGATCAGAAATGTTGCTCTTAGTATTCGTATTATTTTTCATTGAATTTTCCTTTTCCTGGTTTCTTTTCTAATGCGAATGTCATCTGACCGAATGTCCTAAAATAATTTAACGTTGGCATTCTACTGGTCCATAATTTGAAGGTTATGTCTCCTCCCAGGCTCTTTGATAGACATCTATTTCTAATATATGATGCGGTATATACAGCCTCTGCCCAAAAGCATTCTCTCAATCCTGCCTGGAGTAGCATGCAACATCCCATTTCCACTAGTGTTCTATTTCTTCTCTGTGTGATGCCATTCTGTTGTGGTGTGTAGCAGGATGTTTTTTCATGCCTTTATGTTTCAGGAAGTTCTGAAATTCTCTATTAGTATACTTGGTTCCGTGTCACTTCTTATTTTCTTTATCTTTTTTCCTGTTTTATTTTCTACAAAGGTTAGGTATGTTTTGAATTTCTCGAGAGCTTCACTTTTGTTTTTTATGAAATATATTTCACACCATCTAGAATAATCATCAATAAACGTGATGAAATATTTCGATCCACTCAATGATGAGGTTCTCATTGGTCCACAAATGGCGGTATGGATCAGTTTTAATATCTGAATCCTTTTTCGTTTCGCTTCAGAAATGGTGATCTGGTTTGTTTCCCTCTTATGCAGATCTCACAGGGGTCAAGTTCTCTTTTCACCTTATATTTAGTCCTCTGACCTTTAGGTTGTTGTCCATGTGCCATACATCCCTTTCGTTTAAGTGACCTAAGCTTTCGTGCCACCTTTTCATTTTATTGTTTGAGAGAGTTTAGTTCCTCCCACTTTTCTTTCACATAGTATAGTCCTCCTTCTTTAAATGCTCGCATGTGTACACTTTTGGTTTTCGGATCCATAATAGTTGCTCTATTCTTTTTGAATAGTACACTGAATCCATGATCAGTTATCATCCCAACTGACAATAGATTGGTTTTTAGTTCTTGTACGAAGAGTGTATTTTCCAATTTGGCTTGAAATCCGCCTTTTGTTTCAATTATTACATCACCACTTCCTTTGATTTCCATTGTAGATGAGTTGACCAAGTTTAATTCACTTATGTGGGATGTTTCAACATTAGAAAATCTTGCTTTATCATTTCACATGTGTGATGAAGTAGTGGCCGGATGGCCGAGTGGTCAAGATGGCAGCCTAGCACTCTGGGGGACCTGGGCTCGAATCCGGACGGGTCAAAAAATCACCAGGAATTTTTCAGGGGGTGGTCTGTTCAGCTATGTTGGGCCCTGTCCCTCACCACCCAGCATCCCCATTATGGGCTTGGTCGAACCCATAATTTGTTTGCAAAAAAGAGGCCTGCTTAGTGCCCACAGGGAGGAAAGAGTTAAAAAAAATGTGTAATGAAGCATCTGAGTTGAGATACCATTTAATAAGATTCTCTTTCCCTTCATTTGCCGTAATATTAGCATTATATCACTCCTGTTTTCGTGTAGTTAATATTGTAGTCATAGCTCTATGTGGTTTCCGTTTGTTTCTGTCCCAGCAGTCTCTCGCCTTATGGCCTATCCTTCAACAGTTATGGCATCTGAATTTGAATGGCCCCTTATTTTCTGATTGTTTCGTCCGTTGTTTGCTTATATACAGCGCACCCAAATTCTTCGAATCATCGGTATCGTCATTTCGTTTTCGTGCCTCATACTCGTCTATTAGTTTTATTTTGAGTGTGTATGGCAAAAGAAGTTTCTCTTGTGTTTCGATAGCGATTCGGAATTGTTTGAACAAGTCCGGTATACTATATAACAGTAGTACAGTTAAGATATTTTAAATGGTTTTAGGTCTGTATAGATAGAAACAATATAAACCGAATCTTCCCAGATACCAGCCAAGATGCACAAAAGAAGAACAAGCAAGAATCCTACTCAATTAAGTAAAATCCTCCAAAAGAATCATTTAAAACAGAACAAATCCGAAACCTATAATCAAAAAACAAATTAAAACAAACTCCTGTCAAGACAGCAGAAATAAACAAAAGGTTCAATCTACTCTCTTGAATAACAAAAGAAAAGTCAACATATGAAAAGAGAATCTCAACAAAAGCAGAATGCTTTTAGTTATAAACATATGATTCATTAATTATAAAAATTACATCTCATTTTGTATCGGTTAAAACTAAAAAGAATGAACAGATAAATCTAAAAATTATTAGAGTTTAAAAATATAAAACAGTGTATTTAATAAATTGCCGATTCAAATAGACAAAGAAACTAGTTCGCATTTGAAAACACAACATCTACATATGTAAGAGTCAAAATATGTTAGTTTGTTTGTTTGTTACGCAAAGGGTTCTATACAGTTCAAAGTCTCCGCACCAAATTAGGCACGAATATTCTTCGACATTCCAGAAAGAATACTGTGTTGTCCCCCATCCCCAATCACCTCGAAATCCCACTCTTCTTAACTAAAGTCTGAGCATTTTTTTTTTTTTTTGGTGTTTTGCCACTTTATTATTGTAAATACCCAATTCATAAATGTACATTTTAGTTACTAATGATACCATTTATCGTCCTTTCCCAACCTAACCTCACCAACCCACTTCCTTAAAAGCCCGTGCACACACTGCCAGTTGATTTTAAAATTATGCATAAGTATTTTGAATATTTATAAATATTTATAAATAAATAATTTATAAATAAATAAATTTTGTACCCAGCAAATGCTAAGGGAAGCTAAAAGCAGTAAAACTTGAATATTCTTGTACAGTTGTCCCTTGATAGTCCGACGTTTTGTAATCCGACATGCTCAGAAGTCCCGTCAAGGTCATTGTACTCCCCGTCCCCGTTACGTGTTCTGCTTGCACAGAAGCATGTCACAACATGAATCTCCCCACTCAATTCTTACACGAAGACACACATTTCTTGTGTTTTCCGTGAGCAGTTCTGTTCGAACAGTTGGAGTAAGGAATATTGTAGGCTACTGCTAAAAAACAATGCCAAATATGTAATCACTTTCGGTAATCCGACACCCTTTGGTCCCACACCTGTTGGACTATCAAGTGACAACTGTATTTACTATCAGTGTGTGATAAATTCACACGAAAACTCTTTTGATGTTTAGATACTGACCGAATGGAAACAATTGGGACTGGAGCAGAAGGAATTACACTTTGCATTTCTAATTAAACTAACAGATGTGAGTAGCTTATTTCAAATTGATAGACATTAAATAATAATATTAAGTTAATAACTTATTATTTACACTTATTTTTTGCGTAAAATAGGTTATTTGCGACGCAACGAAGCTATACACTGAAATGATGGAGCAAAAAGCACTTACGTATTGTAAAAATTGTGCTGGGCAGTTTATAGTTCCTATGCAGGTACGGTATATAATATTTTCTACGGTGAAAATTATGAAATCTCGACTTTTAGGTCTTAAAAAAATTAATTATTTTAGGTGTGTACATCGTTAAATAACATCGATCATGTCTGGGATTATGTAAAAGTCTTACCTGATAAAATGACTTGGGAGGAAATGGAGCCAGATGAAGAAATCAAGGGACAAACTTTGGAAGTTTTACACAAACTGCTGGACAGCACGGAAAAACAAGTGGAACACATCAAAGAAAGGATATTAAATTCTGTTCTGGAATATATATATATTAACGTTAGAAAAGAAATCCAAAATTGGTTAAAAATATTTAATCAAAGTAAGGTAAGTGAAGTATATCATATACCCTATTGAAATTGAATATTTAATACATTACTGCCTAATTAACTATGATTAAAAGTAAACTGTGTCCCAAAAGTCTCCACAAATAGAGCCAACCAGTGGTCAAATAGACATAAACCACTAAATACTTTTCGTTGGTCGCAGGTTTGCACCTGACCAACGAGCCACAAAACTAAATAGATTCGAGGAAAACATCCTGTATTTAAACTTATTTCTCTACATTAATATACAGTAGACCTCCCTATAACACGGGTTCTTATAATACGGATTTGTATAACACGGCGAAAAAATTGCGATCGTATTCGTATAAACACGCTAAAAGAGTCTCGTATAATACGGTAAAACGTCATCGCCGACTCGTGTCGCAACAGGATTGGTCGATTCTAGACCTATAGCGGATATTGCACAAACCGTTGAGTTTAAACGAGCAGCGGACCTACTAAAAACTATTTATTATTTAACGTCCATAAAAATTATATTTTTATTAATGATGTTTCCAAAGTTCAGCGAATTTAACTTATCAGGAAACACGCGCCCGCCGTTAGATGCGCCGCTCCGCGACGAAAACAAGCTTAAGCAATGGCGTCGTCGAACGGTGCACGCTCGGTAAGTAATCCTACAATTTTTTCTTTATAGCATAGTTTACATGAATTATTCCCAAAAAATTATACGTATTTTGGAAATGTTGAGTGGAATTAGTCTAGAATCGATTAATTTTATGGAAGAAAAACCTTTCAAACAGCCGTAGTCTCTAAACTGCACACGTGCCGGGATGTGATTGGCTCCTGAATTTAAGTGACTCGTAAAACACGGAATTCATATAAAACGGAACGTATCTACCGTGTTATAGGGGAGTCTACTGTATACGCTTGTCTATTATCTATAGATTTACTAAAAGCATTTACGTTATAAACTATATTTTACTTAAATTTATACCATTTTTATTTAGGACGAGCAAAAACTAATTGCTTACATCGATAAAAATTTATGCATTTTACATCAAAATACGAGGAATAACATTTGTAACATAATCTATCCTAAGTTATGGGATTTCATTTTAACCGAAACTTCCGGTGGATTTCAAGCTGGAGTAAGGAATATAACTTTTAAAATATTCATTTTTAAATAATGAAAATTAAAAAAAAAAGAATGTTTTAAAGTAAACCGTATATTTAAATTCTAGTTGAAACCGGAATATGCCAGAACTATCAACAAAGTAAGTCAAATTTCAGCATATTTTTTTTAAAAAGTTTCGTTTACTTTAAAGCACAGTTAACTTTATAATTAATAATTACAGAATTTAAAGGCATCACACGATTACTTATTATATCTGGGAATGGACGAAACGTGTAGTAGAGAAATTCACGAAGACTTAACAAGAATTCTTAAGCTCAATTCCTATTCTTCTATCGAGCTTCAACTGGAATATTATTATGAGCTTTCGTGCAATGTAGTCAGTAAGATGTTCATAAAATTTCTTCATAAAAATTTCAATTTCATTTTAAACTTCGTGTGTATTTTGTACAGAAAACGCCCTTGGAATATATTGGGCACGTAGCTTTCAGATCGGGTTTTAAAGAAATTACTAAAGGAACTATTGACATAGTTGTCAAAGGTTAGTTCTATAAACGTTTATTGTTTTACACGTTCAAAATATTGATTTCATCGTCACGCAAACTTCTCCAAGAAATACAAATATGTAATAATTAACACTGTACTTCATAACGCGCTAAAAATACACCAAATATCTTCAAGCCCATCATCCAGAAAGGATGGACAGCGGGAAAAAAGATATTACACCCGTAAAAATCATTCATTACACACCTTCCTGTCCAGATGCACCTCTTTTGCTTCAGAAACACGTGCCTCTTCTGGCCTACTTAAATTCTTTCGTTCTTTTAGATACCATTCCTTATCTCGCTTCCCTTCTACCTTTCTCACGTATACTCTCTTCAGCAATTCAGCTCTCTTCTTCAGCAATCTCTTCTACCTTTCTCACGTATACTCTCTTCAGCAATTCAGCTCTCTTCTTCAGCAATCTCTTCTATCAGCTCTTCTCAGCTCTCAATCTCTTCTTCAGCAATCTCTTCTACCTTTCTCACGTATACTCTCTTCAGTAATTCTTCTGAATTGCGTGAATATACGTGAGAAGATTTACACACCTTTTGAACTACGCTTTCTTTCACCCCACGTTCCTCCAGCAATTGTTCGTTTCTCACACAGTTTTTCCGCGTTAAAAATTAAAGATATAATGTAATGGAATCATTTAGATTAAGTTATATCTTTAGCATCAAGGACACACAAAGTTCGTGCTTTACTGCACCTCTGTTATCACGACGTTGACGCTTCACTAAGTACTTTCGTAGCATATAAATTCAAAAAAAAACCTCGGTGTTAAGTTAATATCGTGTTATATTTTTCAGTTTTAAACGCACAAAACTTGCCAAAACAGGATTACTCCGGTTCGTGCGATCCATTTGCAGTCATAGAATTATGCCCCCAAGTCATGTTCCCCGGATTCAGACCGCAAAGGACAAAGACTTTATACCAAATTCAGGATCCAGTTTGGGATGAAACTTTCGTATTGTAAGTACCTTTTCGAGGATTTATTTCTGTTATATCAACGCAATGACATAATCAAATTCCATTTATTCCAGTGCTAATTTACCTTCTACCATACTCTCAATGAAAGGAGCCGTGATACATTTTATGATAATGGATAAGGATACCGTATCGAGCGATTTTACCGGTGAATTCTTTGTCAAATTAGAATCCATATTGGACATGAGTAAATTAGCTTCCATTGATTTTCTACCCGTTCAGATGATCCCGTTAAAACATTATACAAATGAACAAAATACATTTTATGTAAGGCCGTGTGGATTTTACAATTATTTGTTAACGAAATCGTGTTAAAATTCTTATTGTTAATTTTAATTTCTTTCTTTTTTAGGTAATAGAAAAGAGATCTTCGTGGGATAAACATTCAAAATTATTCATGCAGACACGTGTAAAGTATCTTAGAGAAGAGCAACAAAACCGATCCTGTTCGGCTAAAAAGATCACGTGCTGTATTTTTTCGTAAATTATAAAATTATCTTGTAAATATATTGTAAATATTCTTATTAAAATGTTATTTATATTATTTAAAAAATGCAGCATAACTTTTAAATGCTAATAACGTGTAAAATCTTAAGTTCAATCGCACTCGAGATACGACAAGTGACCACCCCCATATCTCCCCACACCCTCGACCTTTAACCAACAAAATTTAATAGCAACAATGCCCATATTACGCCAACCTCCCTGCAGAATTTCGAAAATTTTCGACAAAAAACACGGGAGTTAATAAGTTTTAAAGTGGGTGAACGAAATCCTGCCTTCCCCCCACACACACATATAAATGCATACATAAAACCCCCGAATACCTCGCCAATGGGGTTTTCCGGGCTTTACGTTTGTAACAGTTAAATAGGAGGATAAAAAGTAATGATTTAATAATAAAAATCTGAAATTACGTCTGTAAGGAATACGGAAGCGCATTCTACACGTATTCAATTGTATATTTAATTATTGGTATTAGATTTTTACGCGTAAAGCTAGCAAATAAGTAGACCCCCCTATAACACTGTAGATAATTCCGTGTTATATGAATTCCGTGTTGTACGAGTCACTTAGATTTTACAAATACGTGAACCGTTCACAGCCCGGCACAAAATCTAAGTGACTCGTACAACATGGAATTCATATAAAACGGAATTATCAACAGTGTTATAGGGGTGGTCTACTGTATTACTATCACAATTTGTTTTTCAGGCGAAATAACATTCGTACCTTTTGTATTATTTATTTACGTAAATATTTAGCCACTCCGTGAATGATTTTAATTATAAAATATTGTATTAATTACGCATTTAATCGCAAAAAAAGAAGAAGAAAAAACATGCTTATAGAAGGAAATAGAACAAGAAATGGCCTTAAAAAAGAATAACAATTGACGAAGAGAAGATAAGAAAAAAAGTAAAAGGAAAGAATAACAAACGGTTATTTGTTTCTTCATACAATTCGATTTCCTAGAATTCATTACGAAAATCTTTAGTAATTTCTTTTACGTTTATTAAAACTGACTGAGGAGTTGAGGGAGTGAGGGATTGGAGAGGGTGATACGTAACGTTTTATAAGGATTTCAATAAGAGTTTTTCCAATTAGGATCATCATTTAATTAAGGTTATCAATGTTTTCTGTCATGGATAAAAGTGAATAAATTCTAAGATTAATCGTCACCTAATTCAAGTACTTCTTACACAGTTTAAATACACTCACGACACTGACCTACTTCACAAACATAATATATAAAAGTCTATATAATTTATGAGGAAAAGGAGTGTTCGAGAAAAGGTAATACGATGATTAATTAGAGGCAATGAATAAAATTATTAATTCTATTCACTGTATCTGTAATTATTAACGACAAGAATGAAGTAATGTATGAAAAAAAATTTCATTCTTGGAATATAAATAATAGGAAAACATGTCAGTTTATATCGTTTTAATGAAAGAATTTAACCTTCTTAAACATAAATTAATATAGGAAAACGATTAGAATAATGATAAATACCGTGGTATTCTTCGTAATTTTTTTTGTTTACGTTTACTAAATTAATAAAATATGCTTATTCGATTAATAAAATTTTTACAATAGAACGTATTAATCACTACTCTCTAATACGTTCTAAATGCCTGACGAATACATTTTTCAAGCCTTTGAGGCCAACCTGTTTTATCGAATAATTTATGTCTTGTTGTCTGAAATGATTTACAAGCGAAAATCCTACGTATTCTTCTGTTAAAAATATATAAATAAAGTATACAACATAAACTATATATAAAAATAATTCTTGTATTTATATTAATTGGGCTGAAATTTCCGAATTTCAGCCCAATTGTGTCAGTGGGTCTGAAATTTACCTGTAGCTTCCCATTGTCGTTCGTCCTTCTTATATCAGGTGGATACATGAAAATCCGTGGGTATGTAGGTATGTATGTGTATGCGTTGGCGCATATTTCGCTTAATATCTCAGGATGGTGGCTTGTATATGAAAGACACGGATGCTGGTGATTAAAGGTGGAGAGGGTGAGGAGATAAAGATGGTGAAATCCTCACTAACAGAAGAAGTTTTTAAGTCCAGTGTTTTATGTTATAAGCGAACACCCACTGAACACAGTAGGTGTTCGCTTATAACATAAAACACTGGACATTTAATTTTAGCATTTTTTCTGATATAAATTACATTGTCAAAGTAATTTCTTTGTGTTTTTTTCCTTAAAAACTTCTTCTGTTAGTGAGGATTTCACCATCTTTATCTCCTCACCCTCTCCACCTTTAATCACCAGCATCCGTGTAATATTAATAATATTACAGTAGACCCCCCCATAACGCGAAGATACGTTCCTCGTTATACGAATTTCGCGTTGTAGGAATCCTTGGGCTGTGATTGGCTCATGTGTTTGACACGTGTGAAGTTTACGGACTACGGTTGTGTGAAAGGTTTTCTTCCATAAAATTAATCGATTCTAGATTAATTCGACTTAACATTTCCAAAATACGTATATTTTTTTTTTGGAAATAATCCGTATAAACTACGCTATAAACAAAAAATTGTAGGATTACTTACCGAGTGTGCACCGTTCGACATCGCCGTTGCTCAAGCTTGTTTTCGTCGCGGAACAGCGCAGCAAACCGCGGTCGCGATTTCTGATGTTATTTTTCTGCGAAAACTTCGTTGACCGTTGGAGACATCATTAATATAAATAATTTTAATGGCCGTTGAATAAGAAATGTTTCTTTCACAAGAAATTTATAAAATTACCGTACTGTATTAGACTTACGGTACCTAATTTACATACTGTACAGACGATAGCTCGCCTAAACTTTCCGTAGCGTGGCGCTAGACGGAGGAAACTATACATATAATTATAATAAAGTTAAAATAAATTAAGTTAATATATAATTATATGTACAGTACCTAATTTATATATAATTTGTATATAATACTGTACAGACGATAGTTAAACTTAACTTACCCGCCTAAACTCTCCGTAGAGTGGCGCTAGACGGCGGAAAATAGTTCGGCTGCTCGTCCGCGATGACGAGTTGACGATGACGTTTTACCGCGTTTTACGCGTCCCCTTTAGCGTCTTTGTACGAATACTGACGCAATTTTTTCGCCTCGTCATAGGAATCTACGTTATTGGTACCCGCGTTATAGGGAGGTCTACTGTACATTAAATTAAATAGTAACAATTTCAAGAGTTGAGTAAGGGCTCGCAACCTCGTATATAAGAAGAGGGGCGATTTTTGTATCTATTTTAGAGTGTTATATGTGTAAAATACGATATATAATTGGAATTCTATAGTAATTTTTTTTAAATATTAAAAGTTTCTTTATACGTCTTACTGGCCGTGAGAAAATTACAAAAGTTTCTTATTCTATTGTTAAGTTCTTTTTTAATTAAATTGATATTATAATTAAATTCGTAATTAATGCAAAAATTATCTACAGGATAAAACGCTTTTTCCTTATCCAATATTTTAGTAAATTTTTAAGAATTTTCCATCAAAAAAAAACATTTAATAAACTCTTAAGAATAATAATACAATGATGTGATTATTCATCTCATAGTCTGATATGTATTTTATTATTATTTTTATAAGATGTGAAGTGTTGTTGGTCGGTGAAAGTTAAGCATAATTTATGCCATCTATTCGAACAGGATTACCTTCTTCTGTCATAGACAAATCTCGTTGACCTTAAGAAAGTATATACAACATTCGCTTTTTTCTTCCTTAAACTGTTTTGCATGCAAATATATCTGGTATTCTCCCTTTTAGACATTAAATATGTGTCTCTTGTTGCTTTACGTTGTGCCTAATCCTTTAGATAAAGACGATTATTTGGTCATTCTGGCAAGTAACCGAGATGAATTTCTCGATAGACCGAGTTCGTGTTGTCACTTTTGGGAAAAGGATCCGGATATAATCGGAGGTAAGTATTATATTAAATGTTTATTTTAAACTTTAAGCTCTTTATTATCTTCTATTATCGTTCGTTAGGTATGGATTTAGAAGAAGGTAAAGAAGGAGGAACATGGTTAGCCATGAACACCGAAGGAAAAATTTCTCATATTCTTAATATAATAAAACCTTTGAAATCTACAACAGCGGTTAGAAAACGTTCTAGAGGTAATTTCTGTTTTACAAATTGAACTTTATGATAGTAATTTAGATAAAAATGAAGATAGCTTAATATATACTACTATATTGCACCGTTTTCTTTAGGTTTTCTAGTGGTAGATTATCTGAAAAGCAGGTTAGACGGTCCAACCTTTCTCTATAATTTGCAAAAAGAATCTAACGTATATGATGATTTTACAATGATAACAGTAGATATCAGGTAAATTACGATAAAATTATTTTTATTATGAGATTTTAAATAATTTTATATGATAATTGAGGGCCTGTATATTCTCTTTCGGTAATAAAAGAATACCAATGGTTGGTGGGTAAACGTGGATGTGTGCAGTCATATAGCTTTTCTGTTCGCTCTTTTATCTGTTGGTAAGATCTTTTCCGTAATATCTCGACGAGTTATTACGGATCTTCCACGTTCCCTTTTGCTCTCTATCTTTCCCATTCATCCATTCCGACTGTCGAATTAGTTGGTCACTCGTGTGATTTTTCCTTTCCTCTATCGTTCTGGAAATCTGTCTTTTCTCTGTCACCTCTTCCAAAACATCCTCATTCCTCTTTCTCTCAGTCCCGTATGTCGTTTCCCATAGAATGCCTATTGTTCTTGGTCTATTCTCACTGTAACGTCTTTTCCACTCCTTTCCTGTGAAGTAATTATTCTTCCAAGGTACGTGAACTCGTTGACTTCTATTTTTTCACCGTCCAAATAGACGTTCATTCCTCCTTGTTCCCTTTTTTTCTGAATATCTCATGATCTACGAGTAGAATGAAAGAATATCAACTTATTTTCAGAATCGTTTTTATACTACTGGAATGGCAAATAGGGTACCACTAGCAAATAAGAGTTGTCCTCAGCGTATTCTGTATATATACTCGAGGTATAATCTATTTTCATTATACATACTAGTATATAAAACAAATGTACACAACATCTATTTACGTAAATGTTGCGTAGGCATGTTACATTTGATAACGAAATGAATATCCCTGACCCTTTTGCTGTTGCCGGTATCACGAGTCAAACTGTTTGGCTTTGTGTTAAAATATCCGACCCCCACACACATTAACATCCTTACAGACAAAAGCATTTCTTGACGTTTCAAGGTCTCCAATACAAAAATGTAAAAATCTTAAGGAGGGAGTAATTCTTTGATACATATTAGTATGGAGATGGATCGAAATTACAGCTTCTAATATTAAATGTCACGCAAATCGAGACGTCACAATTGGTTTATTTGTTTACGTCAACTCGATCCGTGAGCGATCTGCCTACCGGGAAGAATTTTCTAAACCCCTATTTACATGTTACGCGAATAAAACCCGGAAAACTTCACGTGGTCAGCCCGTTGCCATGAGAGAACCTACGACCAGTGTTCAATAGTTTTATCTATTCGGGCACTGGTAAGCCATCCGGACGAGCTGCTTCGAGAATCTTTCACGGACAATAAGACGAGGATATGTCGGATCCCATCCCTCATTATCACAGTACTCCGAACGGATATGGATAAAAGATCATCTTAGTGCCCAGATGGGATAAAAATTTAAAAAGTAGGGCAGTGTGCCGTTCAGCAGCAAAGGAAAAATTGAAGTGCTCACTACTGGACCTTCTTACACTCTAACCCGATGTGAACGTGCTTAACTGAAGTTGTAGACAAAGACGACAAAGGTCAAAGGTACCGGGTCGCCTGACCAGGTCAAGGAGCAATTCGGTGTAAGTTATCGCTTAGCTGTATACATACGCGACAGGATGCTAATGGTTCCGTTACTCTCTTGCCAACGATATAGAGACATCGTGCTTCCCTCAGTCCGATGATGCGGCTCTCATCAAATTACGTTAGCAACGCGTGATGTCTTTGATTATGTCGTACAGGCATACCTGATAATTCGAAAATTTCCAAACAATAGGCGTATTGAAAACCTAAACACAGTTAGCTTCTCCATCCTTTTTATAGGATACTGGGGTAGCGATATTATGGAATTCTGATGGCATTATCTGGCCTACAATACTGTAATCATTTACATACCTAATAGAATGTAAGTCGAATTTTGTAGTATTATCATTCTTTCTATCATAGCTATCTCGTCTCATCTCTATTTACAAGTCGAATATTTTTCCTCTTAACAACTAGTTCTCAAGGTTTCTTTAACAGTAATTGAGAATTAACCCCTGTCTTATAAATTTCGGCTTTAACTTCCTCCTCGTCTATAATAATTCCTTATGATCTCATCTCTTATATAAAACGATCATCTGTATATAAATTATGGTGACTATTGTCATAATTATAAGCAGGTCCGTCGAGAGGGTGATCAGGAAATTTTTCCTGTACCCGGAGATAAATTAAGGGCACGTGATGGTTCCTATCTAATGTATCCTGAGCCCCAAACAAGCGTATGGGGCTCAGGATAGTCATTCAGTTGTAAGAGACACGGGTAGAGTAATACACTTGTATGGGACCCGAGGTGAAGTCGTACATTTTTATGAGGCCCCGGGCTGGATTAGGAACCATTTGCCATGTCATATATAATATAGAATAGTTAACAAACGTTATTACCTATTTTAAAACACTACTTATACCCTTATATTCTATACTCTAGTCAACGTTAAATGTTTATTTTGGATAAAATTCTTAGTTTAATTTACCTAAAGAATTTAATATTGTATTTGTTAATTTTATTATCTAAAATCTTGACTGGTTTTAATTTATACATTAGACCTACATTACGTAAAGTAAAAGCCTGTTATTACACAAATTCGGGGAAACAGATACCCATTGTCTTACCGTCGGGTAAGTGGTTTCGTAAATATCTATTAAAATTTTTCGTTTTTTTTTAAATATTTAATCGGAAAAGTAATACAGTACTTGTTTTCAGGATGTCACGTATTTGGCAATTGTGTCCCTAGTCATCCGTGGGAAAAACTTGGAGCTGCTAAAAAGAAATTCGCGGAGGTCCTACATCGACATGGTAAAATAACCAGTAAAGAATCACTTATTCAGGATTTGTTCGAGATGCTGAAAGATGACACTCAGTACGTTGTTTAATAAGATATATCAATGGAGATTTTAGGCACAAGCGACATCACCAATAGAGTAAGACAATACATTCAATGGAGAACGTTGGCAACGCTTTCCATTGAAAGAAATGGAGGACGTTGGCAACAGTCGTAATGGTTGCCAACGTCCTCCGTTGAATGCATTGTCTTCCCATCCTCTTTTCATCAATATTGTACAATAAAGGAAGGCGTTGTATTTTTTTTTTTTTTATGCAAGACAATTGGCAACATGTACGAAGACTGCTTGCCAACTTGCCACTTCGAGCACCCGTGCCATAAGGTTGATTGCAAAGATGACATTTACCCGAATCCACACAATGGACTCGCTACCAAGAAACCTTCTTAATTTAGACGAAAAAGTTTTAAAGAATAAAAAGGTGCTATACTTATTAATTATTAGAATATATTTAATTTTTTAGTTAGTCCCCCATTGGGTACTTGCGGATTCGCCATTGGAATCTACTAAATCGTGTATGGACAACTTACGGCAAACTGGAAGTGGTTATGTAGCATATGATCGTATTAAGTAAACACTATTGGTGATCAGCCTGTGAAATGCACTCGTACAGTACATTTAATGTATTAAAGCATATTATCTAATTCTATTCTCCGAGTCTCCGAGTCCAAACAAATAATCCAATCCATATAATAATCACAAATGTATTTAATTTATATATTAAGGTATGGACCCGACGAACAACTAATAAGCGATGCCGAAGGAAGAACGGAAGAAACATTAAGGCAACTAAGTTCCATTTTTGTCAAGGATATGGACAGTTGGTACGGAACGAGGTAAAATTTCGTTAAATTTCGAATATCGTTCATGTTTTACAGCGTTAAACATTACAATTTACAATTTACAGGACACATACAGTGATTATCGTCGATCGAGATGGCAATGTGGATTACATAGAGAAGACCATGCAAGAGCCAATTACCATTTCACGCGAGCCATCGTGGATAACGACTCGGATGTATTTTACTATGAAAGAACAATACATGATAAATTCTCATCTTTAATGTAACTTTAATTAATTATTTCTCTTGAAATTTTGAAATAATTGTAAATAGATAGTATATAGTCCAAACTCCAATAACGGCCACATCTAAAACAGCGGCCATTTATATAACCGTTGTTCGTAGGTTTGACTGTAGTTGTATTATTTACTAAAATATCGCGTAATTCTAATAGTTCTTTAATAATAATTAAATTACTGTTAAATTTCTAATTGGTTATCGGTATTTTTTAATGTTATTATAATCAATAAATTGTAGAATTGTAGCAGAAATGATAATAATTGCCTTGAGTGTCTCTGAAATTTTAAGTTATAGATTATAAATATTGGCAAGATCTCTTTTGCGCCTTTAATAATGTTAATACTGTACAGTCAAATTTCAATATAAACCCACCGTTTGTTTGCCCCTGAAATTCGCTATAAATCTAATGTGGACCCAAACCGAAGATTCTCTCGCGATAAAAATTATTTAAAGTACAGTCGACCCCCCATAACACTGTTGATAATTCCGTTTTATGTGAATTTCATGTTGTACGAGTCACTTAAATTTTACAAATAAGTATGCCGGGCTGTGAACGGCTCAAGTATTTGTAAAATCTAAGTGAATCGTACAACATGGAATTCATATAAAACCGAATTATCAACAGTGTTATAGGGGAGTCGACTGTAAAATGCTACACAAAACTTTGAGGTTTTTGAGAATTACACGATTTATTGGTAAAAATGACCTTTTCAGTACTAAGGTAAAAGTGCGAAACTTAGGCATAATCGAAGATAAAAAGATGGGAACAATGGGAACAATGTCCTTTGAAATGCAAAGTCTTACATTAGTTAATTCAGAGATTACGAAAAATACTACTATTTAACAGTATTAGGTAGCGCTATATCGTACCTAGTTTACCGGCAGTTATGGAAGTATGTTAGTATTAAGCAGGCTTAAAGCCTTCAATTCCAATTTGACGGGCCATACGTGAGGCCCGTCAAAAAACCTATAAAGTTCACTATAAGTTTTTGACGGGGCAGCAACCAGAAAAGGTCCATCTGGCTGCCCCATTGTGGGCCTGGCCGAACACATGATGGGCTTGCTAAAAGAAGCCCCACAGGACGGAAAGAGTTACAAAAAAAACACAAGAAATTTCGCTCATCTCTGCTATAGTACAATAGACATATTAGAGTGCGGACTAAGGAACAACACGACATAATACAATAGAGTAAACGGATACAAATTAAACATTTTACACATTGTAACATCTTTTCTATTTAAATTGCTAAAGGCGAGGGGTTAAACTCCCAAAACTCCAGTTGTACGGTCTTGACCTATATATACATCGTTTTTTAATCTAACGAGTTTCTAGAACACAGTCGTAATGTTTCTATAAATGTTCACGATTGTAACATTTTAAAATGTTTTTGTTAGCATTATTAGCATTTTTCCGGGTTTTGCAGTTCAAGGATTTTCGAGATAACCATAATTTTCATATTACAAATAAAAGAGAGAAGATTTAAGAGCATCTCTTGTCGTTAAAAGGTCGTTAAAAGTGACCTTGAGAATCAAAGACCTTGAGAAAATTCATTCCCCTTCTTTAATGATAAAAACATTCAAGTAAACACTAGAAATTAGCATATAATAACGGTTATTTGGAGCTACTTTCAAAGGATAATTACAGTATCATCATTGATATCATCGGAAAAATTTTAATATTTATCCTCCCCATAATTAGAGAGGATAAATATTAATATTTTAATTTATAATTTTATAATTCGGAATAAGTAAAGTAAAAATGGTATGCAGAGGGACACTTTTTAATCAAGTTACATAATCTAGGGCAGGGAGGAGCCTCAAAAAAATAGTCGACTCTGCCAGTGTTAATTGCGGTCCTGTGGGTGTAAGCACCTTATGTAAGGCCATAGTCATTCGTTAATGTGTTGGTGTAAAGAATGTAAGAAACAGAAAATTATATAAACATGTTTTAATTTACATTTGTCCTTTAGTAGCTTACACCCCTATAATATCGTCTCGAATTTAACTTGTGAGACTATATTGTAAATTTCAAGCCTCAATTGTTTTAATGTATATAAATACCGCGTTGGGCCATTTAGTATCCATAAACACCGATGGGAATTCCGAATGGAGAAGATAAATTAATATTTCGAATAATTTTTATATAAGGGCATTAAGAAATAAATTAAGAATAGAGTTATTCGAAAAACAATGGTGTTTGTCAGGCGAGAGAAATAATTAAAGTTATTATATGTAACTAGGACCAGAGATGGCACCAGGGCCTGCAAAACGCACTAAGCAGCCTATGTAAGGCGTAGGAGCGATCTGCCAAGGGCGTCAACGACAGGGGGCACCTCGACACACAAAAGGAGAAATTTTTAATTTTCTCTAAACGAGTTCTGAGAAACCGAAATATGTTGTTTATAAACATTATAAGTTACATCGGTGGTGACCAAAGGCTAAGTGGAAAAACACCAAAGAGTGGTACTTGATGGTTGGTTTGTGTGGATTTTTCTGGGTTTTATTCACGTTTGTAACATGTAAATAGGGGTCAGTTTCCCATAGAAAGTCCTGAGGGAGTCATCTCTTGTCAGATCGCTCGTGTATCGCTTTGCCGTAAACAAATAAACCTGGACTTAATCCCCAAGGGGTCCCAATTTCCATTATCAACAAATGACAGAAAATTCATGACTTCTAGCCTATTCTGCAAATATAAAAGAAACTAATGAACGATTTTCTTCCATTGCCCCGTGCAACTTCGTTGGATGTTGATCGAAACCTTATTCCAAGGCCAAGTTACTCGCCATGTGCGAGCGCTGATCCGACATTGAAGTTTGATGTTTGTTTGTTAAGTTATAGCAACGCAACACCTGGGCAATCTGCCTAGGAGAATGTCTTCCGGGAAGTCATTTTAAGGGAAATTGGCCCCTATTTAGGAGTTACAGGCGTGGAAAAAGCCCTCTTGACCATCCTGTCCTAGCGCGACCAAACTCACAGTGTTCAGGGATGGAACCGCTTGGCCACTGGTGGGCGATTGAAATTTGAAGTAGAGTTTGAAGCTTCTTGCATAATGTCCTGTTTTGTAGCTTGTGCTCTCAGTTTTTTAAAGTATGGCCGAGTGGTCAAGATGACAGCCTACCGCTCTGGGGGCCCGGAATTGAATCCGAATGGGTCCAAAAAAGCTTCGTAATTTTTCACGTAGTGGTATGTCCAGACAAGTCGGGCACCTTCTTTCACCATTCGGTAGCCCCATTTTGAACCTGGCCAAATCCATATAATGAGCTTGCTAACAAGAGGCCCTCTTAGTGCCCACACAGCAGAGAGAGTTAAAAAAGGGTAACATCTAGTTATATCTCCTTGCAGGGAGACAAACTAAACGAGTGTTAAATAATAATCATTATTTCAAATACCAAACGAGTAGCCGGATTCTTTATCGTGCTATAAGGATAAATTTATTACTAAGCAATTTGGCAAAAGACATGTCGCCGGGCCGCCATCTCTTATTAAACAACAGTACTACTCCAATTTTATTTTTGTATTTAAGTATTTTATTTTTCTATATAAGACACAGCAAATAAATATATTTCTTAATTACCAATTCTTAATATTATCGAATATTATAGAGGAATTTCGCACCGTCACAATCGCGATTCCACTCTTCTATCGTCTTGAATAGTAAAATGCAATCGGGTGGTTATCCATGATTCTTCAGCCGACACATCTATCGGTTCTTGCATAGTTTTTTCCACATAATCCACTTTACCCGATCGATCCACTAAAATTACTGTATGTGTCCTGAAATATATAACTTATAGTTATACAATCGACCATGCAAAGAAATCAAACTATGGATTCAAACCGACATGGCCGCCCAGAAGGTAATGGGAGCTAAGGCAAATTATATATTAGGACTATATAACAAATTAAATTATTATATTAAAGGAAGTAAGCAGAAAATATTTCGTTGAGAGTTCTAATTCCTGGGGCCCACCAGTAGCCGAGTGGATAAAAAAATTGGTTCGTGCCTCGTCAATGGGCGGTCTATAATGAGTTTTCTGTGTTTTTCTTTAATTTAGTAACACTTAAATTGGAGCTAGTTTCTTGTTAAAGACTTCCGGAAGGCATCCCACTCGACAGAATCATCCACGTGTCACTTTGCCGTATACGAATAAAACTAAATCCAGGGCAATTAGCACCTTTCCCCCTCATCTCTGGGCATCCCTGTAAGCGGAATAGGCAAAAATACACAATTTATTCTAAAATACCTCGATCCGTATAAATTTTCATGATCTTTAAAGTAAATTGCGCTGAAATGCCTTAGAAAACTTTCAGACAATCCTTCTCCATCTTTAATTAATTGTTCGTCCGGATAGTATCTTCAAGAAAATATATAAATATATATTATAGAAAAATGTAGACAGGAAGATAAATTCTATATACATACTGTTTATTATCTCTTAACATTTTGAAGAGATCGTCGATAAGTAAATCCTTAGAGCGACTCTTATTCCTGAGTAATACTTCTTTGAATTTCTTTCGAGCCACTTTCAATTTCTTCCAAGGAGCTTTCGGAGCGCTGTTGCCGAAAATGTGAATGCCTAAAGAGCAATTATGCTAAATTAATTCATGCTCAAACTTCATATAAAACATATTTTAAGAGCAGCAAAGTATTTTACCTGAGTGCAAAGTGGAGGGAGGATCATCCTCGCAGTTTGTGTAGTACGATCCTGTCACTTTACCGAACGAGGGCCTGCAAATTATATGATTAATACGTAATTCTTCGCTATAAAAATACTTTAAAGTATTTTTTCTACCTTATATCTACAGTTACCATAACAAAATTGTTGTATTGGTCGGATTGTTTTTGTAAATTTCGGAGATAATTCGGTCCACTCATTTGACTTTTCAGATAATCCACAACTAGAAAACCTTCAAGCGGATAGTTTGCAATATAAGAATTAAATTCGTACATTTAATAACTGATATTTATTTTACCTCTTGATGTTTTCTCTGTAATAAAATTTTCAATTGGTTTAATCTGATTCAAAATGCAGGCCATCTTTCCGTGAATGTCCATGGCTAGCCACGTTCCTCCTTCGTTACCTTCTTTGAAATCCATTCCTGAATTATAGAGTTTTTGTAAACAAAATTTATTAAGTAGTACAGGATGGTCCTAAAAGTCAGTTAACCGTGTTTTCTTGCAAGAAATTCGACAGTTTTTCCACGTGTGTGGAAGCAAGGATCTCATTTTCGGCAATCCTTGCAAAGTTTGTGAGTAATTGAAATAGTTATGCGAGATAGCGAGTTCTTACAATGGTTAACTGACTTTTGAGAATCCCGTATTTGTAGATAGGACATTCACAAAATGTCAGAATGAATTAGATAACTTCTAATCGCTGTTCAATGACTGAACAGTTCGTTAAGCTCGGTATTAATAGAATTTGTTCTACTTTCTAAACTACTAAATAATTAATAACAACAGGGGTTATTTGATGATGTAGATTGCTTGATGGTGATGAGTAAGCAATCATCTCAAGCAATCTAATCATGTTAAACAGAGGCAGAATCACACAATCCACGGGGGATACCTCGCTTGTTTGGATGTTTATATCCAAGCAGCCAGTCATAAGATATAGTTTTCACGCAATATAAAGAAAGGCCCATTGCTGTTTGTACTTTCTTACATTGGTAGGGCCTTAAAATGTTTTAGGGGGCCTTAAAGATACAATTAAACCATTGCAACTGAAGAGTTAAGCACTGTAGGGTTATAAATACCATTCTAAATCATCCTAACGATCCTAAAATAAAATTATTTATTAAAAATCATGTCTTACCTCCGACAATTTCCGGATTTTTCTCCCAAAAATGGCAACATCTGCTTGGTCTTTCATAGTATTCGTCCCTGTTGAAGGCTAATATAACTAAATATTCGTCTTTTTCCTTAATTTCTTGATTCAAATAAAGGAACAGCAGGCACATGATGTAAATGCACTTCTAAATAACATCACTCTCGCTAGTCTATAAAAATAGGGCGAAAATTCGTGACGTCAGAGTCGAATTATTTCGTGATAGGCGGTTGAAAAAGAAAATTCAGAAATACGTCACTCTTTTCGTATTGTTTTAAGTTCAAGGATATTAAATAAGGAAAATTTACGTATTAATTATAATTAAATAATTAATTAACTTTTCTTGTCTATCGGATTATCAATGAACATCCTTAATAGAAAGGCTGTGGAGGCCCTAACCTGTAGGTTAGTACTTGTTCTCCATCCCGTAATTTTATTATATACTACGTAATTTACGTAATTTACGTAATTTTCTCTAATTGCTTGGATCCAATGACTTTAAAGATGGTTCGCGATTCACTGGTTGAGTAACGACGACGTTGAGGAATATAAGATTATTTCGCAAGGTAATTCTGGTGAAATGGCAATGTAATACGTGACATAAAATCTATATTATGAAATGTAAAATATAATAATAATATTCATAAAAATCGATAAATGTTTCATTTATATTTAAGGAAAATTCTTTTATTCTCAATTGTTTCCTGTGTATTTATTTTATGAGGTATAATAATAGTAAAATTTTCCTGTGGGATTGTGTAATAGTTAAATGATCAATTAATAAAAAAAGAAATGTTTAATTAAATGGTTGTAAAGATCATTTAATTCATCCTTCAATTAACTTTAATTCCTTTAATTCAAAATGCAGCCTTCATATATTCAGTTAACCTTTATATATTTATTTAAATCATTATACAGCAAATTTCAGCCTTGATATACCTGACTAAGCCTTTATAAAGCACAGTGTAGCCTTTGTGTTATGGGTTAAGCTTATATAAGGCATAGTTCCATCTTAACTTTTTGTAAACAACGATTAAATTATACGAAAATAGAATTTTAAATAATCTATTTTATACGAAAAATAGAAAATTCAAATTAGTGCGTGCCAATTATATAAAATATATATATATATATATATATATATATTCCAACGACATTATATATATATATATATATACAATGACGTTGGAATTATTAAGAATATAGAAAATTCATAAGTAAAAACTCTCAACTTCAAGGTGAAATATTCGAGTTTACAATAGAGAAAAATTAATTTAAAAATATTTAAAAATTAAAAAAACGAATTAAATTATGTTTTCAAAACAATTTAAAGTTTAAAAAATAAAATAAAATAAAATAAAGCATAAAAAGCCTGTTAAGGTGTTTTTCACGCCAGCATCCTTTTATCCAGCATCGATTCATCCAGCATCCATTCATCCAGCATCCATTCATCCAGCATCCTCTCATCCAGCATCCATTCATCCAGCATCCTCTCATCCAGCATCCTCTCATCCAGTATCATCCTATCCTGCATCCATTCATCCAGTATCCTCCCATCCAGCATTCATTCATCCTTTCAATATACAACTCTATAATGATATAAATTATATAAAATTACATTATAAAATTAATTATTATATTAAGAAATATATAATTTATTTTAAAAAATACACGCCAGTTTGAAAAAAAAAAAACAATTTTAAAAACGCAGAATTAAAGGAAAAACGTACAAAAATGAAATTTCTAAGAAGATATTCAATAGATTTTCACTTTAAAAACCATTTTAAAAAAAGTAATTAAAATTTAAAAAAAAAATCTGTATAAAATCATAAAAGAACGAATTTAGAACTTAAAAAAATGTAAAATAAAATTTTAAAACTTCGTTAAAAACCCAATTAATTCGGCGCCATTTTATATATAAAAACGCAATTAAGCAATGGCCAAAAAAAAAAATAATACAGAATTGTATTTTAAAATAATTGTTAAGTTTTATTGTTAATAATTTAACGAAATTCAAAATAAAGTGAGTTATCGGGGTCAATAACTGTAATTCCCTGTATGGGAGGAATTAATTAATGGAACCGCGCGATTTAAGAATAGAAGCGTAAAGTTGATCGAACTTAATTAAAATAAAATAAATTTTTTATAAAAAACAGAGCGTGATCTACCCTATAAAATTAGTAACACGTTTTTAAAAAGTACTTTCTAGGAAATACATTTTTATTTATTTATTACGAGTGTCATAAAATATTTTATGGCATTTGCGTAATAAATAAAGGAATAATAAATATTTTTATGTAATAATTTGTATTAGATCCTTCCTTATTCGATCCCGGGTCCTCCAGAAGGGTAAGATAGTTGGTGTGCACCTGACAGATGGGAGGACAGTTACCTATATAAAACCAAACCGAAACCCTACCCCCATCGAGAGAGCGATAGAGCACACTTTGGGAATCACAATTAATGTATTATTTAACGTGGCTTAATTCCATTCAACAAAGGATGGGAAGGGAGAAGGTCAGTGAGATCGATACTAAAATTTAGGACCCGGGTGGTTTTTAATCCGCTACTGGTGTAGAGGTGAAGAACCTGTGGATGGGTCCTTATTTATAAAGATTCACTCCCCTGCCTTAGACGTGTTTTCATTAAATTATACAAGAATTGTGTTCTTATTCTATCCTTTCAACAATGACATTGATTAATTTAATAAAGGACAAAGTTGAAACAAGTTAAAATTAGAATATTCAACTGTTATCCCCCATTATATTTTAGCAATAAGAAATATAAATTATAATTTTAGTGTTTTTATTTGTCATTATAACGAAGTTTAGTCTTTTAAACTCATATTTTCTAGGGGAGGTCTCTATTTAGGTGTTACACTCGTAAACCCCACGTGGCCAACGTATTAATCTCTGACTAATACGTTGGCCCGAAAGTCAATAAATCGGTTTATTTATAATGGATACAGTTTACGGATAGACCCGTTACAATTGGGCCAAGGAATTCAAGGATAAAGATTTCTTGGGGCAACGACCACACCATTGATGTCAACATTATCTCACAACGATAGACGATAATACATTGACAAAGTGTGATACAACCACACAAAGCGCCAGCACATAGAGCAAAGAGGACATTCAGAAGCTAACTAGGCCGTGCCTCATCCACCTTACAGCTTAGACTTGGCGCCCTGCAGAACCATTTTGTTTGTTTAAGTTACGGCAACCAATGTTATAACTGCTCATTTTATAATTATAGAGTATTTACAATTCTAATAAATGATCCTATTTGAACACAGAAATGTGATGAATAGTCCTAAATATGTTTGATTCCGTGAATGGGAACATTCTGAAAATTATAAAACTGTATGAAGAATCACTATAATAATCGGTACAATGGGCGTGTAAATCTCTACTATAGATAATAGCGAAGAAAAATCACTTGGAGTTAATCGGGTTTCACTGTATCTATCAATAAAAATGACTTCGTAATAAAGAAGATTGGAAGAAATTGCTGCTGTGTAACAACTCGTCATCAACCACACTCTTTAAGCAACGATATCGTAATGACTTCCAACACCTAATTCACGTGGTAATTTAAACAGACAAAGGAAAACAAAGAAATTACGAAGTATAGCAGTATAATATACACAAAACTAACTTAAAAATATACATATACTATAATATAGATTACACACTAGCAGAATCGATAGATATACTAGTCCTTGAGAGTAGAGTTAATGTGACGGGTTGCCGATAGCTGGCGTTAGAGTCGCACAACGGCGAGAACTTGGTTTATCTATTTGGTATTTTTACCGTTTTCAAGCATTTTTGTAACTTTTTTTCTACTGTTTTTTGAAAAAACTTATTCGTAATTACATTTTTTTAAATTTTATATCATGTATAAAGAAAGAAAAAGTATACTTGATTCAATATAGTGAGAAATAGTATTTGGGATAAAATGGTTTTGTATTTTTCACATGAGAAATTACATCTCTTATGACACACACATCGAATTTACACATTTTAGTAATTGGGAAAAGAATCCGGATATAATCGGAGGAAAGTATATATTTTTGTATTAAGTCTACCATTATCGAACACGTATTGAAAAATGTTGAATTAATATTATATTATTATCTCTATTATCGTTCATTAGGTATGGATTTAGAAGAAGGTAAAGAAGGAAGAACATGGTTAGCTATGAACACCGAAGGAAAAATTTCTCATATTCTTAATTACAGCGACAGTATATGGTACTTGCCACTGGAATTTTTGTATTTCTGAATGATACTTTCTTAATAAGTGTCCTTAATGGTAAAACCACCGAACACCTGTAGTTAGTTTGTCCTGGGTTCGGACATGGCCAATGGGCTGGCCACGTAGAGTAACGCCTAAATAGGGTCCAGCTTCCCATAAAAGTCTTTCGGGTATACATCCTCCTCTGCAGATCGCTCACGTGTCGCGTTGCGGTAACCAAATAAACCAAACTAATTCTAACTAGCGATTATTTATTGTGAAGTCGTCAAAATGCCGGGCTGCAACTTTTCGTCAAAGGTGTTCTCGATTCTTTTAGTGGTGCATTTCCCTTGTAAATCATACTTTTCCTGTTAGCAGTAGAATCGTGTGGGTCATCTATTTAACTCCGTTCAAGGAAAATTTTCGGATCGGAGTAACGTGACTTCCGTTCCAAACCAAAAGTTTGTATATGGTTAAGCATTATGGAATTATGATAATTACAAATATCAGAATGCATATTAGTATATTTTTCTAAATTATTGCAGCAAGGTTGCGTAACGTGAAAACCGGGATACATTTCCTCATTATAGTACTTTCCGGCGTATGGGCCATGATAAGCATTGTTTTTAAATCTCTGTCCGTCCTGTGAGAAGTAGTGTTTTCCCATGCCCATTAGAGGCTGTCTATAAACAAAGTATTCAGGTATACCACGCCTAAGCTTTAAGTGAAATTTTTGTTTTCTCTTATATTCATCACATTTATTCGGATCCTTTAAGATAAAATGTAACGTTAAATCTGACAATGCTTAGTAATAATTTCTTTATTTATACTGTAGCCAACACTACTGGTGGATTGCATTGAAATTAGATCAATCAACACATCCTGAATATAATTATTCAGTTCTCTCACACTAAAATAAACATAAAATTATTTTCCAACTTCATCATTTCGTCTAGGTTCTTTGGTTGGGAATTTGTCAAATGTACTAGTGAAACTAGCATCATTTTCGTCACAATTTGTCTGTAAATCGAATAATTGTTTGTAACAGAATTAGGTAAATTATGGGTAATCCCCTAAAGCTGACAATGGCTGCGTTCGGCAGAGTCAACAATTGTAACTGAGAAATGCTATTATATAGTTACATATACGTTTGAAAAGGGGAGGAGCCATCATTGGTCAGTTGCTGTAGCGTAAATGAAAGACGCTACCGAATGTGACATCAAAACACCAACAATGTTCCTAAACACAGCTACTGTAGATTAGCAGAACAATGCCAAACAGCTCCGAAACTTTTGAGTCTGCCGAACGCAGCCATTAGCGAGGTTAAGGCCGAACTTTTAAACGCGAAAACGTGTACGTCGGACGTTCAGCGCCGCTTTCCTGTAAGCCTAGAAGTTTGACAATGGTATTTGAAATGTCGAGCATGATTCCATTGACTATCCAAACACCATTTTCAAACTTCTAGGCTTACAGGAAAGCGGCGCCTGAACGTCCGATGTACACGTTTTCGCGTTTAAAACTTCGGCCTCAACCTCGCTATTATAAGTGCATAAAATTTTTTTAAATTTTCAATTAAGTATATTCGGTATATTCCACAATATACATATATAATTTTAACACCTTCCGGCGTATGGCCATAAAAGTAACTTTTCGCGTCCATCATGATATCGGCCATGTCAGAAACGAAGCGGGAGCAGGACCGATTCGTCAATTGAATCGCATTCAATTTGAATTATTATATTATATTTTTCTAAATAATTAATTTAAATGTATTTAAAAAGTAATAATTTCAAATTATATTTATATTTTATTTTACAAAAATAATAATTTCCTCCGTGAATCATTTCGACATTTGTAGATGGCGCATTATGGCGACGTGCTATTTAGAGTCGAAAGTCAAAAATCGTTTACCGATCGTCAATTCTATAAAATCCGTAAATAAATAAAAAGGTAATTGTTGAATTTTACGTATTTTAAAACTCGCATATAATCTTTTATATAAAGCAATTAAGGGAAGTATCCGTAATTGCGGGAAATTGTCACGTGCAATGAATTTTATCAATGTAATTAGCGGGAAAATTCATAAACGTGTGCGTAAATTTGCTAATGCGTGACGTAAAATCGGATTTAATTTCATCAATTGGATTGAATAATTATTTAAAAATCGATATTGTTTTAATGACAATTTATAAGTTAAAACACAACAAAATATATATATAATTTTATATGGTTTCTTGCACATAAAAATTCATAAACGTTAAATGTAGCACGAACATTGAAAACTGGAGGCTCAAACGAGGCGGTTCGGAGCCTTAGACCGTGCCCGTGTCGCGCCATCCCATCGGCTTCTTTCGCTCTTTTACTCCCGTCGGCACGGTCTACGGCTCCGACGAGATTCCGACTGCGTCGTTCGGAGCTGCATTTGTATCGACTTTGCCCCGTGTGTAAAAAAGTCGTTGCCAGACTTTTCCGCCGAGGTGTCTGTAATGATGTGTGTGCAAAATGGAGTGACGAAATTTATCCCCGCTTTGTCAAACTCTCGACCGCACGTCCGTGTGGCTTTTTCCGACGGTAAAGTCATAGGTAGATGACGGCCCGAGTAATAACCGACTACCGGAAAGACGGATGAACTGGCGAGTTTGCCAGACAAAGACTAATGATGTTCGACTTGCACTTTGTCTCCTTATCTCTGTCGAAAAATATATAGGTTGGGTCGCGCTGTGATGGCCTCTGCTCTATGCTGGCATTCTTTGTTTTTGTCCTACTAATTTCTACTATTATCTTTAACTCTTCAGATTTACACAACATTTCTGATACGAATGATTACTCGTAAAGTAGTGGTCATTTAACTGTTTTAAAAATATTGTCCTCTTCCATCTCTTCAACATATAAATATCTTTTGGTCTAATTTCCGTGGAAAATATGATTAATAACAGAAAACGATATTTATCTCAAATAATTTTGTAATAAAATTAGTTATTTATTCTTTTATCGACCCGAAGTTGGGGAAAAACTGTTTCATTAATAAAGTTAGAACTCAATTGGTCTATTCTATCAAAACTTATTTTAAAACACATCAAAAAAGCATTAATATTGGGAGTAGGGTAATTGTTGAAAACATTTTCAAAACACCTTTACTTTTTAATGAAGTAAAAACATTTATGAGTTAAAAAGTTTCGTAATTTTGAGATGTGGCCCTCATTTACTTAATTAATATCTCCCAAACTAATGGTCCAGTTTTCCTGAAAATTTATAGAAACATTTTCCTCTAATATACAAACCACCCTGCAAAATTTCAGAAATTTTTGACAAAAGGCAGAGGAAGATATATACATCTTTTTTTACAGAAAGTGAAAAAATAGATCATTGAAGATTGTAAATTATGTAGGTTTGTTTTGACAGCTGGCATTGTTTGTAGGTTTGCTTTGATGCCTGACATTGTTAATTTTAAGTAACAAAGAGAACAGTTGTCAAAATTTGTTGTTTATCCTATTGTCCTGAATTGTATGAAGTCTTTTTGAGTATAGAAAAGTCAAAAGATAGCTTTGTAAATGAGAAATAATTGCAGTATTGTAAAATGTGGTGCATTCTGTTTAGCTACAAACATTGTGCCCTTTGTTGTTTTTAAGCTTGCTTATAATTCCTGACACAATATTACCTACCTACAATCTTTAACACAATTAATTTATTGTACATTTGATTAAAATTTTTCAGATATATTCATTTCTTCACATAGTTATTTTTATGGTTCTATACTCTGCAAACTGGACTGTTTGGCATTCTCTAACACACTTCTAAACTTAAATTCTGTCCGGTGACAAAATTAAACGCATCTACAAACATTGTTGATCTGAGATCTGCATCTGGATTTAAAGTTTTATAATGGAACATTTCTATCCAAATGTTGGCAGAATACAAATGTAAAATATCATTGAGCCAATCGGTCATTCATACTTTCATGCTCTTGGTTGGTTAAATGATGATTTAATTTTCGTATTCCACTGACATTTGGATTGAAACATTCCATTATAGTTCAGCTTTAAATCCAGATGCAGGTCTCAGAAGGAGATCGAAAATGTTTGCAGATGCATTTAATTTTGTTATTGGATGGAATTTAGGTTTGGTGGTATGTTAAATGTTATTTTTATCTCAAAATATTGTTTATATTCCCGACATCTTAAATAATTTACAAGCATTTGAGTATCACATGCACGTGGCTGATTTTTATTATTTTTGATCCCCTCACTCGTATAACAATTAAAAGCATTGCATTGATCCATTTTAAATAATACTATAACGTGAGTTTGAATGTTTGAATAAATGGCATGGGCTAAAAGTACAGTTCAGAAGTTCAGATATCAAATTAAAACTCATATCCTACAGATAATGCTGCTAAAGACAGATTGAGTATGTGCAATGGTTCAGGCAGAAGTGGCAAAGGTGCAATGTTAAGTCTATGGGACAAACATGTCGGGGTCCCACTTCCCTGTTATCTTTAGTCTGAGCAATTTTTTTGTGTTATGCAGTTTCATTATTGTAAATACTGAGGTCAATAAATGTACATTTTAGACCATTATTATTAAGACCATTGTTTTTATCACTCTCTCCCAGCTCAATCTCACCAATTCCCACCTCTGAAAAGCTCATTCAACACTGGGCACATGTATCTATTTTAATTTAACTGAGTAACTGAGCGAGAACATTGTATTATTGTAAGTTATAATTTCTCAATTATTTTGATGTTATTTAATTATTGTTTGTATACTTATAACAGCACTTGCTTTGCCGAACATTGTAGTCACGTTAAGCAGTGTCGTTATCTTCAACTATCACAATATATGCACGGTATGGTAACTGTTGTATAATATGGTAATTGTATTCCTATAAAGTCTTGTTTAGTGCAAAATCATGTTATTTAAGAGTAAGAAAAAATACATTCTAAAAGTAACAAAAATATATGACATTTAATTTTATAACTATTGGAAACTTAATTTTTATTGAAAATACTGGCAACTGAACAACAATTGTCTTGCAAACTGTCATATAAACTATGAATATAAAAATATACATCAATCGAAACCCGATATCTTAAGCAAATACACCTACAACTGCCGTAAATGATCGGGCTAATATATATATAATAATAATATATACTATATATTCAGAATTTAGCCTAATCATTTATGGCAGTCGTAGTTATATAAACTATGACTTGGAAGAATAAGAATCAATGCACTTGACATTGACTCTTCTTCTTCCAAGCTATCTGTCAGATAACGTATGTGTATTTAATGCTTCTATGCTTTTACTTGATAGATCTTTGCAAACTTTGTGATATTGCAAACTCACGTGATAATAAATCTTCAATAACATTCAATGTCTTTCTTCAGGTAAGCTTTCTGTATCATAATTTAAGTTTTCAATGATCTCCCAATCTAGAAGTTTCAATCTACAAGTTACATTTGATGGTAAAATATTAAACTGTTATAGCTGTCAGAGCACTAATTGTTGAATGTCCACCACAGTTTTGATAAAAAGAATAATTTTTCTGTTTACAACAATTGTGCAAATGTCTAATTCTTTTGGCTAGTGAGAAAAAAAGCTACATCATTCATGCTATCTTATTTTCAGTATATTTTATCCGTAATGTCTTAGCATTAAGGAAACACTGAGGCATTGTTATAAATTGGAGAAATCTTTTAAAGCAGTGTTTCTCAACCTCTAATGAATTGTCGCCCCCTTCAATGTAGTATCGCCCTTTTCACTATAAAATTCCGATGCCGAGGGACAAGGCTATCGCCAAATTCGTACTGCATTGAATAGACTAGTATAATGTTATTTGTTTAATTATTGTACGATATAGCGAATAAAATATCTAATTATTCTTAATATAATGTTTTACTATATCGCCCAGAAAATTGTTTTTTGTCCCCCCAAAATATAAATTGTTACAAATCCCCTGAACACGGAAAAACGCCCACATGGGGGTGATATTACCCCCGTTGAGAAACACTGTTTTAAAGATTTCTTAAAATTTATAACATTTAACATTTATAACAATGGTAGTTTCTCATTTTTTTTATCTTTGTTCCATAAAGAACAGTTATATGTTCTTTGCTTTTTTTTTTTTTTTCATCTGTGAAACCGTTTTAAATATGTCATTCTGTCTGAAAGACATTTAAAAAATAAGCCATTTTTGTGTGTGTCAAAAACATCAAATTCACTGGCATAATTAGAAATTCCTTTACAAATACAACATATCCTTTGTTGTCGTATTATTAGATTGAACTAATGAAATAAGGTGATTGAAGTCACAGGAAATCTGCCAAGGGGAGTGCATCTCGGGAGAGCTTTTTATGAAAGTTGGATTTCTATTTAGGTGTTAGACATGTGAAAAAAACTGAAAAACTTTGTACCACCTGCCTCTCGATGAGGCTCAAACCCTCAACAACTACCGGAGTTCGACTGTTTTATCCGCTTAGTCACTGATGGTCTATCATATTATTGGCTAACTATATACAGTTTTTCATAATTTTTTATTATTATTATTATTTATGTAATATACTGTTATAGTATTGTATAACGTAAAGTGTTATTTTGCATACCAATTACACTTACCATATTGGTAAGTGTAATTGGTATGCAAGTTAAGTGTAATTGGGGAAAAAAACCTGTTTAAAGTAAGTAGTATAAATTTATTTAAAATTAATTGTTTCTAGTCAGAACAAACACAAAAAATATTAATACTTTTTAATAAAATTTTCATATTTATGCTGTTCTTTATAAACTGTGCCTAGGACCCTGTCTGGGTTTCCTTACATCATTCATTAAGCGCCACTTAACGGTACTTAATAGCAGTTATCACACTGTCCAAGTTATACTTTCGTATAGTCTATGATAAACTTTTTAATCAATCACTTGCTTTCTGCACTTTGCCACAGAATTTGTTGAAAACTATTCTGTGCCACCTCTTAAATTTATCAGGTCACTTGCTGCTTCATTTGATTCTGTTAAATCTTATTTGTTGTTTGAATTATTCAATATTTTTCTCTTAAGTTTTTCGTCGATGGCGACATTCTTGTCTCTATGCTGTACAGAACACTTCGGCACATACTGTACTTTCTTTGCATCTCAACACTGGCATTTATGCTTACTTTTCTCTTCTGTCTGATTCTGCCTTCCAAAATTCTCTCCTTGTTTTTCAAAAATGTAAAATATTCAATGGAATGTTAAATTCTTTGACAATTTGTGTTTTTTCTTTTTGCTTTCATTTATGGCCTTCATGGTGTATACCTTTCCTGATTGCAAAATCTTTAGTTTTCTGTTGTTTGCCATTTGTCTACTTCATAACAAAACTGTCGATTAACTGGTCACTGTCCATAACGAAACCATCAACATGCAATTTAAACTTTACAGTGAAAATTATAGAATACGAATGTTTAGTTTAAGTAAGAATCTGCATATAGATAAACTTATAAATTAAATTTACCGATAATTTGCTTTATGCTGTTCAATTGGAGGTTATGTCTATACAGTACAATTTTCAACTGTGATAATATTGTCCATATCCTCTAAAACATAAAAGAAAACACACAAAATTAGACATAAAATAGTCTCAAGATCACATTTTTCTGTTTTTACTTATAGGAACACAGAATGCATTAAATGTATGGGAGTTAGATTGGGATAAAAATAAATTTCGAGTTAAGGAAATTTACTAAGAGGCTACCATATATATATTATAACATTTATAAATGTTTGTACATACACATAATTTATTTTATTTATAAGAAAAATAATATATAAATGCATATTTTGAAAATGATCGCAAGCCAGATTACATACATTTGTGTACCAGAATTGGTCCTCGGGCCATAGGTTGCCTGTCCTAATTTAGAAAACCAAACAGTTTGAGCTACTGTTTAATTCTCTGCTCTCGATAGATAGCCTACGTTTTTCTCATCGTCTCTGCAAACGAGTCTATATTACTAAAGTTTAAAGGCAGAATAATAACTGTTAAGCTTAATAAAATTAATATTAAAATCTCTAAAACTATTTGTTTAAATTGCTAATCAGTAAAGATTGAAGATACGACTATAAAAGAATGCCAATATATTTAACGAAACTCAAACCTTTACAACAAAGTTAAATGGTTTTTCTGAATAAACAAATTTCTGTTAAATCGCCACATGTAATTAAATATATAAAATTTTATTGCATAAAACACAGAAAAAATGTTAGCTAACGGAATAAAGACGGTAAAATAAGTTTCAAAATTAACAATATATTCTATAAATAGTGATATTTGGATAATATTACACAAAGTAATAAAATTTACTGTTCATTGGCAGCATATAAGCTTGTTAGTGCCAGACGCCAAAAAGCATAGTAAACAATTAATTTGCCAATGTTAAATAAAAACAAATCCGAAGAAAGTAATGCAGTTTCTTGTTTAAATAAGAAATGTTTTAAGTCAGTTTATTTTAAAAGAATTTAAAGAGAATTTATTTGTATACGGATATATTATCTAAACCACTTAAAGTAGGTCATTGGTAATTTATTTAATTATTTTATTAAATGAGAATTTAATATCTTAAATATATACATACCCTACATATATTTCAAAAGTATAAGGACATAATATAAAGTTTGAAACATGGAATATAAACTCTGAAAGAAATTATTGTAATTAAAAGTTTTTGTTTGTGTTACATATCAAATGCAGCCAGCCGCTCTACACACAAGTTTAAGCTGGTTTGGATCCTCAGGATTTTTTATAGGTTGTTTGACTCCAATGTATCAGGATCCACCTGTTGATTTCTATTCATCCTGCTGTGGATCCGGCCAAATATATAACGAGCATTAAAACAGCTCCATAATACTTGTGGAACAGTGTAAATTATTATTAACATGTTGACCATCATCCGATGCGCTGGTGGTCATGCTGGTTAGGGCCATACAGAGCCATTCAACCGCCCGACTTCACTATAACCTATATAGTTTCACTCAAGGTTAAATTATCCTGGCTTCGTAAGATGTTCTTTTACATCCTCTCGCGGATATCTATAAAGTTGGCTCCGACCGCCGGCGGTTGTATGGCTGTTTGCAGGCCTGATTGGTACGACCTCCGGTGCATCGGATGGCAGTTAATGTGTTAAATAGATGATTGGTTGAAAATTTGTGATTCTTAATTTGCTGTGACATAGACAACATGGAGAATATTAAGGATTGGTTTAAATATTTTGATAGACCTTTTTTGATACTGTGCATAACAATTTTTAGATCAAGCATGAGATGAAAAAAGTTAAGCACAAACGTAGAACAAAAGTATGCAATGATGACACAGTGCATCAAAGTAAGAATGGCAGAAGTGCTAACCATCTCTGCTTCCACGTACAGGAATCTTATAAATAAATGAAGGAAGGTGTCATGCTTTGAAGAACACTGTAAATCATAGTAGATAAGAATTTATAGCATTAGTTGTAATCCATTTTACTACACGTTATGATTGATAATTCTGAATTTAAAGTAAATTTAATATTTCTAGATAACAACATGAACGATCCCGATTTTGAAAAACAGTTAGAATACGAAGCGTTAGAGAAACAGAAACAAGAACATGGAGAATGGCAGGGCGATTCTTGCGTTTACACGGATCCAAAGGACGGAACCGTTTACGAATGGAACACGGAAAAACAGGCGTGGTTTCCAAAGGTAAGAACCATAAGAGAATAAAAATTATTTTGAATTGTGCAACATCGTTTATTAAATTATTTTACAGATCGACGACAATTTTATAGCGGCCTATCAGGCCAATTACGGTTACGAAAACACCGCCACGTCCTGCACTTCGAAAGAGGAGACTGCCAGTTCGGCCGTTCTTAAACAACCTCAAAAAGGAGAAAAAAGAAAAGTGAACAGTGAACCTGGTAACTTATTAATTCTTAAAATGAGAAATCAAAGTAGAAAAAGACAAATGCCATTAATTGAAGTCGACTTGAAAATAATTTATCAATGAATTTAATAGTAGAGATAAGTAAAGGGAATCTGTTTCTAGATTTTCTGAATTAGTTAATTAAGATGCCAAGATAATTCCATTTAATGAAGTTATCATCAGATTGCACTTCCATTTTACTTTCTAGTGTTAAATTCGTTAATAAATTTAAAATTAACTCGGAAAATGTCTTACTAAGATATCCAGTAATTTGGCTTACGTTAAATGTAGGCTTGGATAATAAAAGACCAAAGAGAAAATTGACAAAAACATTAATGCATTATTATAAAATAATAATTTAGTGAGTTTATTTTTTTATATTGTGAGAAACTAAACACTGGGTCCATATTTGAAGTCCAGAACGAGTGTTAGGTTTCCCACAACCTAACAATAAAGAAAAAAACACAATGTGTTTCCAGAAGAAAAGAGATAAAAGAAAATTTTGTAATAGGTTATTTATAGCAAATTATTAATTAGTTAAATTATTGTAGCAAATTGTTAATTAGACTATGTATTGTGTAATTTGCGTTATTTTAAAACAAAATATAAATGGCCGTTTTTGCAAAACTAAATTAAGTTGCCGTCGTTAATTCCGGTACTTTTCTTTCGTCAAATATAATTAGACTATAATAGATGGATATAAATGTTTATTTCAAAGTTATGTTGTATTTATTCATAATTCCGGACTTAAAGTAGTGATGGTGGCTTAAATTCGAGTACACTTTTACTATTTACCGAAAGGTTGTGACGAAATTTGTCATTGTCAGATCAATCTTTCAACTGTATTTATTATTTATTCAAAAATGTTGCGCTTTTTCCAGGATTCACTTTGTTTTCAAGATAGTAATTATGTCGATTATTATCCGAGAAATATGTGATGTATGCAGATTGATCGAGTAATTGCCCAAGGATTTTGTCTTCCATCCACATTCGAACATCTCGTAATCTACTAACTATCTAAAACAAAATGGCAACTACACCACAAACTTTGCATTGTGTGGTTTGCAAAGTTGGAGTCAGTTGTCTTTGCATGACACGTGTAATCTGTGGAGCCTTAGAATTGTGGCCATTGCGGGAGAAGCGACAACAGATACGCCACGGCGAGCATAGGAAGAATTTGAGTGTCGGTCGGAGGAATGCTGCATGAAGAAACATAACTGGCAAACATAAAACTCGGATGGTTTTCAGANAATTCGTCGAACTCATGAGTAAATGCGGACTGGTCATGAAAGATCCGGATTCTGGTCAGTTCAAAATTAAATTATATCGCAATCCGGATGGGAGTATGAAAGGAGACGGGCGTTGCTGCTACATAAAGGTCGGTTGCATTGTCATTTATTTTGGATGCAAAATTTACGTGTAATCTGTGGAGCCTTAGAATTGTGGCCATCGCGGGAGAAGCGACAAGGATATGCCACGGCGAGCATAGGAAGAATTTGAGTGTCGGTCGGAGGAATGCTGCACGAAGAAACATAACTGGCAAACATAAAACTCGGATGGTTTTCAGATGTTTTAATTTACTTTACGACATTCTTGGATAATAATTAGCATAATATACAATAATGGAAATGGTAACATTTTTTTCGGAAGTCCTGTATTTTAAATACATAAGTAAAAAGAATTTATTTAAGAGCAAACTGTTTAGTTATTAGTTCTAATTATGATTTAATTTTCTTCTGAAAATCTCTTTTTAAATCATGAGTGTGTCTTAAATTTAAAACATTATAATACCTCTGAATTTTAATTTTTCTGCATCGTGTTAAAAAATTTTATCTATTATATAATTTTGTTTAGAGGTAAGTAGAATGTGTTTCTAAAAAAATCTGGCTATATTTATTTATTTATCTGATTAAAGTCAGAGTTTATTCAGTTGTTATGTTATAGTTCGGGCAGATAGTTTGAGTAACAAGGTGTTATCCTGTCGTCAAGCTACAGACCGTGGAGTATGATTTTGAATCCGTGGTGTCTACGTAAATATCGAAATATTTGAATCAGTGTCATGCATAAATATATCGTTCATTAGTCTCTTGGCCATAACGTGCAAGTTCAATGTTTGAACATGCGGTGCGAGCCTCTTGTTGTCATTAGATACCGAAACTTTGGTGTTATCGAAAGTAGTTGAGACTTAGATCTTTCATTAAGGATTTTCATAATTTATCGAGATACGATACAAGTTGGGATATGATTTTTCACCATTATTCGTGCCACTTGGCCTTATTGCAAATCTGTCGGGTCCACCCGTAATAGATGTAACAGCATATTTAGTCGACAATGTGCCAACATTTCGTATTAGTTTAGCAATCGAGCAGTTATGCTCTAGTTATTATTATTTTTAGTTTTATTCAGATAATTTATTATATGATTACTACTAATTTGCCGAAAGGAGACAATTATATTTTAACTTGCATTTTTCTTTTGCCGTGCGATCATCTTGGTATTTCGAATTCCAGCCGTGTCCTTTCGTTTAAAATTAGCTTCTGGAAATAAATTGTTATGAGAAATATTCAAAACCAATTTCTATTTGAGGAACAAGCACTTACTTAGACACACTAGTTTATAAAATTTTTGCCAATTATTATTTTGAAAATTAAGTTTCGGTTACACTTTACGCGACAGTCGAACAATTATTCGAAAAAGTAAAACGTAGATTAGTATTTATTTAAAAAAATTAAAACAATTGAGAGTTGTATGGAAGAAAGTAAAATTTAGTTTAATCTTCAGTTAATTCATTAATTGTATGTAGATTTTAGTCCAAGTTACTTAGTTTTGATGGTTAAAGTTTAGTCAAAATATAGTCCAGTGTGATCCAACTTAAACGTCAACATTTAAGTTGGATTATTTATAACAGCACCTGTTCTTTTTGCTTTAATCTCTTACTTCATATTTATAAAAATTAAGAAATTTCAGCTTTCTTTTAAGAAGTCGTAAATATTTTTGGAATTTTTTGGTTCCGGTGCCAGATTGGATTTTGAAATCAAATATAAAGGTCTAAGCATAAATAATCAGATTACTTTTGGTTATAAGAGTGGTCGAACTAACGAATGTTGTTTAAGGGTAGGTGATTGATTATTTCAATCTATAACAATAGAGCATAAATTGATAAGTTAGTCAATTAAGAAAGTCAGGCTTTGTATTTGATATATGTTGAGTATAAAGATCTAATTACTGAAACAAAACCTTGATTTTGATTCAGTTAGTTGTTGGATCAAAATACATTTTGATTCAACTAATCTCTTTGTGTTTAATTTTAAAATCTGACGTTGTCCGCCAGCGCCCAAGTGGATAAAACTGCTAAACGCCGATGGTCAGTCTCGGGTTCTCATATCACCAAGCTGGCTGTCGAGAGTTTTCTGGGTTATTTTCACGTGTCTAATGTCCAAACAGGAGCCCGTTTTCTGAAGAAAGACCTTCTGGAAGATACGCCCCATTGGTAGATTGCCCAAGTGTTGTGTTGTCTTATTTTGTCAACTTTTAAAATCCGATCCAATGCTAAAACGAAGTTCCAGAAGTATTTATTTCCAAGTTTTCCCATTTTACAAGTAGATATTTATTAATCGTTACTAGATGATTTACTAATTTTCATTTTAAATAAATCCTATAAAATTTTTCTTGCATGTTAGTTTACATCGAATCATCCCCAAATATATTACTGTCGATTTAAATAATAAAATATTAGTTTATGTTTTGCAGGTTTTACATCTTTCTGTGATTGTCTAACCAAATCTGTTTGATTGGATGCCATTTAATTATTTTTGTTATTATTAAGTGTATTACTTTTACTTCTTTAAGGTTGGTTCGAAGTCGACGATGCACACAACACGAACGTTTACGTATCGAACTTGCCGCTGAGCATGACAGACGAAGAATTCGTCGAACTCATGAGTAAATGCGGACTGGTCATGAAAGATCCGGATTCTGGTCAGTTCAAAATTAAATTATATCGCAATCCGGACGGGAGTATGAAAGGAGACGGGCGTTGCTGCTACATAAAGGTCGGTTGCATTGTCATTTATTTTGGATGCAATATTTCGTATCATGTAAAGAATCACATTTAGCTACAAGCAAGGTGCATTTTTTCATTAGGTAGAATCCGTCGATCTTGCTTTGAACATTTTAGACGGGTATATTTATAAAGATAAGGTGATACACGTCGAAAGGGCAAAATTCGAATTGAAAGGAGCGTATGATCCGAGCAAAAAACCAAGAAAGAAAAAGGGGAAGGAAAAGGAGAAAATGAAAAAGAAAATAGAAAAGTTGGTAATTGTAAGATTCAAAAATAAAATAATAACTTATTTTGTAAATTTTTAATTTTATTTTATTAGGTTATTTGATTGGAGACCAGAGAAACTTAGAGGAATGAGGGGAAAGCACGAGAATGTTGTAATTATATACAATATGTTTGATCCCATCGAATTTGAGGTGAGATTTTTATTATTATATAATCAATTTTTTTAAGTATAATACCATAAGCTTGGAGATCAATCATACTAATTTTTAACCACTTTACATCATTTGTAAAGTGGTTAAAAATTAGTATGATTGATCTCCTTAGATTAGTATGATTGATCACTTTACATCATTTGTAAAGTGGTTTGTCTTAATTTTACTTGTGCTATGGGGGTTTTCTACAACATGTTTTCACTTCATTCTGGTCAATAACAAGAAGTCCAAAGTCTTTCATAAGTTAAATCTATCGTTCAAAGTCGTCCTTGGTCTTCCTCTTCTTTTGTCCATTTAATCCCAGTTTTGGAGGTTGTATTGATATATATTCTGTCAGACATTCTTGGTGCTTGGTGATAATGCCTCGGAGTGTGAATTTGATCATTTGATTGTTAAATTGCATAAGTAATAATATCATGCAATGAAATGCCATTATTACATGTTCCATTTTGAACTATCTTCAAAACACAACTCTCGACTTTATTTTTACTTTTCCTATTGTTACGTACATAACAAGGGAAAGTATTGGAATTGCGTCAAATTTAACCCTCTGAATTTTTTGTTCTCCATGTGTTGAGATCTGAATCCAAAAAAGTGAAAAAATTGCAAAAATACTTCCATGGATTTGTGTGTGTGTGTTGGCTTAAATCTATTTCACTTAATAGTGGCTTGTATATAAGGGGCATTGATGCTTTAAATTTTGGTGGTGTGAAAGGTCAAGGGGGTGGTGAAAGGTTAAACTTAATGATGATTTTACTCGTTATTAACATTTATACTTTTTTATAAAATTCATCTCTACCCTCAGAATTAAGCTTTTTGTTATTTTATAGTAATTATAAATATAAAAAGTTTTATAGCGTTAAAACCTCCTAATAAAATCATATGCGGCGCTATCTGTTAAGTTATATTGTAGAGAATCGCACCTCAATACAAAATTTCCAGCAAAGGAATTCAATATTTTAACGTTTTCAGCCGCTATTTTATTGGCCCTCTTCAGGAACCATAAAGCGGAAAAACCGTTCTATAAATAGAATGCAGCTGCATTCTAATTTTAAAAGTTTCAAATAAGTTCAAATAAAGGCTGTGACATGTCTTATATTTCCTATAGTTTATGAGTCTACATACTATTTTCATGCATTTGGTAGATGAATGGCGTCAGTGTTGATGCAGGCTCCACTCCTGTCCACCCTGTAGATCTCTACAGCTTCTAACATTCTAATGTTTTGTCAGTCGAAGACACTGTGTATTAGGGTAGCTTGGTTCCAACAGGAAAATCCCCAGATCGCTGGAGTAACGTGCCAGAACTGTATTAATGTTTCCTTTTTTGTATGTCATATTTGTGATCTTTTAACCTGGCTTGCTGCAATCTGTACATGGATCTTATATATGTTACTATTCTGTGGAACCTGTCGTCCTGTGTGGGATGCAATAAACCACTGGTGCTCTTGTGTCCTCAGTGCCATCTTTGCATTAGACAGAAGGTGGAAAACGTTGGGTTTCCTTTTGTACGTTATGTGTATGCTTAAATCTTTTGCAATCCTTCTTTATGAGTGATGAAGGAATGGATCATAGCTTAGGACTCCCAATAAAGATTGGCTTTGACTACCGTAACTTTTCATTAGCCTCGAGCAATTGGAAAGTCTTTACTACTGCTTAAAAATTAATAACAATAGAATATGATTTTATAAAATCAAAAGCATATTTGAACAGAAAATAATGTTTAGATGTTGAAATTGCAACATTAGTTGTTGATTCCGAAGCAAATTGGAAGCAATAAAAAGTTTTTAAAAAATGGAAATTTCCAGTATTTATTTATTAGAAATCCTGACATACTTATTAGTAGCAATTTATTTGGCAATTCTAGCCAAATAAATACTTCTTACTCACAAGTTTAAAAACTCAATTGATGATTAAAGTAAAACCATTCCATCTTACTAGATAATAGACAGATCTGTCATATTCTCAATGTACGACTAAAATGATGAAGAAACTTCGTAATGTTCGCCTGTCGTCTTACATGCGGATAATGTCTCCTCGCAATTTGCCCTTTGGCAGTTTAAAATTTACCGAAGAGGTAATTGAACTTTTGACTTCAAATGTAAAATGGATTTGGTTTTGGAGACGTTAAAATATGAAAAATATGTGGTTTAGAATTGAAGAAATACGGTAAATGTGATCAAATTTCAAGTTTAAAGTCAGTGACATCGGACTTAGGAACCCAATCCAACACCTTGCAAAGAGTATATTGTGCCAAAGTAGTTTGTTGACATTGTTTTTCGAATCGGATTACAGACCGAGTGAATAATATGCGAAATAGTATCGAGAGACAAGTGTATTGTTTATCGATTTTTTGATAATGCCAATACTGTAACAATTTGCTCGAGAGAAATAATCATGAAGTAAGGACTTCATAATAAAATAAAATAGTAGTAGATGACGCTAATTACCAAAAAGTTAATTTTCTTGCGATAAAATCTTTGTATACATGAACAATACTTCATTAATTAATATGTGACATTGATTGATATTGTCTAGAGATTAATATTGTGGAAAAGTGGTTCTGTCATGGTAAAGCCGAGTTGATTAATTACTCAATATTGTAATCAATTTTAATGAAATTAAAAACACTTGTCCTTTGATTTTTTCACTTATACACTGTTGAGCTTGATGTAATGGACTAATAGGGGAGCGTGATGATCTGATAATGCTGATTGTCTGTTGTATTTGATGTCATAATCAACTACAAAATTGACTGTCTATGAGATATGAGGAATAATCTATTTTCTGGCAAATATGAGAGAAGCAAGGACCATATTTTCAAGCAGGGTGTAAACAATAGCTACTAATACATTGGCATCCATCTCATATCTAACAATTCTAGTCTGGCGTTCCAATATGTTGTACTTTGACTACAATGCTTCAGAATGAGTGGATTTGGTCCACCGTTTCTAAACATATTCAATCGAAATACCTATTTTTTATGTCCATTGTGAGGTTGACTTAGCTCGTAATAGTGTTCGACGTATCTAGACCGACTTACCCAAAAAAATTTCCAAGCCACCCGAACTCAAACCTCGGTCTTACAGAGAAGAAAGGCCTATTCTATGCTTTCTCAGTCGTCCAGCTACTAATATTATATATTTATAACAAAGTTCTGTTTAAAAAAATAAAATAAATAATTTTTAAATGGTTTTCTTTCTGTTTAGCAGAATCATATTGAATATGTGTAGTTTTAACAACTGAAATATAATAAAATGGATTCATTTTTAATGTGAGAACAATTAATTAATTTATTCATTGCTATTATATATTATGATCTGTTAATTATAATATATGACAGTGATATTATCATTACCTCTATGTATATTAGTCATAGCTAAGCATTTTTGTTTGACTATTCTGTCTTCCCACCAAATTAATTGAAAGTTATTATGTTTGCTGCTTCCTTGCTAAGTAGTAATTTCACCTCACTTTAATTAATTAATATTAGTATGTTGCATTAATATACTAAAATCGTGCAGATAAACAAATATTTTCTTTCCGAATGATTAAATCTACCTTACTTTGCAATAATCTGGCAATCTCCTTAAGCCAATTCTGTTATGGTTCCTTATATGTCGGATTATTGAGATTGTACCGAATATAGTAGTGGTAATTTAGTAATTATAAGAAATATTTCAATTTTCCTAGATTACTAGAATATTAATTGACAGTGGTATCAACAAAATATGCATTCTAACATTACATTATAGCATGTCGTAGTTGCATAAGTTCAGATTTTGGTTTATAATTCCTTTCTCGATTTAACAGTGTGTTCATTTGTATGTAATAATGCTTGACTACACTCATTTGACACTTCGTTTGCCTCTACTTCTTTATTGTAGACAATGCTTATAAAATGAATGCACTGTTGAAGACAAAATGTATTTCCATGCAACTCAGTGTTTAAGTAAATGTGATGTGTTTATAATTATATCTGAAAAGTTTTTAGTTTGTTATCCTTTGCTCAACTTCTTGCAAATTGATGCAGTATTTCAGAATTATTTTCTCAAGTGAAATGATTTTTAAGAATTCCACGAAAATGAATTAGTAGTTTAATAATTCAAATAATAAAAAACACACAATTAAACATTATATAAAAAACTTTTATTGAATTTTATCAGAGAGATCCATCACTTATTATGGAGTACCAGAAGGATGTGAGAGAGGAATGTTCGAAGTGCGGAGAAGTTAAGAAAGTCGTAGTCTACGACGTAAGCCAAATTTTTAATTCTTTTATTGTAATGAAACATTAATTTAATTTTTTAATGTTAATTATTCTATTTTAGAGGCATCCCGAGGGGATCGTATCCGTTTCGTTCAAGGAAGTAGAACAGGCCGACGAATGCGTCGTCCTGATGAACGGCCGCTGGTTCGCCGGTAGACAGCTGAGAGCTGAAACTTGGGACGGGAGAACAAAATACAAAATCGAAGAGTCTGCAGAAGACAGGGAAAAGAGACTGGCGCAATGGGACAAGTTCTTAGACGGAGAGGAAGGAGAACCAAAATCTGCTTCCGCCAATCCCACATTGTCTAACACAAAAACGGAGAAGAATCCTGCTTTCGGTACCGTCGCGGTAGAAAATTCTAAAAAGAAAATTACTTCCAAAGGAACCATGTCAAAAGACGAGGCAGAGACCGAAAGTTCCGGCGATTCAGAACCGGATCTAGACGACTCGGAACAGAATCTGAACGGAAAGTCGAGCACGGCAAACCGGAAAAACTGAGCGCTTCCTCCTCGTGGAATGTTTAACCATTATTTAAAAACATACCAGCAGTCCTCCCACGCTTTTATAGACTAAAGTCGGCTGCCAGACCATTAATTAGACTCGCGCTGCCATTCAAGTTACCATATCCACTAATAAATAATAAAGTGTTATGTCAAAATATGCCAGATACACGCCACGCATCTCGGAAACTGTACAGAAGCACTCCTCAAACTCTAAAGCATTTTACACTACAACAATAATTCCATTTATTGTATGGGAGCAAAATTATTTTATTGAAATTGTGCAAAAATTCTTTTGTTTTTATTCTCCACATCATTTTTTTTTTTTTTTTGTAAAGAAGAGATTCAGCATATATATTTTTCCCTTTCAAATTATTAATGGAATGTCTACATTGTAAATAAACCTGGTATGTTAAATTCTGTTTTGTATATTGTTTTCAGCGTTTAAAATATATAAATAAATGTTTTAACCAGAAATCAGCTTTGTATTTTCATATTTCTTCCACCTTCCCATTTTAATTAACACACAAAATATACAGCTGTAGTTCTTAATTTCTTCGACAGATAGCGCTGATGTCTCGTGGAAATTTAAATCTAACGCACACGTCACAATTTGAATTCCGTCACGGTTTCCGAGTGTTTATTTTAAATGCCGACACCGGATTGGCATTTTTCTTTGGGGGGTAAGCACTAAAATTTATTAATTAATCTATGGATTATTTACTACTATCATCGCATGATTTAATATTAAGCACTACAATTATAGCTGCGTGTGACGTCGGTACGGTTTAAAATTTAAAAATCGTGATAAAATCCGATAACAGATGGCGCTAATCGGTACGGAGCAATTCAAAATTGTTTACTAATTATTTTTCTCCGAAAAGTTTTCGTACCGACTTTTGCCACCAGGGTCATAAATTAATTTCCAGTTTAGTGTTGCCAACTCGCCGACGAGTACAGGAACGGGCGAAATGCGATTTTTGATCGCTAGCCGAGAGCAAGAATGGAACGGAGGAAAGAGTTTAACAATCGAAACGAACTACTAGCCGAAAAAATCGATTATGCCGAGTAAAAAAAGGCCCCATCGACTTCAATAAAGTGGGGCCCTCAAAGATATTATCCGTTAAAAGGTACGCGTTTCGATTTAGCCAACTTAAAATACCGTTTTTTTTTTTTTTTTACCCGCTTAAAGCGACTGTTTTTTTATATATATATACGGTTTATTTTCTCCTGTGTTTTATAGTGTTATAAACTATGAAACGAAACAGGTAGGTAGACGGCCTTATTGCTATATATAAACGTGAGCAATTATGACTGTACTAAATTTGTATCCGTTGGATTATATTTAGATTTGATGTGTAACCCTATCGCTCTCAGACGCTAATCACGGTCTGTAAAGTCGCTAAGAATTTTTGCCCGCTTACGAAATTTTAATTAAGCATAAAATCATTTTAGCGACGGTTATGCCGATTTTTATAAAGTATTAAGGGGAAATACATATATATATATATTTTTTTTTCAGCGGGTGTAACTTTATACCTGTGCAATGCTCGAAGCAATTCCTGGAGAAAAGTTGATGTAAGTGGAATCTGTGTTTAACTATGTTAAAAGGATAAGAACTAGGTTACTTGTTTTAGAGGGGGATCGACGTAAGGATGCTGTATGAATGAATGAATGAATTATGAGGCCCCCCGACGTGGTTAAAATTATTGCTGAGCATCGCATCGATGTTGCAATAAGTTTAATTAATGACGGGTATGCACGGAATTAGAATTTTAAATTGGGTTTTTAAGCTTGGTTCCTCTTTATTGGACTAACCTGTGTTAAATTTGCGTGTTAATTGCTACTGTTATAACGTTAATTGTCTTTTAAATTATGCATAAATATGTTAATTTCGAGGAGCCCAGTAAGAGTTATTTAATTGCAATTAATTTAGAGCATTTTTAAATCGATTAGTCAGTAAATCTCGAGGTAATATTGATGAAATTTAGCACGTTAACGTCCCTGCTTACGTGAAAATTAATAAATTATAATAACACAAAACATTTCGCGCTATAAAACCGGATTTATAACCCCCCCAAAAAAACACGAGGTTTCGAGTCGAGTTCGGTTGAGTTAGAGAGCGTGGCAGCGATAAATTTGGAAGAAGAACAGTTTAGATTTGAGATAGAGCCGAACCGGATTTAAAATCATGCAGGAAAAATTATTTAAACAGAAGAGGGAAGTCGAAAAGAAGGAAGAAGGAAAGGAAAGGAAAAAAAACGGCGCGCACATCCACCTGCTCCTGGCGATGCCAGACACTTTGGCATTAAATAAATTCCATCAATCATCCTCTGCATATTGAACCTATCCCTCATCCAACAAACCGAATGCACATCTCCCTCTTGGCCCTCTTCAACACAACGCTTCTTGTGCTCTTGTTAGATGGCGCGTAGCTAATGCGGACGGTAGCGCAAGCAGGCAGAAAAGTTGTTGCAGGTGCCTCTGCAATAAAGCATCCCTATGTTCTACCTCAAATTTTGTAAATTTTGTTCGGTCTTCTTTCCCCCCGTTCCTAGTCTTCCTCCTCCTCTCCCGACTCGCCGGATAGCAGCCACGCATCTGTTCTCGATTGATATAGGGGGTGATCTCGATGCGGTTGACACCCCGTAGAGTAACAATAGTACAGTACATCAAGGCTTATCAGTTGCAGTCTTACCTGCTTATGGGCTCTACGGGGAAGCCATCTTTGGCCTCCCACGTCGTACAATACAGACGTCTTAGCTATCTAGCCCCATGTAAATATTTTCTGCCAGTATGACGTATGGATTCGTAACACACAAGGGAAACATTGTGCATCCTGACCCCACCGCACATCGCGTGTATATTTAGGTAACAATAACCGAAAACTCCCGTACGAATTATAGGTACCAGGTGGTCCGACACACGTCATACCAAATCGCCCAATGGGGGACGTCCGATACGAGAGGATAAATCATATTTAAGCAACTCTTAAAGGGTGATTAACATATTACCAGTCGGTGGAGGCGGCCACACCCTCCGACGCCACGTGACCGGCTCGGGCGTGGCTCTCTTTACGGATAACCAATCAATAGGCTCCGAACGGGGTGGGGAATGATGACGCGTTCGCACCGATTATAAGAATGAAAAATGCTCTCCGTGGCCATTTTTTAATATATTGCCCGTTTTTGTATAGGATATTAATTATTTTTAAGCGAATTTTTTTACGTTTATACGGCCGATTTACTTACGAATCGAAAGCCGAAAGCGGGCTAACAACTCCAGAATCTTGTATAATATTTTACACCGCCATATTTCAGGATAATTTTAAGAAAAGCACACACATATACACACACACAGACACATACGTGAACTACCACACCGGCGTAGAAGTTAATAATTTTTAATATTTATATCCAAAATACTTTAACTTTCGCATCTATCGAGAGAGACGAACCTCGTTAATTTATAGAGAGAGCCTGGGATATTTTTATTTAAAAAGAAAAGGGGGGAAGGAAGCCGAGAGAGAGCAAATTAGTGGTGGCAATTTTAAGAGAATTCGAGCCTAGGAATGGGAAGGCAAAGCTGATTAAAATCGTAATGAGGTTATTACGATTTCTGAGGATATTTAGATGAAAACAAAAATGAGAAATGCATTCGAGACGACTTAATTAAGTTGTATTAATCACGAACAAAGAATTTGTTTATCAAAAGTAGCGAAAAATGGCGACACTTACATCTGACCTTCCGACTGCATATTTCCGGCCTTCTTTTCTTTAAAACGAGCCGCTCAACAGGCTAGGAATGAACCTCACATCATGCCGGAAATACCAAAAGTGCAATTTCTCCTTAACTGCTGCAGCAGCCGCCTTCAGAATCCCAATTATCACAAAGAGGGTACCTTCTCTCTCTCTCTCTCTCCCTTTAATGAATTGCCTTCCACTATGTAATAAGGGTTATACTTCGAAGGCAAGCTAAAGCCTGTTTCGGTCTCGATAAGTACTACTAAGACGCTTTATCTAATTAGAAATAATGCATTTTTCTAACCTCGTATCTAAATCATAAGCAGACTGTTTGAATGTTATTCCGATTCGTTCTTAGTTTTGCCTTAAGGAAGCGGCTTTAAGCCTACCAAATCGGGCCTTTTATATAAATTACACCTTTGTAAATACACGCTAGGCCTAGTTTTAAAGTTATCCTAAACATCCTACAGGTAAAGGCTTTGATTTTACAATCATTTACTCATTCTTAAAGCCTTGGAACATGTACAAGAGCTTATAAAATTAATTTCTAATAGTAATTACGCAGGCCTAATCTATCTTAGCCTTAATATCCCGTGTTAAAACTCCTGTTTGTGTCCTTAAAGTATTGTCTGCTTATGTTTATGTATGCAATGCTTTACGCATTCAAATTAGAGGCTTTGAAAGTTATTAATTTATAACCAAAACTCTATAAATATATAATTAAAGTCCTATTTAAGTGGAAATTATGATGTATTTATACCGTATATTTACATGTGTAGACAAGGAGTTTCTACCCTAAGCATATGTCTTACAGACAACATAAGTAAATCAAACACTGTATGTTATATAGGTTATACTTACTATACATAAATGCATACCTTTATACATACAATTAGATTCTATATTAGGATCTACGGGTGTGGAATGTAAAGTATAAGTCTGTAGCTTGTACAGACTTGTGTTTTAGAACCTGCACACGCTCATAAATGTATAAGGGGATAAATGTAATTAATTTTCAGGGTTTAATTTGTAAAAAAAGAGTGCAGAAGAGGCACAGTTTACAGCAGGCCTATACGAAATATGCGTTTAAGATCTATTTTAAAACTGATATCGCTACCTCCTGGGCTACAAATAGGCCTACTATAGTACAGCTAGCGCCTAGACTATTTATTCGCTCGTGCACAATACTCGAGACGGAATTAATTTAAAAAGAACAGCGATAAATTGGAAATTAAGACGAAAGAATGGTGTTGCGCATCATAAAATGCAAAGAATTTCTTTAATATTTATAGAAGGCCCGAATCGGATTAATGTGGCCTCAGTTAAATAGACATAGGGCCCACAATAGGCTTGTTTGGTAACCGCAAGGAGTCGCCACTAAAAATAGAGGCCGTAGTTTAATTTAAAGGAGCTTTTTTCGAAGGTGTTAAGTAGAAATTAGATGTTTGAAATCGGGTGAAGCCTGCTACCTCCCCACGTCTTTATTATGGATTTAGAAGGTATAAGGTTACCGAGAAGCGCACGTGAAAAAGCAAAGCTGTAGCACGTTCCATTAACTTTAAGACAAGTCTGGCGAATCCTATCCATCAGCACAGTAAGCCTAATCTTGCCAACTCAGCCAAGTGTAGCGTAAAAGGTTATAAATCACCGTCGTTTATACAGAGATTCGCTATAGAAACCAAGATGCCGACTGTACTCACCGTAGCAATCATGTCCACCAAAACCCGGCATGAGATGGGCAATGACGCTTCACCACCATCATTCAGGCAGCACCTCTTCTCTATTCCCCTATTGGTCGACTGTCACGGGTGGGCGGATCCCCCGACGGGCGGAGAACGAAGCGGCCCCCAAGAGGCGAGGGGGGCATCGATCAAGTCTGTCGGAGGGGTGGGGAGACCCTTGGAGGGAAGGTAGAGGACCAGGGTCTGCAGTGTAGTTGACATCACTGCAGGATGACCTGCATCGACATTATGTATCAGCCGTACGCGCAGTACTTCCCTTACCAGAGGCCGACTATCCAGCCGTCGCTAGCGGATACCAAGGTAGGTGGCAAAGGAAGCAACCATTCTAACAACGCTCTGCTGACAGTGCCTTAGATACAGGCACTTCATTCAAAAATTTCATTACTTGCCGGCTTCACATCTCTGGCCACATTCTGGACGCTGAATTGCTCGCATAGTTGACGTGCCTGGCATTACATTCTCGACTATACGACGTGGATTTCCAACCACGCCGAAAAACAATTGACTCCCCTTTGCATGTACATAGTTTTTCGTCCCTCCCCGGACATTGTTTTCATACTCTCCTCCCTCGATTATTTCAGAAATACGGAGACCCAATGACAACGGATTATTCCGAGTCCAACCAAAGTAAGGACAGAAAGTATTGCGGCGATACCCATTTTCTTTCTGCCAATTGCATGGTCGTCACTTACTACAAGGGCGACATATCTTCCGTCGTGGACGAACACTTTACACGGGCATTGAGTCAGACTGGCAGCTACGCACCCGATCCGGGCAAAGGATACTGCAAAGGTAAGCCCTTCTTTACTTTCTCCCACTTACACTAACACGTCGGCATCCTCTGTAACGGTAGTTACCGACCCACCACACGTATCGGTAATTGTAAACCTGTCTCGATATTCGATACCCGCACAGGTTGTACTCGTCGACATAGATAAATGCCCCCTCTTTCCACGCAAACTACACTCTACAAACATTAACAGACTGCTAAGAAAACAATCCTTGTACTTTGTATCGTGCCACAACTTTTACCTAAATTATTAACGTTAAACACTTCTCGGTAACCTTTCTACGTAAATTAACCTGTAAAATTCGCCTACGGATCTCCAATCACACTAAATTAAGTGTTAGAAAATTCAATTCTTTTCGCCATAAACACGTGAAAATGAAATACATTGTTAAAATTACGTAACAAACATTACAATGAATCGGTTCCCGTGTTTACTGTTAAATTACGTATTAAAATTTCAATCAGCTGGTTGAAATAGAACATTGAAATGAAATGTACAGCTGATACAGATGAAATTTTGCATCCGAAATACAAGTCGACCCCCCTATAACACTGTAGATAATTCCGTGTTATATGAATTCCATGCTGTACGAATCACTTAGATTTTACAAATACGTGTGCCGGGCTGTGAACGGCTCGCGTATTTGTAAAATCTAAGTGATTCGTACAGCATGGAATTCATATAACACGGAATTATCTACAGTGTTATAGGGGGGTCTACTGGATAGGTTTAAAAGGTAACTGAAAAAGTACATTTAAAGATTTTAATTTCCTTACGTAAATTACAACAGCTGATTAAAAAATCGAGTATTTTCCTCCCGAAATTTAAATGAAATATGAATATTTTAAAGGAATTAACAATAGGTTTTATCACAGCCGATTTAAACGTAATTAAAATAGAATTTCGTCTCTCCGAAATGGAACACGTAGGCCGTTTAAATCCTCAAAAAATGGGAGGATTTTTGAGGATTTAAACGACCAAATTTTAAAACAAAACACTGTACGAATTAAACGAGCCTACAAGATACACATTGTCAATTTATTAGAGGTTTAATAACCGACTTTATCGTAATGTTTTTTTGGGGGGTGGTGGAGGGAAGAAGGGTATTTACGGAAAGGACCTTATTTAATTCTCGAATTGGCCAACATAGCGTTGCTATTTCTTTAATCGTAAGTGTGAAAATTGCCGTCTAACACTTCATTATTATTCTTGTCTCGCTCAAAAATCGCATATTTCACAAGAAGTGACAAAGTGATGAAAAAAAGAGGTTTCTTTGTTGTCCTGTCTCACTTTAAATTCACTCAATTCTCATAAATCACTCAGTATAATTACTTCTGTTGTTTTACAAGTATATCCATTTTTAGACGTTAACCGATAGATTAACCTTTCGGCCTCTCGCTTGTCTATAAATTATGGATGATTAGTTGGGCTTTTTTTTTTATTTCTTTCTTTTTTTTTACCGACTCGTTCTTTTTAACATTCCTTAGGCGTGTTTTTTAACGGGTTACTTGTCATAACAAATTGATTGTTTAATAAAGTTAGCACACACACACACACACTCCTGACGGAAGTGTTTCGGTATAAGGGCGGTCGAGAGAGAGAGATAGAGAGACACACTCCATTTAGCGACCTTTCTTTTGCTCTAGGCTATTTGTAACCGTTGAAAGTTATAACAGGTTAAATAAGTTTAAAGAATTCTATCGGCCTGTAGGCCACCACCACCCCTATAATGACTCTTTTCGGGACATCTCCTGCCAACTCCACCATCTTCGTTTTATTCGCTCCAATGCTAAAATTAGGACAGGGTCTACGTTTTCTATCGAATCTTTTCATAAAGTTGGGTCTTTCCCCCGTATTTTTTTTCACCCGAATCAGTTTTTAAAACCGTTAAACGTCAAAGTTCGTTGGCCTAAGCCACAGAGGAGGAGAAGGAGGGAGATTCGCCTTCTTACGAGACGTTTCTCGATTTAAATTTCGGAGGATTTCACCGGGGGAAAAATTCGGAGGATTTCAACGGTCATTTCGGAGGATTTCGACGTTGAATTTCGGAGGATTTTATGGAGTAAATAGGAGTTTTTTTTAAAGGTGCTGGCCTATTAATATACGAGAATGGTGATAATTTGTTAAGATGAGGCGAGGAACAATAGTTTTTTTGTTATCACTTATCTCTGATGCTGTCACGAAACTAGAAGGTCTACCGCACACTGTTGACTCAATGATATAACGACTGTTAAAAAGAGTAGGGGTTTTTCTCTCTTTGTTTACCTTTTCTCTTAACTGAAATAGAAGCTGGTCCACAAAAGCAGTACGAAAGAAGATTGGGTTTCGGGCCAAAGTGAAGAACGTCAATCAAAGGGCAAAAGATAAGCATATCTCTTTACTAGGTTCGGTTTTCATTGCTTGTCATAAAACACAGTTTAAAGTACTAAAGTGGAGTTGACATTTTCTCTCTCTCTCTCTCTCTTCCTTAATTGTTTATTTCGGTGTTTATTTCTGTCGCCCCTTCCTTCTCCTACTGCTAGAATTATGGGATTAAAGATTACATCTGTAACGGATTACGTATAGGGTAAACAAGCGATTAGTAATGGAGGATTTAGATTTATTTTATGAGCTAAAGTATAATGAGGCTATAAAACAACAAAGGTGAGTTATAGGCTAGTATAATTTATGTTACGGCAGATCATTTTTTTAAGTTAGGCGGTAGGTGAATTATCGAATATAGAATTTAGAGCAAGTTAAATGATTAATTATCCTACGTTAATTAGTGAGCATTAATTCTAAATAATGAAATTTAAAAAAAAGAAAAAGACTGTAGAGTTATAAAAGAAGTTTTCTCTTGTACAGTACAAAGGGTGTATTTTAAGTATAGAATAAAAGAAACTAAAAAGGTATGCGAGAGTTTTATCTCTAGTTAATTTTTCATTAAACGTTAATCAGAAAAGAAATGGCGTTTTTCTCCCCCCCCCTTCGTCTGCGTCATTAGAAAGGTATTTTGTCGCAGAGGTTCCAACAGATTTACATCTCTTACCGACGAGAAACGAGCAGATCAAGCGAGACTTATGCCAAAAACTTTCTAATCTGTAACAATGCCAACAAAAAAACGAAAAGGGCATTTAATGGCATTTTCTTTTGTTGATTCTACCACTCGATATCGGTTTATCGATAAATGTAGCAATGCGACTCTACTGCACTTTTGTACTTTGATACAGAGAAAATGGCAGAAAGGATGTCGAATTATGGACGATTTCCTATTGTAAACGACTTTCGAAAAGTGTAAAGTTCTAATCGAAACCGTAAAACGAGTCTATCGATTAAAGTTTAAATCGTAAAACTTGGTATATAAATTAACCCCCCCTAGCTAATGTAAATAGGGGGGTGGAAAAAGTCGGTGTAATTAGCATAAGCGTAGTGTTAAAACACGTAGCAAATGTATCGTGTACTAAACTCTTCTAAATTAACCACACTCGTAACCAACTTTAGTAACAATCAGCTCTAAAAATGAAGATGCCAAGACGTTTGAAAATTTCAACAATTGTCAAGCAGACAACTTTCTGTTCTGCTTGATTAAAAACATCATACTGAAAATACCATTGACAAGAAGCCAATGATACGGGCGAAGAAAGAAACGATACATAAGTAAAAAAGAAAAAATACAAAATAAATAAAAGAAAAACCACTTGCTATAAACGGAACGGAGGGATTAAAAATAAATAAAAATGAAAAAGTAGAAAAGAAGAAGAAGAAGAAGAAGGAGGAGGAGGAGGAGGAGGAGGAGGAGAAAGTCAGATCATAGCTGTACCTTAAGGCCTGTCACCTGGGCTAATCCTCCGCTTATTTTAGTTTGCTTTAACAAACAATGCAGACAGCAAAAGTCAGTCTTCTATTAATAGACATACTCCCAGACTCTGTTTTGGTCTATTAGAAATTGCATATTGCAAGAGAGATGCTTCCAAATATGGGAGGATGGCTGGTTATATTATGGTACCAGTCGACCCCCCCTATAATACTGCTAATTATTCCGTTCTATATGAATTTCGTGTTGTACGAGTCACTTAGATTTTACAAATACACGAGCCGTTCACAGCCCGGCACACATATTTGTAAAATCTAAGCGACTCGTACAACATGAAATTCATATAAAACGGAATAATCAACAGTGTTATAGAGGGGTCGACTTGTATTTTTTTTTTTAAATCGATTCCGTTAGTTTAGCGGGTTAAGAATTTAACCTTTTGTGTTAAATTTCCGTTAAGGTGTTTTGGTACCGCGGCAAAAATGATAAATTCCAAAAGGTATTTATTGGCTTAACGGGCCTAAAACTTTGGGAGATTTATAACGGATTCTATCGGTACAAAAATTGTTTTAAGTGGGGGAAATATGCTATTTTACGTGATTAGAGAGATGCTAATGTGCTTCTAATTAGCATTCTGTAGTAAATTCCGACATCCGGTGGAATCTTCGACCGCATTTACGCTTCATTGGTTTGCAAATGATTGGATTCTCTACCAGTCGCTTCACTGCTAAACACGAATAGAACAGGAGAAGTTCACCTTTGTTTATCGCCATCTTAGAAAAATTTCCACCCTTTTTAAATCATTAATTTTAGATAAATTTCGCATTTCTCCACCCGAAAACTGTAAGAAATGTCCACAAAGTAAGAGTTAAAAGGATTGTTTTTTCGAATGGAACCTCTAAAAATAAGATTTTAATTCATAAAAAATCCATTTGTATCTATTCGAAAAAGCCTTCTACTACTTACCGAAAAAACTCCATCCCTCTTCTAGTTATATTCGTTAGATTTATGAGAAACAATTAGACTTGGTTTTCTCTAATCCAGATGTCGGCTTTCATAAAGATATACTGACTTATAAATACATCCTCAAAAAACATTTAGCTTGACCTAATTGAGGGAAATTTACTCGAAATAGCATTAGGGGTGTCGGTTTTAAACATCCTAAACACAACAAATATACTGTTTTTAACCCGTGGAATCTCTTTATGATGGGAACCATATGGTAAACTCTAATGAGTAGACACACTTCGAAAATTAGTGGCTCTTAAAGACGTTTCGAGGTGGTGTCAAACGGGCTATTATTATTGTCTAATTTGGTAGGTATTTTTTTTATACATTTAGTCTATAAATGTGTGGTGTATCTTAATACAGCTTACGCTTTAATATATTTTATAGAGAAAGGTGTGTTATAAACTAATTTATCTAAGAGTAATTCATACTTACATTTCAAGTGTTCTCTCTGTGTAACCGATAACTAAGAACAATTCTTAATGGTTTTTCCTATAGAATTCTTGAATTAATGGCTTGGATTCTGTAATATATTTTACATAATAGTTATAAGAAAATGCTTTATAGTAAACACTAGATTTTCAGTTAAGGTATAGAGCGTATTGATAGGCCTAAGTTACGGCTAAAAACATATGAAATTTTTAACTAGAATTCACAGAATAATTGAATAAGATACTCATTAAGTATATTAAAAACCCTTAAAAGACAATAAGTTTTATGTATACAAGCTAATCTTACGTAGAAGGCCCGCGCCGTGTGGTGGAAAAACGGTTATTTATTCGATTTTAAAATAGACTATAACCTACACTACCCGTTTACAAATTGAAAAAAATAAAAATAAAATAAATAAATAAATAAATATATATATGTGTGTGTCCAACAACACATCCCACGTTAAAGTAGAAGCGAAGAAAGGGCGAACTATTTGTCAGGCGGTGAGTGTAATTTGTGTATGAAAACCTCAACATCTTAGGAAGCATCTTCACATCATTTTATTCAAATATACAAGAATGGAATTGGATATCTGACAAAATTCCAGTCACGAACTGTAAAGTCCAGCTGCAAAAAAACATTCGTAAAACGGTTTTTTTTTATTTTATTTTTTATTTTTTGTATAGAATTGCTCGGGCCTTTTCAGAAAACTTGTACAGTACGTCCCTCTTTGTTGATAAAATTCGTGCCTTTTTTGCTTCTTCTCCTCTACCAAAACGCCAGCTTTTTCTATTACTAGAAAAGACAGGATAGAAGTACTATTGTCTTGTAGTTTTGCAGCCGTGAAAGTGATAAAGATGCTTCTATAAGGATGAAGATGCCGCCTACTGAACAATCCTTGTCTATGCGGCAAGTCTAGGGCCACTAATTATACAACTTGGGCATTCCTTTCCTCGTAAACATCTATCGTTTGTGTGCGCTCCACCATTTATTATACTCTCTCTCGCTTATTCTTTATGCAATCTTTTCTTCTTCCTAAAGCCTTTTAAAGCAGTCAGACGTTGTATACACCTCGGTATAACGCTAATTTTATTAACTTAGCTCATAAAATAGTAAAAGGACTTATAAAATATTCCAAATTTATTAATTTTTTAGCCCTTATAAATGCCTAATTGCCGTAGACCTCATTAGGCTTTCCACACACAATCTCATACCTTCAATAGAACGTCTTTAAGTCCTTTATCTTCTTCTTCTTCTTCTTCCCTCCGAATATATTAATTTATGGCTCCTATTTTTGTAAATGGCCTTCTATTAATTATGTAAGCCGTCATATATCAGGTTAGAGTTATGGATTTAATAAAACCGAGACTTAAATTCTTCCCGAAATAACCCGCGTAGGTTGGGGTATGGTTTTATTCGCTAAGAGAGATAAAACTGTAGAAATATTCCGTGTATAAATCGAATATAAATACATAAAATCATGCAATTATACCATAGTACAGGGCCTGATGTACCAGTAGATCCCTCTATAACACTGTTGATAATTCCGTTTTATATGAATTCCGTGTTGTACGAGTCACTTAGATTTTACAAATACGTGTGCAGGGCTGTGAACGGCTCACGTATTTGTAAAAACTAAGTGACTCGTACAACATGGAATTCATATAATACAGAATTATCAACAGTGTTATAGGGGGAGGTCTACTTTGTATTTAGGCTTTTCTAGATAGAAATCTAACCATAGGCCTTGTATAATTTAGGATTTTTTTACAGTTATTACTAGCAATTTCACCCGAATTTCGGGCTAGACGTGGGTTCGGATCCCGGGTGTGGATGTTTTCCCGTGTTATTTCTTGATGAATTTTCGTTTGGTAGGCATAAGCGCGAGTTGATAATAGAGGTATATCTTAAAAGGATAAATGAAGGGTGGCACGAGACCTACGCCTGTCCTATCCTGTTCCGTAACTCCTTAAGAACTATAATCCTGGGTGACAGCTAGGGTAACATCTATCTCCGAGATGATTTAACGCATCGTATCTGGTTGGTAGCTTGATGAAGGAGGCAGAGAAAGCAACCCAGGCTGAACACATTCCAGGTCGCTACACGCATGCAAAAGCAAATAATAAGATGATTGCAGCAGTTGCGTCATGCTTGGTGATTTCACCTTTTTTTTTATATTTTTTTTAATACCTCTTTCTTGTACATATGGGTGTTTTATTTTACTAACCTCTATGTGTGAGGTCCTCGGATGCAGACGGATGCTGTTTTAAATCTGACCCTCGGGCCGTCTGCGTTATGTCGACATATTTTTCTACGTTTATGCATTTCTTCTTCTTGCGTAACGCGCCTTTTTTTCGACTGGCGGATACCAGAAACGTTTCGCGAAGAATTTGAAGGAGCGCGCCTTAAAAAAAAAAAAAGAAGTAAAATAATAATCAAGTAATCGATCTAACAAGGCCTTTTAAAACCACGCTCCCACACCGTTAAAGGTTTTTAAAAATTAGGCCCTAAATTAAATAGGAACCGTAAAGATAAAGGCATTTAGAACGATGATAGGCCTACTAAATGCTCCTTTTATATCAACGGTCACGAAGCTATTAAAGTATTCTCATTATTCAATAATAAAAAAAAAGACACCCTTCTAGATGACTTTCTACCGGGACTTGTTCAGGTTTTATGATAAAAATTAATTATTCTCTAATTTCGGTCCTTAATTGCAAAACTTCTTTAGATCGAGTAAAGCTTAATGAGTATAATTAAATAGATTAAATTAATTATAATAGCCTCTTAGCTCATAACTTAAAACCTTCTTTTATGTATATATATGTATGTGTGTGTGTGTCTCCAGGCTAAAATTTTCCGGATAAACAGCTTATTATGCCGTCTTTTTTCGGCTTTTATAGGGTCGTGGGGATATTTTTACACGTTAAGATTATAAACTTTAAAAAAATTAAATTTTTTAGGGGGGAAAAAAGCCTCCAAATTAAACACCGAATGATTCATGGCTTCGGTAGCTTATGTTTATTTTACTTAAGCGTAAATTTGTTTCCCTTTCCATCAAATTTGTTTACAGTTAAACTCAATCTGTTTCTTACTTTACGTGACCCAAAGAGGCCTCCCTCTGGGCGTTTAATAGCACGTAATAAAGGCCTAGGAGACAAATATTATGATGGATGATATTATTATTACAGGTTTGCGGTTTAAGACACACAAACAGGCACGCAACCGTTTAATTATACAGGCTATCCGTCTACTTTATTTGCATTTCGGGGATCGGTACTACTGTAATTGAGTTAAGAGAGGTTCCTAATGAGTCAACCCCCCCTCCTTCATTAATAAACCGTTAAAAAGTATATAATAGTTCGGGCTTTAAATTCTACTCTGGGATAAATTTAAAGTGTAGCTGCTTAAATGGGATTTGTTGTAAGGATTCCAGGATGCATTTCTAGGCCGTGACGTTTAGTTTATCGGGATGAAAACAGTTTAGAAACTCAGTGTAGGTATACTAGATGTATTCTTATCTCGTCGAGTAATTGGAGAAGTGTTTCGTCTTCAGTAGAACAAACGATAAAACTCCCGAAGAGAGATAACCTAAACACTCTTAACAGATCATTCTTGCTTGCTTACACATGTAATTACTGCAGAAAACGGGGAGATAGGAAGTAGAGGGAGGGTGGAAGGAAGAAAAAAAAAAGTTATATTTAGTCCGGACTAATGTGGACATAGATAGATTAACGGGAACAAAGAACTTTTGTCTATCCACAGATGGGCCGCCAATGTCACAGAGGAACTTCCCACCGTCTTTCTGGAATCAACCAGCCACCCAGGCTCTGGGAAGTGCTGGTCATCCCCCGGACCTTTCCTACACCGACCCTTATCACGCGGGGACCCTACACACGTCGCTTCACCAAGGAGATCCCTGGCACTACACCCTATCGGCACCACCGACTTCTGCCTACCGTCCCGAGTTGACCTATCCTTCTGCAAACAGATTCAGCCCGCAGTATGGATCGTTCCTCCTTCAACCTTCGGTCAGGACCACTAGATTGAATCCCGTAGCCGGAAGTTGCACCGCACTCGATAAATCTACCGACACCTGGGGTGCAGCCAGGTATACGGACACCTTGACACACAACCTGGGACACATGGAGACAAATTACGGTGCTGCTTACAGCCCTATGGGAACCATGTCAGGCAAGTGTTCTTCTATCTTCGCTCTTTAAAACAATAAAAATAAAATAAATATATGTTTCAATCTTAAAGTATCTTGCAGGGGCGAAATGGTAGCTCGTCTAGTCTTCCGTAATGACCTTTAACCTTTTTTTTATTGTTATTCGATACGTGTCCCTCCTGTTTTTTTTTAATTCTCTGGCTCGACCAGCTGCTATTTTGACCCGTTTTCAATGTTTTAAGTTTTGTAATAATGAAACTCCTCTGTAGATGCAACTAGTGGCAACTACATGTTTGAACTGTACAAGATGCACGCGCCACGTTCGTGTCGATGAATTCGAACCCATCGGGGCAAATCAGTACGTCATTTCATCTTTTATCTAGTCGCGTGGTGGTGGTGGCACTAACTAACATGCATGACTAGTTTAGGGGTTCCGTTGTTAGGATTTTAACATTGCTTGCCTGTTTTTTACTCTTTTTAAGCCACTCGGAGGGTGACTTTTACCCATTTATGAGGTCTAAATAATTATTATAAACCTTATATACGCCTATTTTACGTTACAAGTGCTTCTTCGAATACCATTTTACAGGATCGGTTTAAGCGTATTTGCTCTCTCTGATCGTTTCGCATGCACTTTTTAAACCTAATTCGAGCCTCCAGGCTTAATTTTATATTAAAAAAAAAGAAAAAAAACCTCCGATTTTGTAGGAATAAATTCGTTGAAAATCATCAGATTTTGTTCTGCTGTAATCCTTACGTTCGCCCCCGTAACTTATTGCTAACGCATTTTACACACAAAAGAGCCTGCGCCTTAAGCTTATATAGATTAAATAAAAGTTCCAACTACAAATTTAACCCAAGCAGAAGGCTTTCAATCAAGATTCGCTACAATCAGAGCAGTTAAAGTGCGATTCCTTTCATCCGTTTTTATTGAGAGCCTCCAAAGCAATAGAGGTCCTCCTATCGATCCGAACATGTCTGACAGTAGGGGGTCTTGTAATTAATTATCATCCCTCCCGCCAGAGAAGGAGAGAGAGAGAGAAAGAGAGAACGAGAGAGAGAGAGAGAACGAGAGAGAGTTTGGAGGGTTGTTTTTAATTACGACACATTCCTGCCTTCATATACTATAGAGTGTTTCCATGGGTAGTACTCGGATACTACCACATTATTAATGCAGCTGTAATGATTGGAGTCGGCTCGACTGCACTTTTACTCACACATAATCCTACCACTTATCTTAAAATCCGCAAAAAAAAAAGATAGCCTTTCGGGGTTAAAATTGCGAACAAGTAGGCTTAAAATGAATATTCTAAAGGCCTCATAAATGCTTCTAACCTAATTTATTTGCCTTAATATAAATACACCCCCCAGAAAAATGAGGCCTACAGAGAAATTTAGTAACTAATCTTTCTCCTTTTAGATGATTTACACACGCTTTAAGCAAAATGCCACAACTATAAGCTATAAAAGCTCGCTAAATTTTAATTTTTTGATTAAAATTTTAACTTTTAGATCAAACTAACTATTAAAACTAACAATACTCGACTCAGTTTAAACTGAACGGAAATCCTTTTCAGGTCTAGAAAGTCAAGTAGCGGATGCCAGTAAGGACTTATATTGGTTCTAGTGAAAACACCAAAGACTTAAAACAGGGATTTAAATGGTAAGATTAAAAGAAAAAACAAGCTTTGGATGGAAAATTCTATATTTCTACAGCCGTCAGTTGTATATAGTTGCTACTATTATGTGTTTTACTTATATACATTAAGTGCAATGCCACCGTTTGGCATCACACTAGTGATATTTCTACAGGGATCCGAACCCAGTGTTGTGAATAGTGTAGTCTTTTAGTGTCGTAGACTTTAGTGAGTTACGTGTTAATTCTTTCAGTTTTTGTACAGTTCTACCTCAATCTTTGTAAATACGTGTCTCTTCGTGTGTGTGTATGTATGCGAATAATACTATATAAAAAAAAAATCAATAAAAGTGCAGTTAGTATAGCAAATAGTGGTGTTGCTCTCCACTTTCTATACTTTTATTGAATTATTAGAAGTCTGACACTAGATCTTAAATAATAAAACACGGTTTATAGACAATTGTTTCCAATGTTATAAGATGGATAGCGTGTTATGTGGGTTGTAAACCCCTTATATATTTGCAGAGCGACAAGATTTTTTGGGGGCATTATGCACTATATTTATGTCATCCACATAAAAAAAAAATAATCTCCCACTAAGCTGGTCTCAGCTGTCTTTTAGACCTTATAAAAACTTGACGTACTTCGCTTGGTCACACGATAAATATTAAACAGAGTCGACTTTATAACACGAAAATTGTCCACGAATTAAATTTTACAGTAGGAATTACGCTTTACAACGTCGTCCCCTCCTGTTTAATGAAATTCGCACCGAAGATAAATTCGTATTTAGAAAGAAATTATGAGATAAAATAACTGAAAAACTGTCTTCGAAAGCAGGACTTATAATAACCCAAACACAAGGTTTAATTGTTTAACTCGACATACTTCTATACCCTCTTCTGGGAAGTTGCAGACCCCTCCGCAACGTCTCCCGCATCGTTCGTTCGACTTATCCAGCAAAACACAACTTTTCCGCACTACTGTTATAGTAATAAAGCTGAAAAATGTTTCGGTAACGGATCCTTCGTGGAAAAGAGTAATAAATCACGCGATTAGAACTTCAACTAAACTCAGATCTTAACAGATAGCAAAGTTTTTGACGTAATACCAGCGGCTGGTGTATATATGATCCTTCTTATCTCCCACTGGTGGAGGAGGGGGGAAGGAATTAATTACCGCAGAACCATCGTACCTGGCTACCACATGACTATGGCCCGTCCTGCAACGAAACGAAAAAGTTTTATAAGTATAAAAATGGTAGAAGACGAGACCTATATATAGGAGTGTAAGTATGTGCCGAGTGCGACTTCTGCTCTCCCCCCCTTGACAGATGAAGCAAGCTCTTGGTGACAAATGAGCCATGCTATTGCTCTGGACAGCCAACATGGGTACACCCTCCGCATTACGGTTATTCTGAGTAGTGTATACTCGCCAAGACTCGTTTGGATACGAGAAACACAGAAAGATAGAGGAAAAAAAAAGAGGAAGAAAGGAGGAAGGGGGAGAAGAATCGATAGCGCTAACTCCACTTTAACTTAAGCTATAGGTGTCATCGAATTCTTAAAATTCTTTAAACTTTTAAACCCCCTCTTTCATTTCCTCCGATTCCACCTTTTAAAATGCATTGATGGAGCTTGAATAGAAAGGGGTCCTTTTCCAAAAGTAGATTGCAAGTGAAGACAGTGAGACACGACAGTATGATTGATATAGGAAGAAAGTACAAGGATAACATCATCCTGGTGTTATTCGTCAGGAGGACAAACGGATTTTTGTTTTACTTGTTTTGTTGTCGAGTCTCGGGTTTTACGAAAATGGTGTGCCCTTTATATATAATGTCTCTTGTCTGTTTCGTTCGCGGTGGATGTTTCCAGACAGGTTCCAAGATAAATTTATACTTGAGCTGATAAATGAAAGCCTTCCTGATAAAGATAGCATGCGATATCGTTCCTTTTAAATAGTAGAATATGGCGACAAGAAAATGCTAAATTTCGATTTAAACATATTTTAAATGTAATCGGTAATAAATCAAATTAATTTAGTTTCGTTATAACTCGGAAATTTAACGGCGAAATTCATCAAAATTCCAATTATTTGGCCGCTTATTAACCGGATTGCCCCTCGAATTGAAATAGACATGCACGTATATTTACTGTATTTGCATGTAATGTTTTGTTTTCTTAATAATGTAGAACATAAACTAGATTTCTTTATTGTTTTATTTGTATTTAATTATGTACAGTACACTCGTACATAACATGGTGTTGAATAGGGTAAAATTGGAATATTTTAAGCAAAAAATCCGATTATCCGGACGGCCCGAGGTTCCCGATTAATTCGGATAATTGCAGTTTTATTGTGTACACGTTTCTTTTGCTGTGAGTTTATTATATTTCAGTATAAAAGAAAAACCGGAAATAATGTTTAAAATGAAATAAATCTATGAAAAATACAAGAAATTTTATTTATTGTAATTGAAAATAATCGATTACCGAATCCGCTAATAAAAAATAATCGATTACTTTTCTGTTAAGATAATCGATTATTGTAACTGAATCTTTTATTAACGTAATCGATTATTTCGATTATTTATCGAAATTTCTTCAATAAATAATCGATTATTTTATTTAATCGAGTATTGTAATCGATTTATCTATTGAACTCGATTATTAAAGCTAGGTTTTTTTAAAGCAAATCGTTAAAGCTTAATGGAAATAAAAATAAATCGCTCGAATGTAATCGATTCTCTTCGAAAAAAATATATATTTTTAATCGATTTTTTTTTTATTAATTAATGCATATTTAACAACATTCTAACGTTTCTACCCTCCCGAATAATCGCCTAGTCGGTCGGCATGGTCGATTTTTGAGTTAAAACATTAATCGCCAGACCGACAGATCCACTTTCATTTTTACGAGGAGGAAGAAGTTGAAAAAAAGGACAAATCAATCCAAATATTCACCAACAGTCCACGCCGTCTAACGGGTAATCAACGAACTACTATTGTCTGAAAGGGATGGAACAATAAACGCAGGAATGTATAGCATGTTCCTTCTGCTACGATTTATGACATTGCCGACCTAATATTATCTGTGCTTTGTTTGATGTGTCTGTTCCTATTGGTCAGATAACAATGACATTATCCATCCCATTTGTTAAGGGGAAATGAACACCTGCTTGGAGAGAGTGAAAGCCACTTTCTCGCATATCAGATCAGGTGAATTATTAAAGGAAATATTTAATTAAACATACGGTGTCAGATAAACGATGAGACGATAACAGACGAGCTTGGATGACCTGATTAACTTCTATAATTAGTGAATGACTAGTCCCGATTAAGTAAAGTAAATTAAAATTATATAAAAATATTCGTCCCCGTGATTAAGTAAAATATGAGTAAGAAATTATTATTTTTGCTAGATTAAAACACTAGTTCTGTAGACAGAACGATGGGGTGTATGGAGTGGGAAACACGTGCAGTCGTAGCGTGAAATGAAACGCCTGAAAAGGACAGTCTCGTACGTGAAACGAAGCTTTAAAAGTAGAGGGGGGAAAAAGTGAATTGAAACAGATAAGCGTGAAATAATGGGCATAAAATGGGTTAAATTAATTTCTAGAGCACGGAAAGATTACGAGAGATTGTTTTAGTGCATTGTTTCAATTGTCCACAGTATTCACTCCTCGAAAACAGGAATGAACAAGAACAGAACCGAAATAACCCCCCTCTACCATGTTCTATAGAGAAAAATGTGCAATAACGGCAGATTTGTACGGTGTTTCTAGGAATTAATCGTTCAGAAAAATTACGAACAAGAGAAAGGAGACGTGCCGAAGAACGTATCGAACATGAATACATAAATCACACGAAACGAAGCGACTAAAACATGATTTAAACACGCGAAAATAGATAGAGGTACGGGTGAAATGAAGCATTGAAAAAAGGAAAAAAAAAAAAAAGAAGCAAGAGGGGAGGGGAAAAAGTCACGAAAAATATAATTTGCAAGGATATTTTTCCGACAGACATTTAACGTATTCTAACAGAGTTACAGGTATTTGAATCGGTTAACAATATATAAAACGAGACCACCGCCACGACAGTCATTAAAGTGATACTACTTTCTTGATCTTTTAGGACCACCAACGAAGCATCGAGTGTCGGAATTGTTAGCAGCAACTAGTTCGACATAATGAAAGTAAAAAGAGAAGCTTTTCCCGATACAGGATGGCCTCCTCTTTAATGGAGGAGGAGACCTTTGAGACAATCGTGATTGGAATAGATGCGAGGGACGAGATAAGATCTCGGTAAAAACCAGTTAAGTCGCGCGAGCTTTTTCGGGATTACGTCCGGGTAAACGGGGGGGGGGAGCGGAATGGAAGCGTTTTTAGGAATTTTTTAAAAGTTCCGGATGATAGATCAGAGAGTAATTTCGTAATTCTCCATCAATTTTTTCTTGTTCTATGCCGGCTATTTCAATGAACCATAATCAAACGCATCGCTGCTCCTTCTACCACGTGGTAATAAATGGTCCAATCGTGTGACTTCATGAATACATATTGGATTTGATGACACGTGACACGTACTTGTGACCAACACGTGCAACCGCCACTATTGTTGTCTTCATAGCAATTATGACGACATAGTTGTCCGATTAGCGCACGTGCTTGGTGAAACTAATCGGATTAGTAACGCTGCTGACGTCATCGATCAGTAACGTTTCGTCCATTTTACTGAAGGTGAACAAACAAGAAGCGAAAATATTAAAAAGTTAAATGTGCATTTTAAGCGGTGTTTTTGATTTATCGTCCGTCTTAACGAGGTTTGATTGATTCTTAGTAACGTTTATTAACGCTAGATGGCGGTAGACCTCCGGTTGAGGCTGTTATTAATTTTTATATTGTACCACGTGTACTTTATTTCTGTCAGATTTTACTAAGAATTTGAATTATTCTTATCATTTGTAAAATAAAACGTTGTTGTTCGTGATAAAAAAAATTATATTAATTAATTTATTATTACTCAGTTTTATCAACAAAACTGTTATATAATTGTCACATGTACAGTACAGGCCCGTATATTGTCTGTCACATGTAATTCTCTATAGAGATGTAGGCTATATATAATTATCACATGTATGGGCCTAGATATGGCCTGTAACATATAGTCTCGTATTGACATGTACAGGCCTTTATATGGTAGTTACAGTCGACCCCCCATAACACTGTTGATTATTCCGTTTTATATGAATTCCACGTTGTACGAGTCACTTAGATTTTACAAATACGTGAGCCGTTCACAGCCCGGCACACGTATTTGTAAAATCTAAGTGACTCGTACAACATGGAATTCATATAAAACGGAAAAACCAACAATGTTATAGGGGGGTCGACTTGTATGTATAGAAACACAGAAATATAGGCCTATGTATATATACATACATAATCGTCATATGTATGACCTGCCATATATAATCCCGTATAGACATATACAATATAGTCTTATTTATGATATGGCCTGTCATATGTAGACCTGTATAGACATGTATAACTTATATAATTGTCACATTTATATAGGCCTATATAAACGTTTCGCTTATTTAATTAATTACTAATAGAGATGTATAATTGATAATAAATTAATTAATTAACTTGCGAAATTTACTTTTAAATTGGAGACCTATAAATTCCCACTGTCGTCCGTCCGTCCGTCCTTCTTTAATCTCGAGAACTGAGTTAGATAGACGCAAATCGCGAGCAGATACGGAAAGGTTAGAGGTCAAAGAACCCGATTAATTATATAAGAACTTCCGGCAGAGATCGGAAGTCACGTGATTCTTTTAAAATTAAAAGTACGATTGAAATTTTCAGCCCGGTATTACGACCGTGTCACAGTAATTAATTGCTCGTTAAAGTTTAAAAGAAATAAAGGTAAAAGGTAAAACCAAGTTTAAAGTGTTAAAATAGTAGCGACGTTTGTAGATTCAAATTTCAATTTCTCTATTGTTTTTTTCTTCCACGAGAAGAATGTCATCAAGATGTCTGTCTTCACGCATAATTTCACTAGATCTGTATCTACGTGCAGGCATAATTTTTGTAGAAAAAAAGAAACTAAAAAAAGGTGTGCATGTATGTCTATGTCTGCGTGTGTGTGTGTAAAAGAGAGAGAAAGAGAGAAGGTTAATTGTATTTAACAGACGAAAACGGAGGAGGTAAAAAGAAAAAAACGTGTTAAGTAAAAATTAACAGATCAGTTTTAGGATGTTAATTAGTTAGTTTCGGCGATGTAATCTCTTAATATTGGAGACAAACCAAATGTTGTAGATCCATCAAACTATTTTCATTGCATAGTCTGACATTTAACTGTCTTATGACTTCATCTGTTTGCTTGGCATATATATTTTAACTAAGGTGTGCTTGGAATGTGTATTTAATCGGCGGTATTTGTCGGCTAACTACAAAGAGCAAATTCTTGAAATTTTAAGACTAATTACTATATTTTAAGGTCCTGAAGGATCGTTCAAATCTGTCTTTTCTTCTCTAACTCTCCGAGATACTTCAGTAATAACTCTTTCTAGATGATAATTTCGATAACAGGACTATAACGGATAGCGGGTGTTAACGTCCTAAACGATAATTACATAAAACACAATTAAAAAAACATGCTAAAAAGTAAAAAATAATTTTAAAAAAAAGAAAAGGAAACTCCTTAGCAATTTTAAGAATGCTTAATGGGAATTTTATTCTTTGTACGTATTCATTGTTCCTTACTTAACAAAACAATTGTTAACTTTCACAGCCAACTCCTTCTTAGTCTATAATTTATTGATATTTGTATTTTTTACAGCATCGTTATAAAATAAAATGTATTAAAATTAGTTTTAACCTCATTAAAATTTTTTAAATAAATTTTTTTCAAACGATAAATTTCGTTTCTAACGTTAAGAATGGCTTGGATCTTCTAAGTTTAGGACAACGTCACCTCTTTTAAAAACCCGAATTGTCTTCTCTGCTTTCGCTAAATACAAACTACCGGATACAAAGGAACTTGCGAAGACAGAAAAACCAAAACAAAAGGGTCTAACTACACAAGGATTTTACAGTAAAACAAGGAGACAAACACTTAAACAAGAGAAAGGAAATTCAAGTGGATAACGCAAACACTGCCAACAATTGTTATCTAACAACGCACCCTTTCATTGGTCGAATTGATCTGAATAAGGTAACCAATTGTCACACTTCCTTAACTGACGTAAAAACAGATAATAATAATAAAGACTCACAGAGAAAATAGAAAATTGTCTACCGGGAATCTCTCTCTTAAACGTCACAAAGCTAATTGAATTTCGAATATTAGACGTGGGCTATTTTTATTTTCGATTAGTTTTTAAGTTGAAATTCCACTTCCAATTTAACCTACAGACTTAATTCAATATTACACTTGTATTTTAAGAAGAATTGACAATAAATTAGATTCATTTTTTTCTTGTGGAATTGTTTAAAATGTTATATACGAAAATTGTTGAAGTTATAAATTATACGCGTGAATATTTGTTTACTCATTCCTCCAAGACAGAACTCGGTGTCAAGTTTTGACCTATGACAGTATTAAGTTGGTGTTAATTCCCTCGAATGGTCTCTTTGAGTGTAGTAAACTAAAATATAACCGAATTATTAACGAATGCGAATATATTAAAGGGGTTAGAAGCGAGTTAAATCCATCTCTTTATAGTTTAACATTAAGTAACCCATTAATATCATAAGTCCAAGCTAAAATTGGAATAGTTTAAATAACTTTATCGCTGAATTAGATGCCGAATTTCGTTGGGGAAAAAAACGTTTTCGACTGTTAATTATTTGTAGTATTTTCAGTAAAAATACTTCTCGTCGTCCAATGACTATTTTCGAAACAATAGATTGTAAAGAAAGGTAAAGGGGGAGTAAAAAAGCCAGACAGGAGAATGATAAATTGCTACAAGAAAATGACGAAAGGGACATCAACAAAAATAGTTTTATCCTCACTCGACTCGTTGTTTACGTAACTTTTTGGTGATTGGTGCCTGTGACTAATGTTGAAACGGTGTGTCGACAGCAACAGGATACTCTGCATTTCCTTCGAATGCTTTTTATTTGTAAACTTAACACCAAACAAAAAGATATCGTTTACAAAACTGTACTGTTTAATTAATTATCTAGACATGTCTTAAAGCTGTACTTTCACTGTAGTATTTATGTCTAAATATTAATTCTCAACACCTTTAAAAAAAATCCGGCGACGAGTTGCGTAACTTTCCCGGAAAAAAGTTTAAAATTGTGCGTGGCGCCATCTGTTACGATATTTTGTATATATATATATATTTAAGTTTTTATATTATTAATTATTATAAAATGGCAAAAAGCTTAATTTTGAGGGTAGAGACGGGTTTTTCTTAAATTGTACATGATAATAAGCGAGTGAAATCTTCGTTAACCGCTCGAGATACGATATGTGACCTCCTCTATCTCCCCACCGACTGGACCTTCAACCACCGAAATTTAATAGCATCGATGTCCCTAATATGCGAACCTCCCTGCAAAATTTCAGAAATTTTCGACTAAAGGTACAGGAGTTATTAAGCTTCAAAGCGGGTGAACAATATCGTGCCCCTCATACACATTATCATCCGTACATGAAGGAAGAAACCCCAATTTTTTTTAAATTTCTCGATATTTCAAGCTCCGCTGAATCCAAAAATGCAAAAATCTTGGGGGAGAAAAAGCACCCCCTTCAAAAAAAGCCAAAATACACCAAGCACAATTTACTGTGTCCTCTAGTTAATAAATATGCCAAAAATATATAAATAAAAATTTAATTTTTTACCTATGTTGTAGCATTTACATCCAAGAATTCACCCATTACATGCACCTACAAAAATCAAAAAAAAATTTTTATTAATGTAATTATCTAGAAGCCCAATAAAGAATTATAGCATTGTCGATTAGTGTTTACATTTAAATTTTAATACTAAATTTAAAAAATAAAAAATAAATAAATAATAATAATTAAGTTTCAAATTTCGTTAAAAAAATTATTTTAAAATTTACAAATTCTTGAAAAAAGTTTCTCAAGAATTCGTTCATCGTGATCTATTAATTTCATATTGGTAGTATGTGGCGCCATCTAGGTGTGGTTAATTAAATTATTATATTAATTACAATTGAATTCATATTATGATTTAAAAAATAACTAAAAAATAAAATAATAAAGAATTTTCTTTAATATAATTAATATTAAATTAAGTAAAATAGTTTAGGAAATAACATTTAATATATAAATGACATATTTTTGTGATATTAATGAAATTATTTACACCAGTTGCGTTATTTAATTATAATTTTAATTAACTTCGAATATTAAAGCAATATTGTAGAAAATAAATAAATATATATATATAAATTATATAAATCGAACCTACAAAATGGCCGTCTTTCGAGGTTATTTTGTATGTATTTTTGCTTAAAAAAACAATTTCCGAAAAAGTTGCCGATGTTTAAGGTGGCCGTTGTTCGGAGGTGGCCGTTATTAGAGGTTCCATTGTACATTTATATATACAATATGTAGCTAGAAATTTCTGAATACGGCATGGCTGGTGGCTTGTGTAGACTTAATATAGGTACGTAGGCTACAGTAAAAAGGCAATAGCTTACAGACACCAGCAACATATTGTGCAAGAGGCTGCCATATAAATATAGATGCTCATGTCACACGCAAATCTTTGATACACATGACAACGCTCAACAAAAGAAACAGGATGAACACGAACAAGTAGTATGCCTATATTCGTTTATTTTGATTTACCGCGTGATTGTTCATGCAGCCTAGAATTTGAGTATAATACGCATGTTTTTTCTGTTTCATGCGAGTGGAGCAGCAGCAATGGGGCTGGAAAAGAGGTGTAGTGTGGGAGACGTCGCTCCTTATAGCGTGTGGTTAATATTTTTAACCTATAATAACGATAATCTTAATTCTACTTACAGAAACTCAATGTTTATATATTCCTTAAACTTCATAACGTTAGTTGATGACATTTTCCTTATTTTGATGCATCTCTTCCGTAACAAAATGGCAACTGTTTTTATAAAAATACTAAAATACATTGATTTAAAATACAGTAGTTATATTTCATCAATTGTAAATTAAAGAATTATTGTATAAAATCTTGAAAATAATCACTCAGGTGTAAGGTATTAAGTTCGAATATAATTCAAAAACATTTTAAAGAATTAGGAAATGGCTTTTGTAATAATATAATCCACATGATCGACATATTTTAAATTATAAATTATTAAATTATACACTTACTTTTCAGTTAGATGCAACATACGATTCACTTCTTAACATGAACTTTATTCTTGGACTCTGTTCTGTTCATAAATATTTTTAAAAATTAAACAATTTGATGTATACTTAATTTTAAAAGTCTTTTTAATATTAAAGTTTACTTTAAAATGTTATAAGATTAACTTACTTACTATGTGATTCGCTAATGATAAAATTGTGAAAATATGTTTAAAAAATAAATAGAGCGGCCATAAAGATCATACGTAGGAGAATGTATCCTGGTTAATTGATTATTTTTTTATAGAACTTCAGCGTGTTAATATACAATAGAGAGGATGGGTGCTTCTATTTTAAATGCAAGACTGAATAACATGACTTTGAGGCATTGTGGAATGTTCTGAACTCCATCTTGCAATCATTATGGTAAATGAAGACCCATTCTAACTTTTTAGAATGGATCTCTAATTACTGGGCTTGTAAAAAAACCCATAATGGGGCAGCCGGGTGGTGAGGGATGGGTCCGACAGTAGAACACGAAGAAAAACATTTTTGCAAAGAATAGAGAACATCATACAGATAACTTCTAAATCCCATGTTAGGGAGGACTGTGGCCATTTTATATATTTAAATAAACAGCTTTTCGGGGCATAACTTCTCGATGGCTCCGAAGAGCTGTTTATTTAACTCTATTCGAGATGAAGATTTTTCTCGGCCCGAAGGAAACTTACAGGTCCTACGTATTTCATTTATTAAAATAAATGGCAAAATGGACTGGGTTAGAGTAAGCCTCTTTTCCTCGACTCGAGCTCCTGTAGCTCTTCTAAAAGGACTTCAATGAGTAGTATTCTTGCAAAGAACAGCGTGTTTACCCGGAAAACTTCTTTTTTTCCTCCACACCCCAATCTATTTTTCTTTTTCTAACATTTAAATCGGGTAAGGATGAAGTGCTTAGATCCTATAAAAAACATTATTTTAATTAATTTGAGATAATATATTATCATTATTAGCTAATTTAAATCACTTATAACTCCTAATCACATTACTTTTTTAAATCACAAAAAGTCCTTTGATAAAATTTAACTATTGCATCATAAATACAGTTTAATTCACCAAAATGGCGGAAGATTTAAAGCAGACGATGAATTTCTACAGCGCGCGCTGTATAGTATTATAGTTTGAACATAGATGGCGCGACTAAAGTTGAATCGTTATTAATTTAATAGTAAAGGAATTAACTTGACGGTTTATTTAAAATTAATAAAATTTAATTAATTTAATTAATAACACAATCTTGTGTTCAACAGTAAACAAAAAATTATTTAAAATTATTTAAATTTTTCAAATAAAAGCACATTAATAAAAGAAAAATTATTACGAAATAAAACAAAAATTAAAAATATATGCTTATGTATTAAAGTTTTTGATTGGTTGAGATAGTGTGCATTTTTTTAGTGACGTAATCTCTTCGATCTTACGGTAAGAAGCGTTAAAAACTGACGTCGGATTTACGTAATAATATTCACTATCTTAACCAATAGAATAAATGTTGTTAACGTGGCGCCATCTGATTTTACTTAAAATATTTAAATATACAACTTAATGTATATGTTATGGACAAAGTGATTAAACTCGTTGAATATAGGTAATATAAATTTAAAAAATAAACATGTGAATTCTGCATTTGATTAAAAATAAACTGACATTGTTCGTTTTTTTCTTCCAAATTCTGAGACTCGAAAAACTTCAGCAACACATCCGTATGTAATGATGAATGATCTGTTTTCTTCATTTCTTTGCGACAAAAACATGGAATGAAGAAATAGTCATCGTTTGTTCTCAAACCTCTCGTCTGTTGTTGTCGTCTTGACATTATTGTTTTCCTTACTTAGTGAGTAATTAGTACAGTAGAGCGTCGATTTTCCGAATCAATTGGGGACTGGGGTTGTCCGGATAACTGATATTTCGGATAACTGATTTACGTACGAAAAAATAGTTTCTCCGTTGCGCGTTGCTTCGCGTCGAATTTTCGTCGATGTTAAGCCTAACAAAGACTATTGTATCGTTAAAAATCAATTTTTATTTTGTACAAACAAAATAAACATATTGAAAAATATAAAAATAATAAAAAAATTATACTTCAGATGTTAATTTAGTATCAAAAACGTAAAATATTTGAGTAGCCCAAGACATAGCCAAAGATTGAAGCGACACAGCAGTGGCGAAAATTTAAGTTTGTCGACTGGAATTTTTTCGGATGATTGACGTTTCGGAAAATCGACGCTCTACTGTATTACGTTTTTGTATAATTTGTTTTGTAAAACACTCAATTAAATATGTTTTTAATCTATTGTATGTAGTACACGTGGCTGATGTGTGTTCTTTTGAAACTTTGTAGTGCGATAAAATAACTAATTAACCTCCAATTTTGCAAACCCATTATTAATTTAGACTTTGTTGTTGAAAATAGTTTGCAAAGGTAGCAGTAAACACTTTGGCTGATATTTTCATAAAGAAGCAAATCTCTCTCTTCCATAATTTTATTTGATTTCTTTCTGTAAAAATAATCATAAGAAAGTCTTTTGTAATACACTTCATCTCTCTTTACAAACTGATTTGAAATTCTGTATATTCCGAATACTTTTTGGTTTGTTTTTAAGATTATGGTCAATAATAGCATATGTTAAAAATTTTGTTGGCCATAAAGCTGTATCATTTGTCTATATCGAAACGTCTATCTGGATTATCTATATCTTGTGTGTTTTCGCAATCCCTTTTTTCAGTAGCATTTTAAAGATCTCGTGGGGGGGGGTCCTTTGTGTTGCGGGACCCTAAGTGGCAGCTTACCACTTAATCCTCCACTGAGGTATATACCACAAATGCTACTACTAAAAAGCAAAAAATTATGTCATAGAACTCTGTTAACCTTTATGCTATCAATCGTAATAAATATAATAAATTGTGTGAGATGCCATCTCTTATGAGATTTTTATCAATTACTAACAGATGAGCCCAGTGTTGCTCGGGAAAAAAGTAATGACAGCGACGATTAAGATTATAGCCATTTTCATTAGGTACAAGAAACCTTAACTCTCCTGAGGGAGGAATTTTGAAAAATCCATTCTTAGTGTACCAAATTTCAACTTTTAACAGTTTGGGTTCTGCGCTTATTATTATCAAACCATCTCGACTATTAGATTAGTAAATGGCAGAAAGCTTAATTTTGAGGGTTCAGATGAATTTCATAAAAATAACCTGAGGGGTGCTCATATTTAAAAATGTTTTTAGTTGCACTTTCTGCCAATTTTTAAGGCTTACCTTGAACACCACACTTATTTTTAGTCGCGTACTACCAAAATTAGTGTAAAAGCTGAAAAAAAATAAATGTACTAAAAAGTGAAAAAAAAACATTACTTGAATAGAAGAGTTTTTTTTTCATATTTCATATGCATATTATTTTTCCATTATATTGAGGGTCAACAATTAACTGATATTGTTGTAATTGGGAAATTATTGAACTGGCGAACATGCTGCTCGTCTTCATTTTTATTATTCTGTCAACTCCTCTCGATGTTACTAATTACCAATCAAATTGGAATATGGAAAAGATGCCAATGCTCAATTCGATTTTACCTAATGAAAATAGAAAATGGCAATTTACCCGCAGTAAAAGACAAAGGAGAGACAACAAAAATGTTACTCGTGATAATGGAAACAATAGACATAGCATGAATGACGTTCGTATCTCTTCTAATAAATATGTGTTAGAATATTACGCAGGCTCGAGAGTCAACAGGAACGAAAGGAAGACTGTTAGATAAGCAAGGCATTAATAACGAAACCACCGATAGTCTCATGGGTGAAACTAATGAAAACACCGTCATGGTGGATGCTTATCTGTCATCCTACCTTACAAGTTCGTTCTCTCTGTTTACAGTTATATTAGGTTGTTACTACTTCCTCGAGCGATTTTGTACACCAGATGTCAATTTTAAAAAGAACTGCTCTTCGGAATGTGTGCTTAAAATCCTGAAATTCTGAGGAGATGAGAAACGGAGCAAGAACGTGGAGTGAAAAAAGATATATCTAGCATCTCTGGATGGATCTGATTATGATGATTAAATTAAACATGTTGCAAAATGTTTGCCTTACTTTAATTAATGAAAGCAAGAAATAGCTCAAATCCCATTCAATCTATGCACTTAATCTCAAAACAAAAAAAAAAAAAACAGTATTTAAAAATTCTGGTTAGAAACAAATAAAAACTTACTGTTTCTTAAGGAATGTGTTAACAGGAATTTCGAAACCTTCTATATAATTTGATTCTAAGAAAATTTTAGAGGGGTGTTTTTAAATTTAAAGTCAGGTTTACACAAAACAATGTAATACTTTATAATTAATGAAAAAGATAAAGGCATTAAACTATACACTTTTTCACAATATGTTTTTATTCAGTCTCAATAAATCATTAAACTTATTTCCTTAGATTACAAAAATAAGAGATTTAAACATAGACTGAGACTTGCTTAACAAGTATCAATAACAAAATACAGTATACTGAACTTAATAAATAACAATTAACAGTATACGTTACATCATTACAAGGAAATTCGGTTTAAGGAAGAAGTAAATTTATCACATGTCGAAGTTTCTGTCCTCGACACAATAAGGATTACTGAAGTCTTCCTTTCACAAATCCAAGTTAAGATAAATAGTGATTAAGCTTTCGTTTGAGAAAACCATGGAATGACTAACAATACACGACCATTCAAACGTCCATTGAGTCCCATTATTAAAAAGAATCAGTGCCAGTCGGAGGTCAGAAGTTGACGATCAAATAAATATTTAGACCCGATTTGGGTGACGTATGCTTCGGCCTGAAGGAACTTCTGTATTAATGAGGCGTAGGTAACAAAGTGTGAGCATAGTCTATCGCTTTGTAGATAGCCCCGCAAATCGAACGATGGCATAAGGCATTCGAGAGTAGCTACGCTTATCTTGGTCACTTTAGACAATTTATACAGGAACACTTTACTCAAATGCATTTGCGAACAATCACGCATCTTGACTCCTGATCCTGAAACATTATCAGTACGTTATTGTCAATTTCTCAAAAAATTATAAACATCTTTATTTACTTCTATATTAAAATAATAGGATTTCCAGTAATTCTAGTCTTATTCCTTTAGTGTATGTAACAACTTAGTTTTCGACCATTCCTTCTATATATGTAGAAGGGATTGCCATTTGTGAACCCGTTCTAACTGACAAAATGTCTTCTGTGTTTTTTAGTGATGTTAAAACAGTAGTCAGTATATTTAAACACAATGGAATTGACAAGTTGTGAACTACGATAGTGAAACAAAACTAACATTGCAAAGATATCAGATAAAAGAGAATTTCCACAACCCTAGCTCAAACGCCATTCTGCCTTAAATTATTTGTGCAAAAGTCATCTTTGTGGAATTCCTAGAATTCGCTGAAGATATATCTTAAAAAATTAGTTCCTACAACCTTATGTTCTGTCTGTTCGTTGATTATTTAATTATTACTAATTTATAGATTCAATTGTACGAAGATTCACAAGGCATCTATATAAACATAATTCCAAATTAGATATGAAGATTATCTAGTAATAAAACAAATGGTCTTAAAAATACATTAGCAAGTAAGCATGTTTCCTGTACAAAAGAATAATAAACATTAAAGTTTCTGTAATAATTTAAGAAAACGATGTAATTTTTATTCTTGAAGACTCTGAAAATTAGTGCATTGCAATTTATGGCTAAAGTTCCGAAGTAGGAAAGAGATTCAGTACTAGTTACATAAGTTTTCAATGTATTTTTGTTTTAGTAAACCTAGTATCAGCTATGTTGCATGACAAACTCCAGTTTTTTCCTTTTTAGTTAATTTCTGCAATCCATGACTTTTAGGACATCCTGTGGGAAAAAATTAAGAAGGGAATCCATGTTCTGGATATGGTCTACAGACACAACAAATACAAACCTTAATAAAAGAAAACGAAGGATTCGCGTGTTATCTCTTCACCTTTTCATACTCTTCCCATCCAAATTCCCAGTGTGTGGCAACTCTTTTAGTACGTTGTAATGGCATGCAAATGGGCATAGCTGAGGCTTAGACATAATTATAAACAGAATATGTTAATGCTGAAGCAAATTGCTTACAGAATCTTATGGGAGAAATCATAATTGACTAGGAAATAAAACTGTTAAATTATGAGAGATTAAAAGCTATAAAGAATGGTTTATGAACTCATTAGAAGACTGAAGAACTAATTTAACACTGATACAATGTAGTGCACGTGTATGTCAATTGGATAAATTTTCCACCTCATCAAAGAAATCTTTTCTATTTATGAACAGAATTTAAGGATTTCAAAAAGTCCATTTAATAGAGTGATACGTTTCACCACTTTCTTTACAAATTCCGTTAGAAAGCAAAATATATTTGTGCTATTTGTAACATTAAACACAGTGATTTCAATTTAGTCAACTTTGAAATCTCTCGAAAATAATTCTCTACTCACCTGGATCCATCAACAACACAGCTTTGGTTGGTACTATTGAATTTCTATCATGTATTCCCATTCGACAGGCAGTGTCTTTTATATTTTGAATCATATACTTCAATTTTGAGGCGATTTCGTCATCGTAGGGCGACGATTCTGGAATATCACTCATTGCGCGAATAAACAGCACCACTTTGATTATATTGGCTTGAATCAAGCTTCGAGAATCGTGAATAGTAAAGTGACACCAGAGGTACCTCCCTGTTTTCAACAGACAATGAGCGAAGCTTTCATTTATGAAGCGATATGGAATACCTTCGTCTCCGAGTGGACGCTAAAATAAGAAAACATGTGTTGAATTAGTGAAAATTTACAACAAAGACTTCATTAGACAGAATAATTTTGATAAGTCCGAGATTACAGAAAAGTTTAAATTGTTACATCGCAAAAAACAAAACTGGTAAGTTGAGTCGATTTAAAGTGTATATTTGATAAACCTGAATGACGAATGATCTTGAAATTCTTGAAGAATCATCAGAAAAATTAGTTTCGGATTTGAATCCCTGGAGATATAAAAATGTGTTGAAGTGAGGGGCTCCCGTAGAAAGGGACACGTGCCCCCATTTTCGTCTCGATTGCCCTTTTCCTAATCCCCAAAACAGAAAATTCGCGAAAAGAAACTAATGAACAATATTTGTCCATTGACCCATGCAACTTCATATGTTGACCAAAACCCATTCGTTAATTTCGAGTGAAACAAGTTCCACCTTGTGAGAGCGTTGATCTGGCTTTGAAGCTCTTTGCATAACGTACAGTACGATGCCCTCTTTAATAGCTTGTTTCCCCTTTTCATAGTCTGCAATCCACTGCTTTAAGTACAATTTTCTAATAGAATAATATACAAATCGAAAAAGTTACTTACTGGAGGTTGAAAACTGATCTTTCCTCGATTTTCCTCCACTAAAAATTAAAGTATTTCATTAGACTCGAAAAAAAACCAAAACCACCAAAAAAAATAATAGAGAAACGATTGTCATCCTACTTACATAAATCCTCGATATGTCTTTCCACTGTCTTACTGTTTTTATCTCTGATGGTCAGTTGCTTGTCAAGGGACTGTACCAAACTCATAACTTCTTCGACTGTTTCCACTTGCTCTTTTTCTTCACATATTTTCTTTAATAAGATCGAATATTCTTTAGCTAATATCGTTGCTTCTGGATGAGCGATACACGCTCCGCTTGCTGTCTCGTCTAGAGATAATAGACAAGATTGAAATATATTTTGATCAAAGGGAGAATAATGAGGACTGAGCACTTACCTAACTCGAAGAAACAAAGCAACTTTAGGAGGTACAAATGGTAAAATGTAAATTCAAAATCGAACATCTGTCTGGCTGCTTTTAGGATAGAAAAGAGCAAGCATCTGTGCTTGTGGGATTTTATGTCATCTGGATTGATGTATCCCCCGTCCACTTTGAAAGCTGGCCCTTTGCCTACCTGATCGGCTATTGCTGTTAGGTACTTTCCTTTGTTGCCATTTGCTTTTAAAAGAACGATCTGAAACAAAAACAAATCTTCGTTTAGAATCATAATGAATCTCCGGCCTAAACTAGAATTGTGAAATACTACACTAAACTGGGAGCCCATTAAGTCTTTCGCTAAAATCGAACTTTGACTTACAGCACCAACTACAAAGTGTCTCTCCTTCTTCAGAGATCTAGCCAAGTGTTGCTTTCAATAATCCTTATTCAACAGTTCAACAGGACTTTAAAATCCTTTTAAGTTGTAGAAAGTATTGTAAGTGTAATAAGCAGAAGAACTTTGAAATCCTTCTTTCTTCCCCTTCTGATTATCCCAGATGACCATTCATCAATATACTCACTTAGTATCTTAAGTGGTATGAGTCCTAAACCTTTCTAGAGGGTAGAACTTGAAATTTCATCCTTCATTTCATCTTAGTGTAATTGTACTTCAATCCAACCACCCAGAGTATGTATAAAAAAACGATGACTGAATCACCTAATTATACGTAAGTGCTGGAAGAATGCTAATTTTTTAATGACGACTTCAAATACAATTCATAATTAAACATACTATGTCACCAACGGAAGAATCATTGCATCTACACATTCTGCTGTTGTGTTTAAGAATTGAAACAAATGTAAATAAATTTTAAATGCAAATAAATAAGTGCATGGTCAGTAAAAACGTCTATATATTGAGGAAAATTTAGTTCCATTTAAAAATTTTTTTTTGATTTTTTGCACTTCTGTTAACAATTAAGTCTTTTTTCAGGCTCAAAATAGAGACTATTATTATTGTTAATTGTCTACTTGGACATTATGTATTAATAGGACTTAATACTGGTGTTTAAAGATTGACACAGCAATGAGAGTTAGTTCAGGAAAGAGCAAAATTTCTTTATTATATCATCTGTAGTAATAGTTTCTGTGTCCTATTAATAAATAATGTCCAAGTAGACAATTAACAATAATATTAAAATTTAAAAAGACAGTAAGGCTTTTGCAATTTCATAATAGAGACATTTTCAGAACAGACCGTCCATATAAAACACTTGAGAAAGTGAACCCCAAAAGACTTAATGGGCAGAGAGGATGCTAACATAACCTTATATATGTCAGTCTTATGAGGATGTTAAATCTGAAGGTCACTTACCACTTGGTCGACGTTCAGTTGAAAGATGTCTTTCTGCTCCCAGATCCATTGAACATATCGATCCCAACACCGATCCAAGTATTTGGCAAAGTGAGCATCGGCACCTTTTTCTTCCAAAGACTGTTTTTCATATAAAAATATTTAGTTTCTTGTATATTGACATGTATCATCGCGTATCTTGTGGATTCCACACATGAAATGGGATATCCAATTGAATAATCTATCATATTGAATTAAAATTCCATTTTGTAACGAGAACTCTTCATGAATCTACTATTATAAATCGATACTAATTCAAGAGAGGACTTACCTCGTCTCTCGATCCTGCACCCACATACTGTATCATTAATTTCAAATTGTAATCGATTTCTTCATATGCTGGGTATGAAATAAATAAATTTTAAAAAGAAATAAGACAATCTCTAAGTAATAAAAACACTTACTAAAAAAATTATTCACCTCCAAGTATTGGAAAACGATAGAAAGAAGACAGGAAGAACAATTTTTGGGACATCCAACACGGCAGAAAACTGTTTGCGCCTTTTTAACCAGTTCATTCATTTTTGACTGGCACTCGTTACATAAGAATATGCTGAAGTAAACTCGACCTATTTCTTCACAAACACAACATTTTCCGACATTTGATAGGAAAAGTTTTGCTGCGTGCATTTCTCTTCTTTCTTCTGCCTCTGTTTTTTCACCATCTGTTTTTACTTGAACTGTTTCTTCTTCATCCATTCTTTCTAAAATATTAAATAGATTAAAGAGAGTTTCCATTCAGGTAAGATCTCGTATATGCACCATACTTTGTTTTTTTAAATTAAGAATTTTTTATGCCCATTACAAAGTTAAGATTTTTTCATTATTCTAAGAATTTTAAACATTGTCAAAACTTTTCATTACTTTTCTTAATTCAATGTTCCACGTAAATTTGGGAAATTCGTGTGGGTTGTCAAATCAAAAATTAAAATTTTTAAACAAATCCATATACAATCGCCACCATAGATGGTCACTAGGTTACGCAGGGTCTTACTAAATACGATTCGACGTGCGTAGCTGCGTATAGATGAAACAGGTGATAATTTACAATATATATGTCTCTAATAACAACAGTTAGCTTCTGTGCTTATTACTGTGCTAAGCTACACACTGTGGCTACTTTCTCGTGCATCACCCCATATAATAATAATAATAATAATTTAAACGTAACAACTGCGTCTACTTGTATAATATGTAGTAATTAGTAACACGTAAAATAATAAAAGTTCTATGAATAAACTTATGAATTGATTGGTTACCTTCTTCTTCTTCTTCTTCTTCAGTGATAATCAATTGATCACTATCTTGATCACCTACAAAAGAAAAAAAAGGGCAAAAAATTAATAGAGTGACATCAAATAAACGTATTTTAAAAAGTTTGATCAAATTTATGGTTATAAAATCATAACTATGTAGCGGCTTAGTGTACAAAGTACTGCAGATGTATATGGTTGCAATGCGTGGGAATGGGCAAAATATCTAAAAAAGTGTCACTATGCTAGTGGCTTAATCCTTGGGTAACAATAAAATGTTGAATAGCGAGCTCCATTTACGCACTCGACGTTATACACTTAATAAATAACAGAATGTTCTATGGCTTTCGGAGTGTAATGGATGAAGGATGGTTGTTTAAAAAGTGTAAAAAATAACTTTACATAGTTTATGGATGATCCCAAACATTATTACAGGTGAAAAGCTTTATTTTGGAGGTAGAGGAGTGTTTTTAAAATAAGTATAAATGCAAGATGTACTGCTACCTGATGAAATGTGAACGTTACTCAAGGTTTCACTTGAGCTATCGTTTTCCAAATTTGACAATGGGAAGTGTTGCTTGTGCAGTGTTATAAACTTTGCCTACTTTGGTGATGTAAAGATCTGTTGCCAAGTAGTTTGGAAAATTTTATATTGAAGGAAAGAGGTGTAAAAGCGAGTGCCATGCGGGGACTTTTTCTTTTTTGTACTTGCATCTAGACGTTACCATGTGATTCAATACGTTTTGCCTTAATTAATATTAAACTATATATGAACCTTCATAAGTGAAAGTTATTTTTAACCTCCAACAAGATCGGGTTTGTCCCTTCCGGAAAGAAATGTTACTGGTCTCTTCTACACATTAATCGGTTCCCTCCACCCAATAGCCAACTGGAAGTGTTCGTAGCGCCCTAACCGGTAACAGGCAGAACCATTCATTTCTTTGCAGAATTCATACAGTAAGGATGATCCTTGTACGATGATATTCTTGACCTGAGGTTGGGGTGAAAGAGAAATTTCAAAAATTATAAAAAAAAAAAAATACTAACAAGGCGACTGTGTTCTCTATAAACTGTGGTACCCAGCAACACGGCACCCCAACTTCTACACACACTACAGTCTCTCAGCACATAGCGCTTGCCATCAGTCAGTACATGCAGTAAATGTAGTCACATTGTCACGTGCAGTACAGAAACTAGTTGAGACGTGTTTGCATACATTGAATACAGCACTTTTGCACATAAAAACAAAAGCCAGAAATTGCTTAAGTGCATCTGATGACTTACGCGTGACTCAAAAAAAAAACTTCGTTTTAATAGAATTATTTTCAGATTCAACGGGGTGCTGACCAATAAAAAGGTTAAGAACTGCTGTTCTAGACAAATTCTTTGAGTTTACTTTTACTATTAACGAATAAATAACTTTTCAAATATATAAACGTAGGTACATATTTTCTGTTAATAGGCTATAAATACAAGATACTGTTAATACAAACGATATCGGGCAATTGTGCTGTTCGCGAGCGGTTTTTCCATTGTTGCTTCATATAGTCAATAATAATAATAATAATAAGTCGTTTCTAATTACAATAGAAATCTATAGTATATTATGATCTATCACGTGGTCTCTAAAGTTCAGCGAATTCTTCGCAAAAAGAAAAAGTTATCAGGAACACGTCAGAAATGAGTAGTCACGTAACCGAATAGCACGGCAACAAATGTCACGTGACACGCTTCGTACGCATCCGCCGTCCGATGTGACGCTCCGCGACGAAAACAAGCTTAAGCAATGGTGTCTTCGAACGGGTACACTCGATAAGTATTCCGACAATTTTTTGTTCATAGCATATTTTATATCGATCATTTCCAATGTGGTTTTGACGTGGTGGTTGCTTTTATCTTTAGTCGCTGTGAGTGGAAGAAACGAACGAGACGAGATCGTAACAAAAACTAAACCTTTATTGTTCTTCTCGCGTCCTAGGTACAGCACATGTCTCGACGACGCGGCTAACAAAGGACAACTGGTTTTCGACCGTCTTTGTGTGGTGAGTTCGAATTTATTCCAGGAAGTGATGACTCATATGCCCGGGGGTAATTGCTTGTCTTTTACAACCGTTAAGGGTACAGATGTGAAAAGCGGCGTTCGCCACAGAGTATCCCCCCAGTGAGGGACGAGCGATAGAATTGATGTCAGACAGTCGCTTAACGTTACATTATGGTGACTAGTCTTTTAGGAAAATGAACGTGACGGCCTGATCTAGTCGTGACTGTTTGATCTTCTCTAGAGGTAGTTTCCAGTTTTTTGTTGTTCGCTGTTGCTGATGATAGTGGTGTCTGCGATGGGCTTGACTGGATGGGTTTGATAATAGATTTCTGGGATGATTCGTCCTGTAAGATATACACTGGTTTTACTCTGTCAATGGAGACGGTTGATTTGCGACCTTGGATGTCAATTACTAGTGTTTTGTCGTGTTTTTCTAGCACTTCGTATGGGCCTGAGTAAGGCTGGCGAAGAGGAGGTCGGTTTGCGTCGAATCTTAGGAAAACATGTGTACATTCCTTTAGCTCTGGATGAATGAAAATTTTCTGTGTGGAATGATCGGAAGTAGCTAACGGTTTCAGATTGGCCATGTGGGTTTTTAGTTGACTGACAAATGATTCGCAAGGAACTCGTGGGGTGTCGGGGCTAATGATGTCAGCTGGTAATTTTAACGGGGTACCATATAACAGTTCGGCTGCTGTTGTGTCCTATATCGGCTTTAATTGCTGAACGAATTCCCAGGAGGACTACCGGAAGGGCGTCGGTCCATTTGGAGGATTCGTGTGCCATTAGCGATGCCTTCAGGTGTCTATGTAATCGTTCTATTAAACCGTTTGATCGGGGATGGTATGCTGCTGAATGGATACGATTGGTGCCGAGAAGTCTGGTCAGTTCTCGAAAGAGGTTCGATTCGAACTGACGTCCTTGATCAGTGGTGATGGTAGTGGGGCATCCGAATCTTGCGATCCAACCTGAGAAAAAGGCTCGGCATACCGTCTCAGCAGATATGTCGGCAATTGGGATGACTTCTGGCCATCTGGTAAAACGGTCGATCACTGTAAGGCAGTAGTGTTTCCCGTCAGCTGGCGGAAGTGGTCCTATCAGGTCCATGTGAAGATGGGAAAATCTTGCTTCCGGAAGTGTAAACTTCCCTATTGGTGTCCAGGCGTGGCGGTGGATTTTCGATTTCTGGCAGGGGATGCAATGTCGTGCCCACTGACGGATGTCCTTCCGCATGCCCGGCCAAACATAACGACTTGAAATTAGCTTAGTGGTTGCTGTTGCTCCTGGATGAGAAAGTCCATGTAGGTGATCGAATATGATTCGTCGGAAATTATGCGGCACGAAGGGGCGAGGTATTCCGGATGATGTGTCACAGTATAGGTCGATTTCGTTAGGTGGAAGGGATTTCAGCTCTAATTTGAGCGACATAGGATCCTTTAACAATTGATGAAGTTCCGAATCTGTAGCTTGCGATGTGGCTAGCTCTCGGAAGTCTAGAGGGGAAGCAGAGGTGATAGAATCTATCTCGATGCGGGAGAGAGCGTCTGCTATCGTGTTGGCTGTGCCCGGAATATGACGTATGTCCGTAGAGAATTGGGATATAAAATCGAGATGCCGCATTTGTCGAGGTGAACATTTATCTGGTTTTTGTTTGAAGGCGTATATGAGCGGTTTTTGATCCGTGTAGATCGTGAATTCGCGGCCTTCTAACATGTGGCGAAATCGTTTTATTGACGTATATATTGCCAATAGTTTTCTATCATAAGCTGACCAGTTGCGTTGGTTTGGTGCCAGTTTTGCTGAGATAAAAGCTATGGGTTCCCATTTCCTGTTGTATTGCATCAGTGCTCCTCCAACCACTGCATCTGACGCGTCTACCCATATGCATAGTTTAGCTCCGGGTATTGGATGATGGAGAAGTGTGGCTTTGGCCAGTGCTTTCTTGGCTGATATAAAGGATTGTTCTGCCGCTTCTGACCATTGCAGAAATCGTGATTCTGTTTTCCGAGTGAGTGACGTACGTTTCTCGTTCTTTTTCCCTTCTAGTAACTGCACTAGCGGGGCGAGGATGTGTGCCGCTCGAGGGATGCATCTCCTGTAGAAATTTATTATACCCAAGAATCGTCTAAGTTGAGTGAGAGACGAAGGTTTGGGAAATTCTCGGATGGCTCTGACTCTATTAGGGAGTGGTTCCAGACCCTTTTCCGAGACCTTGAATCCGAGAAATTCGATTGATGGTACGCCGAAGGTACATTTTGACGGATTTATGGTCAAACCATATTCCTGGAGACATTGGAATAAGGCGCGAAGATGCGAGATGTGTTCTTCCTGGGAGCGTAATGCTATTAGTATGTCATCGACGAAAGCATATGCGAAGGAGAGTCCTCTGGT